GGGATGACATTACTTTAATTTGAGGGTGGGTTAGAGGGTGTTTCGGATTTTTTGGTAGGAAAGGGTAGATTAGAATAAAGGAGGTTAGGGTAGTGTAAGGCTAGTATTAGTTTTAGTATTGATAAAACGACGTTAAGGTATGGGTGTGGTAGGGTAGGATTAGGTAGGCTAGGGTAAATTATTGTACGGTAGGGTAGGGTAGGATATGGTAAGGTAGGGTAGGGTAACCTAGCCTATCCCAGCCTAGCCTATTCTAACCCGGCGTAGGGTAGAGTGCTTGTGACATAAGGTAATTGTTCGTAATTACAGTAAGACATCACTGTCAGCTTACTCAGCACGCGACAAACCACAATAAGATTGGTTTGTGGAGAGAACAAGCAAATTAATCTTTGAAACTGTGTGAATATACCTTGCATTTGTAGTTGTTGGCATGGCATTAAGATTACGTTTAATGAGCTGATGACCTATGGGGGTTTATTTTAATTTTGCTGAGCTTTTCTATACTGTATGCAAAAATCTTTAAAATATGTAATTTAGTGACAAAAGGCTTATGTTAGTTCTGATTGATCGTAGCATTTATACATTTAAAAACACTGTCGTATGTATGCTTTCTTGTTTGTAGTTTACTAATTTTAATAGCTGTTGTTGTTGTAGTTAGTGTAGTACTTAATTGAGTCAATAAAAATTGTTTTTTAAGTGTTTATAATGCTTCATACTACACTGTGACTACACTGTGAAGTTCATTTGATTACTTTTTATTACATACATCTATTTACGTAACAGCACTCATTTGAATAGGCATTGGGGAATGTGAAACGTAGATTATGAGTCTTTACGTATATGTTAATTGTTTCTTTTATTTGTTTTCACTGTAGTAGGTTAGAGCAATGTAAATTTTTTTGGGAGAGGTGGGGCCATTTAAAATTTTTTTAAGGTTTGTAGGGAGTCCACGCCAAACTTTAAAAAATTTTTATGAAGGGTGGGGGTAAAAATAAAAAAGTTTCTCAAGGAGTGGAGAGCAAAAATGAAAAGTTTTCAAAATAGTGTCTTTAAACTTCAAAAACCAAAATTTTTACTTTTGATGACAAAACCTATTTTTAAACCCTTGCTGCTTGGTTTAATAACAATTTTTAATGCTCAAACCTTAATGGCATTAAGGTGTCTTTATTTTTCTCTTATTGAAACACTAAAAATACGTTTTAAACCAAAACACCAAGGTAAAGCTTTTTCTTTTTAGAACTTTTTTTATATACCATTGTCCTTGATAGATGTTAGCGTTTACTATATTATCAATTATATTCATATTTATTTACTTTTTAGCTTTAATGAATCTTTTTCTCATTACGTAGAACAAAAATCCCAAAGATTTGTTTTTAAAAACCGTAAAAACTATTTTCAAATATCAATTCTGCGAACCCGAAAACAGATTTTTAGGCTTCTGTTCAAAAATCATCAAATCCAAAATAAATAGTTTTAAAAATAAGTTTTGTGACTCTTTAATCTCCAATGTGCGTATAAATAATTTGTTGAGTGTTTACAAAAATAAAATATTCGACGTGCATATAAAGTTACAGTGTTTTTGTGGTTGCGTCTGAATTTGTATGCAAAACACGATTTTGACGTATTTGACATTGTATAATTTGGTTAATGTTTTAAAGACCAATATAGTTTAGTTAAAGTGTTCAGAGAGCGCTATAGGTTAAGTTAGGGCAAGTTAAGGTTAACATAAGCTTAAGCTTGATGACAATGTGGGCCAAGATAAGGTTGGGCAGGTTAGGGCGAGGAAATTTATGGTACCATAAAGCGAGGTAAAGAGGCGTTGAATACAATAAGGTAGTATGAAATAGTTTAGACTAGCGTAACCTAACCTAGCCCAGCCTAACCTAGCCTAACCTAGCTTAGCCTAACCTATCCTTGCCTATCCTACCCTGTCGTATCCTATCCTACCCTATGCTAGAACAGCCTATCTATGCTTTGCCTGGTCAGGGCTGTGATGGAAAAGGTATATTATGGTAGGGTTGGGTCGCATTAAGAATTTTATAAACATTTACATGCCTTTACATTTTAAAGGAGTTTTTAGCACAATACTCCACAACTTTACGCTTTATTTATTTATAGTCCAAAGTTATGAAATCATGACATCGAAAATTCATGTCAAAAAACTGTTAAATTTAATATTCAGAATCATGTTACATATTTATACTTGATAATTCATTAAAAAGCAGGTGTTGTTGACCTAATTTTGGTGCTATTTTAGCTCATTTTCTATGGCTACTTTGACCTTTAATTGTTTTGGGTTACAATTCATTTTGGTTTTGTTGTACAATTCTTGACGTAGCTGTTGTAATGAGGGTTCGATTTGTTTTTGAACTTTTTTTAACTTTGTTAATGTTTGGTGCGGTTCGTTAATGTGGAATTTTTGGTTTTTAAACTGTTTGTATTGTGTTGTTCTTATTGTACTTTAGATATGTTTGGCAAACTAAACATGTTTAGTATTGTGCTTATGTTGTGAGGCACACTATGACATAAATTTTAAACTTCAACAATGTTTGTGAAGTACATTCGCACGTATCATAGTAAGCATACTACACGTTCGGTTGTTTATTGTTTATTACAACTTTATTTATATGTATTTTATTTTACAGTGTGTTTTAATTATATTTATTGTACTCAATTAGAGTACATAACAGTTACGACAATATGAGCGTATAACTTGATGTATCGATGTTAATTTTGTTCTAATATATTATGAAATTAATGTCGTTAAGAGTGTAGAAAAACAATAGTTACTCAATTATATTACATGTAAATTCACTCTATTGTTCGGTACTTTTAATACCGTAGGCCTTTTATGGTAGGGGTTTTAGTTTTAATGCCGTAGACTGTTTATTCTTCTTACGGTAGGATACGGTATGTGGAGAATTAGGGGACAATTAACATTTAACTACTACGCAACAATGCTTAATGATTTGAAACAGCTATGGTATTAGTGACACTTGTTAATACTTGTACGTTTTGTAATTTTATTGTAATATCGCACTTTACGATCTAAGCTAATATTTTACAATCTAAGCTTATGATTAATATTTTGCAGTTACATATAAGTTATTAATTAATTTTTAATTTTCTTAATCACCGTTAAATTTTAATTATGTACAATATTGTTCTTCGTACCAAATTACGATTTTTACGAACGATCGACGGTTTTTCGAAGACTTATAAAACTTGTCTAATGTTATGTATGGCATCCATAGGGTTCAAAGATACAACTTGTAGGTTTCAAAGCTTTAAACACAAGTGCAAATGTTTTCTTAACGTATTTGGTGTCTTTTTATTTTTAAAATATGTTTTTTAATACTTCAGTGTAACTCGTGTATAACGAATCTTTCGCGTATTTTAAAGGCGTTAGTTGTAGAGGAGTATCGGTATACAGGGTTCCACTGTATTGCATTTTTTTATTCTTTACACTTATGTGTCTAACAACGTTTTATTATTACTTTCTTCATCTTGTTATTACTAAAATAATCCAAAATAAAACTTTGTTGATCCAGCCTTACTATCTATTATGTCTATTTTCGGCCGTCCATTAACGTACGTTATTAATATTAAATTAATTTTCGATAAAATTTCATAATGTTTACTTCGATATTCCGCCTTACACCTTGTTCCTACGCTTCTTCGTTTTCCTTTTCCATAATCTTTGTCTAAAAATAGGCAACCTTACGCATTCTCTTAATAAGCAACTTGAAAGACCTTAATTTGCCGTGTTAAACCACAAAAAAAGCTATGTCATCTTCACTATTATGCTTACTATGACATTACCGCCAAAAAATACGGAAACTAATTTTAAACCCTCTCCCAGTCTCTAGTCTAGCCAAGTGTTTCATAAGGTACGTTGTCTAAATTCATAAGATATATTGTCTAAAATTTGCGTTTTAACATGTACCGATTACCGTAATCGACCTTAATTTATGACCGTTGCTTCCGTGTCCTTAAAAATGCAGTCGGTTGCCGTTTATCCGCCGTTATCATGCGAACGGAATCGTTAATGATTAAGACTGATTGGCGTTACTTTCTACATTTTTACTTTGGTTCTCTGTCGAATAGACGTGACTTTTTCAAAACAGTCATTATGACATTTTGGCATATATTTGTATTTCTATAATTTTCTTAATTTTAAGAATACCTTACGTATTACAGTAATTTCTTTACAGTATTCCCTAAAACACCGTGACCTTAATGATCAAATATCTTTTATTGTTATTCTATTGAGATTTCACCTCCAATTTTCAATAATTTCAAAGAAAAAACGTGACACTCTATGGTATCTTGACGTCCTATTTACGTTAAAATATTTTAAAATATATCCATTACCCTACTTCTAAGCATGCATGTTATTGTAAATTGTTATTTAATATTTTGATATACAGTACACCCTATTGCTCTTAGTTTTTTTTACAATATTAAACATTTAAAACGTGTAACCTATACATTATATAGACGATACCTTGATGTCCTATAACAACTACCAAAAACGGTCCAGTAACAGTGACCTAGGAAGCAGTACAATCTTGTCTACGTACGTTCATACGCAGCTAACTGCGTACGATCTATGTATGTTAAAATTGTATTAAAAATGTTAACACCTCTAACTTGATAGGGTTTCGCTTCCATTTACTAATTCAAATCTTTGTAGTCTTATGATTTTACACTTTTGGAGACGGTCGAATATGGAGACACTTCTTTTTACTTCTTACTTTTTCTCGTGTTATAACAGTATCGTGCAATATTTATTTACTATAACTTGTAATGTTATATCAATAAAAGCAATACTTTTTTAGATTTCACTTTTATCTCACTACCACACACTTCAAACGTTACTTAACACATCCATAATAATATTACAACTTTCATTTACATCTAAAGATACCTTACTTGACAACTTTATAAGATACCAAAGTCATTGCGGAATGAGTAATTCTACAGTTTGTTACTGTGAGATGCGACCGTCGTGCTCACAAGACCCAACAGAAGACGAATACGATATGGTTACCGACATTACTATGCAACCGAATGCGAGTTGTCTACCTAATAGGACGTCACAAAAATCATTCCCTTCTTTGAGTCCTCCTAAGTGGACTCTTCTACTAACTATTATGTGCAGCCTAGCCCAACTATCAGAAAGCCGACATGTAGAAGGAGCCAAACTAAAAGACGAATGTTTTCATCGCTACCAAAACACGGATCACCACACAAGCCTGGCAGAGTGGATTCACCGCAAAAATCAATCGCACTACTCGCCAATCATCCCTAGCTACAGTCAAGCGCTGATCAAAATTGAGGTACGATATACAGAAAGAAAAGACATGTAATACGCCCTAAAGGAGACTAAAATAACTAACTTATGATACCTAATACTTTTAAGATACTTAAACAAATAATATTGAAACTATTTTAGCTGGAAAACATGAAAGATGGTGAACAAGTGACAGCCGGCTCTTCAAGCTGCAACTCAAGGCGCCAAACTACCGTAACCGCTGAGACGCCACTAAGGGAGCGTGCGCTGTGCAAATTTGAATACATCTTAAATTACAACCCTAAGGTAGGTTTGACGTCAACATTACTTTTAAACGTTCCTTTTAATATAGTTAATATCATCTTTAACAATCCGTTGGCTTAAATTAACATTGTAACGATTTTCAGCGAATCCCAGCAGCATTGACTGAAGTAAAATGTTCATGCCCTCGACCATCAACTAGACTTGTTGGTCGACGGATATTCGAATGTGAGCCGCTCAAATACCAAGTTCGTGTTCTCATGTTCGATGAAGAATGTCAAAGCTATGTGGAGCAAACTGAAGAAGTTGCACTTGGTTGCATACCTGTCGTGCAGGTAAGATTTTTAAAACTACGTTCGCTTTTAGCTCAAAAATACAAAGAAAAATTTTTAAATGTAAACAACTACAATGGGGAACCCTACTCAGTAGAGCTTCTAGATAACCGTAGCCAAATTTTCAAGAATCCCTCATTTATTTACGTAACTGCAATTTAAACAGAAATCCACCGTAACCGTCAGTAACATATAGTCTTCTCCATTACTCACAGTCATTGTTTATCCATCTATTTTTAAATTATGTATCGACGTTGAAGGCGAAACCCTTGAACAGCTACGCAAACCGATTAACTTTTATTATTGTGAAGCCTAAAATTTTGAAATCTCAATCTTCGACCGCCGGAAATTAGGTACTTGATCTCTATTACTATTATTCAAAGTGGCATACTTTTGAGAAAAATAAGAAAATTTTTTAAAATTTCACTTTAAGTTAGCGAGTTCAAAACTAATCCAGTTTATACAGTTTTAATAAAGATCACATTCTTCCAGTTAGTAAACCCACATTTCTTAGTGTCTTATTAGCCTATTAAGGGGACCATATTAACCGTTTAAGAAGCTTAAATTTAGTAAAAACCCACCATCGTGCAGCTTAACAAGAGATCAAAGAAGATTTGCAACAGTTTCCTGAAAAAATATCTTTCGATCTTGTTTTTGAGAACATTATTTTTATGTTTACTGAAACAGCCTGAGACAACTTTACTATTTTTAAGTTAATTAAAAGTCCGAATATCCGGAACAATCTTAAAAACAAATTTATCGCCGCATACAACCCAAAAAAGATTACTAAAAATACCAAAAACATTTTGTGACTAACTGCTTACTCGAACAAAAATATGATTTAAGTTTCAGGCGAATGTGAATAACGATGGAGACACTGAAGCGGACTTCATGATCCCCATCAAGGCTGAAGTTCCTACAAAATAAGCTCGCCAACTCAACTAACATCTTTATTAGTACGTAGCAACACTACACTCATCCATACTGTGTGTTAAAAGCTTTTTGAAGCTCCACGACTTTCTACCGCGTGCTAATTAGTGCTTTGTACCATATACCATAAAATTATGTGGGATTCTACATCCGTATTGCAAATTGAAATACTTTATAAAATCCGTAACGCACATTGGTGTATGATTTCACATCCGTTCCACATGTTGGTATATGATGATACATCTGAAATGAATACCATTAGTAACAGGATTACAACCATAAAAGTAGCTACAACAAACTACAACGCATGAATATTTATTTCTCAAATACCTCAAACTCTTTTTTAAACCATGATTACATGTCATAACATATTCTAGTCATATATCTTCATCTCCCCGATATTATACTACCTACTATAGTCCATTGATATTTTTGATACATATTAATAAAGTAATACGCATACATGTTATGTTTATTATAAATACTATTTTTCAATATAGCTTCTTTAAATTTATTTATTTGATTTTAAAATTGTCATCTTTTAGGTAATACTGTAGTTACAGTAATATCTCTTACTATTGTTAAGGTCCTATCTGATCTCACTTTCTTTCTCTGTTTGTATCTCGACATTCCACACTCTTTCGCTGTTTTCAAATGAAAATCCATCGGCTTCGGATGCTTTCCGGATCTCCACACATATTGTATGGTATCTCACGAACCTAAATTATTTATATTTTTTTGTATGCAAATGTTTCTGGTCGATTTCTTTCTGTTGTATGGTGAATATGTTGTAATTTAGATTAGTTACTATTTAATTCGTAATAAAAATTGTTTAATATTCGGAGTGGGTAGTGTTGACAATTCTTGGTTTTTTAAGAAGGAAGCGTAAATTTTAAATAACAAAGGACCCTTTCACAAATTTTGTGTTACGTAACAACTAAGGGATCTCAATGAACAAATATTATTTTATAGAGAAATCTACCTCTATGACTAACACAAGACGCCCCTACGAACCGATATAACCAATTATCAAAAAAAATTCAGAAACATTAACGTCGTGTTATATCAAAAATTTATTGTACACTTACACGAAACAAAAACAACATTAAGAAGATGCGAGTTAACAAAAAAATCGATGAGAATTATAATTACAGTACTCTTAATGATAGAAAAACGTTGTAAACAAAATAAATTATTTATTCGCGGGTAGAGATTCGAGAAGGGCTTTGGTGAAGGCGGCTGCGTTCGCCGCGGCGTAAGCCTGAAAAATAAGAAAATTAATATCTTGACATCAATTAAGACATTTTGCAAAATTTCCTTTAAAAATTTTTTATTATATCATTGTTTATACTATAGTTAAATTGAGTTAAAGACGAAAAAAGCAAAAAAATCGATTTTCTGAGTAAATTTCAACTTTTGCCAAATTCAAAAAGCTGTAATTTTTTTACCAGCCATCGACGTCAATAAAACCTTAAGACAATACGCACCTTTTAATGCTTTACAAACCTCATAAAACCATTTTTCAAAATTTTACCCAACATCTACAATAACAAGTTTTTTATACCTAAAATCCCATCAAATTCCCTCAAAAACACCCCTCAAATCTTCAAAACCACTCTTTACCTGCCAAGGTCTAGCAATTCTAGTCGAGCCATTGTGATAATCCGCTACACATCTTATCAACGCATATGAGTCGATGCAATTGCCAACAATCGACTGAATAACCGAGTCGAATCCGCCATCGAAAGCCCTGGCGTTGAATTCAGACAAAAATCCATTCCTGAGGGCTTGAGCTGAAGGCTGTGGTATTGGTTTGTCTTGTTCATCCAGGACGATTGGTGGAGCGTATCGTAGCATCGATGCTATTGTGCCTACGTGCCATTCTGGGTCGGTACGGTCGGCGTTTGGATGGGGAACAACTATGGCATCATTGTCACCACTCTCGAGGGCAATCACATCTAGGTCGGCTGATGGTCGATTAAAGTCGTTGTCTTGTTGTTTTTCGGCGTTTAATTGGTTGATAAGTTCGTTGATGTACTTGTGCCATTTTTTACGGATATCTTTTGTTCTGAAAATGGAAATTGAGGTATGAAAAACCAAATATTTTAAATTTTAGGTATAAAAACGACCATTTTTAAGAAAAGAACACTGAGTTTTAAGTTCAACTTTAAAGCTACTACACGTTAACATACGATAAATGAATTTTAATGCTATAATATCCATACATTCGTCAAAAACAAATAAAAAATACCGAAAAAAACAAAAAATCCTCCAAAAATTTAAACTTCAACCCACCTTGTCTCCAGTAGATCCACAAATACCTCCTTCTTCGGTGACGATTTATGAGCTGATAACCCAGTAACTTTGCCAGATATTCTGTCTTTTACCACACTTGATCCATAAACATAAGCTGGATGCTTGCCATTCGATGTTGAGCTTACTACAACATCACCCAACTTGACGTGCTGTTCTGGATCCGTGTAATGTGGCACTCCACCACCAACGCCTACTATTAAAACGTGCTCTACTGCCTGGAAATTGCCCAACAATCTTGTAGTAACTGATCCAGAACTGATCGTAGCTTCTCGACTGTCCCCAATGATCGGTAGCTTTGTTACTACCACGCGATGAGGTCCTATATTACCCACTGTGTACACATTCGAGTCCCCATTCAAGTTGTACATGTGTAATGTATTGGCGTTCTCGACACAAGAAGATACGGCCAAGTTCTCCACAAACAGACATGTTACTATAGCTATTGTTGGTGGTTTTTCTTTGACTGCCTTCGAGAATTTGGTCTCACCGACGTCTGAAATTGATCATTTTAACTTTTATATCAGTTAGAATCATCTAAATTTAAAAAATTATTTTGAAAAATAGGGTACGGTAAAACTACTGTCTCTTTAAAATTTTAAAATAATTCGAGATCTTTTTTTCCTTAAATACCTTTAGAAATGAATACTATACAAATATGCCAAATTTCAAACCCCCCAGCTACTGTAAACAAAATGTTATTGCCAAATGAAGTCAGCTCACCTACTACAATATCCACTTTCTTAACCAAAACCCAAACTTACGAGCAAAGTTATTGACTCTAATAATCTCTCCACTCTCCAGCTTTTCCGCAATGCCTTTCTGCACCAATTCCTCGATGAATCCGGCCACAGTATCTCTATCACATCTCAAATCCTCCACAATAGCATCAAATGTCAAAGCATTTGGGTACGCGTACTCCAACATGGTCTGAACATGACCTGCCATAACATCCTCAACTTCATCATCAGTTTCACAATCCTTCGAAGTCGGTACAATGACTACGGCATCAGCCGCTACACGCTTCACCGTGACATCCACGAACTTGATGTGATCGTTGGAAAGATCACGCAAAGTGAGAAGAGCGTTGATGAGAAAAGTGACAGCATCTCGAGACTTTGATCCTGTTACTCCAACAAAGAACTCCTTGGCGGTATCGTGACGTCCGGTCTTTGAAACATGATCGTAAAAAATGAAATCTAACGTTCGTTTTTCCTAAAACAATAGGATAGATTAGACAAAAATAAGTAATATCTGAGTTTTTCAATATAATTTTAAATCAAAAAACTAAAATTTCATATCCAGAAACCTTTGTACACTTTCGTCACTCCTTATTTTACAATTTCCCCACCAAAAACTATCTTTTTCAACTAAAAATCCAGTTTAACAATCAAATTTTGCCTACTACAATATAATATTTACCTGATATCTCGGTGCATCCTCAGGTGTAACCCAAACGGAGTAACCACAAGTTACATGAGGTTCAGACGCTTCGTATTTTTCAGCTGGCGGCAAGATAAAAAGGTTTTCGAATCGTTCCGTAGCGATATGAGCCGGCTCTGGCAATGATCCTGCTTGTGTCCTAAATCAAATTTTTAGCAATGTTACCATTGGCTAACTACATAAATTACATATTTTTACGATCTAAAAACTTTTATCTATCTTTTAACATCAAAAACAGCATATTGGGACAAGAAACCAGTTAGATATAACCATTGACCCTCAACAATATTATTCATGACGAAAGTAAACAAGCAAAATCTTATCAATTTTAACCTAATAGTTTATAAAACTATGCTCAAAAAATATACACCAAACTAAAAAAGATATTGTTAAACACAACTTATCAATAAATAACAAAATTATTACCTAAAAAGCCGTGAAACACTTTCAGAAGCATCCTTTTTCAACGGCAAAAGTGCTGAGACAATTTGATCGTGTTTGAAGTAGTATTCCTTTTGAAATTCATCAGCTTGTGCTTGATGTAAACGTGTTTTAGCCGGAAGCTCCGGTCGTATGGCATCCGTCGCTGCCATTCCCAGCTTGCTCTACCTGAAATAACATGGTTAATATGTAAAACAATATAAAAATACTAGAATTTAACGAAAACAGGCAAAATACGAGGAAATATACATAAATAAAAAAGCAAAACAAAATTGTCCACAATTTCAAAAATTACATAAAAATAGCTGGATTATAACGGAATGCCAAAAAACAGGGATCTCGTGGTAGAACCTACATGTATACATAAAAAGTTGCAAAATTCCTAAACTTTATGATGCTTTCGAAAAAGTAGCTTCAAAACTACTGCTAAACAAATAAATTTATAAAAAAAAGTCAAACATAAAACTAGATTGGCCAATTCAAGCATAGATAATATAGCTATCGCCAGAGGCAAAGAGACATTTTCTTTTGATCTGAAATGAATTTAACCTGAAACTAACTAAAAGTCGGGACACTTTGAAACAATTTGTCATTTAATCAAACGTTTTGGCTTTGAATTCAACAAGTTTTAACAAATTTTTGGAGATTTTTAAATGCTTGATTTATTGAAGCGGATTTAAAATGGAATTTTTAAAATGTTACAGTAACCGTCAGGTAGAAGATTTTAAACTTTAATTTTGAAAGGTAGTGTTAATAAAATTGTAAAATACGGTAAAGTTTCAGTTGACACGAAACTTTGGCCGAAAACCTAATTTTGTTTCAAAGCCTCATAGAAGTTTAAAACTTTACAGTAAGCTCAAGAGTAAAGATGTTGGCTTTAAATTTTACTTTTACATATATAGAAAAAACATTGTATAATTGTATAATAAACATAGACTTACCAAGCGCTTTACAAAATGCTTTAAATTTTGATTTGAAAGTCATATAGAGGAGATTTTGGGCTATATAGCTTTAAAACGTGACAGTAACAGTAGAATAAAAGATAACAAGCTGGAAATTTACAAAAATATTTGAAAACCGTAGTCAATATAAAAAATAAACATATCTTGCTTAAAAATTTACAAAAACATTGGTTAAAGACCTCTAAAACCAAGTTATAGCCTATAAAAATATATAAAAACTTAGTTTAAACCACTCCCCTTAACCTTAGTGACACCTAATACTCAGTTATAGCTTAAAATAACATAAAAAGTTAATTTAAACCCCTTTTAATTCTAAAAACCTATCAAGAGTCCTAAAATTAAGCATAAAAATTAGTAAATAATGAGGTAAACAAACAAGTGTTCAAACAGTCTTCCGCTCGGCTTTAAAAAATAATTTCTTTTGGACAAAAAGCGAAAAAAGTGAAGCGAAAAGATAATAATCTAATTTTTGTTTGGTTTGTAAAACAAATGGCTAGTCAATGTGAGTCATTCGAGAAAAGCTGAATTATAATGAAAAAAATTAAAAAGAAATGATTATTCATTAGAAAATGGTTTTTATGATAAACTTTTCATTGAAAGTTATCAGTTGTCCAAATATGGATGAGCCAAAACTATCAAAGTCACACGTTTTGAAAGGCTCATCCATTTTTGGACAACTTTATATAAAAATATTGGAAGTACAGTAAAACTCTTGTATAACAAACCCTTCTATAACAAATGCCTCTATAAGTAACTCACCTATAACGAACTAGTCTATAACAAACTCTTGTATAAAGAACTTCTGTATAGCGACCTCCCCTACAACAAACTCCTGTAAAACGAACTCCTCTATAACGAAAATCCCGTATAACGAAAAAATTTTGAATCCCCGTCTACCACTACACGGTACATTCGAAACTTCTGTATAACAAAACTCCTTTATAACGAATACATTTAAAAATCCAAGAGCAATTTGTTATTGAGTTCTACTGTAATAATATTGCACCGTGCATAACTTTTTTGTAAAACTAAAAAATAATTAAAATGAACTTTATGATCTAAAACAATATCTTTTTGAACAAACCTTTTTTTGCAAAACTTGAACTGATAAAGACAATAAACTTGGATTTGTTTTGTCTCATCCATTGCAATCAGTTAAAAACTCGAAATCAAAAATCAGTCAGTATCAACCAAAACAATCAGCATTTGATCTGGCAATCTTTATTTTTAGGCCTTTAAAATACTCCACAATGCTCGTCAAGCTTCTGGTCTTGACGTTTTTACTTCTATGTTAGCTAAAAGTGGCATTAAACATAAAAAGCGGTCAACTTTTCCACAAAAAACGCGAAAATTTTCGTTTTTAAAGCCAATACCAATGTTAAAACTAAAAATTTAAATAAGTTAACCCAACAAAATTTGCATAAAAATCCAAAAACAGTGCGAGAAATTTGCATTTTACTTGTTCTAATCTCGCCCCATCTCCAATTTCATTTTTCGAACCTCAGAAACCGCTTTGAAAGGCCGTTTGGGCATAGCTAATGGGCAATTTCAAGGTCAGTGAATTTATTACCGAACACGTAATACCTACATGTTTAACTGGCATGGTTAGATGGGAATGCTATTTACAGGCATATCTAAGGGTTTTTGAACAAAATTTTGGAAAAAAAAATTTTTTTGAAAAAATTCACCTTGGTCCCCCCTGTGGAATTTTTTTAATTAAAAAAATTTTTTTAAAAATAATTCTACTTTACTCTACCTCGCTATGAAAACAAAGCTACTAATGACCACTAACTGAACCCCTGTCATCATTGTCATTTAAAAAATAATGTCAATCAGCTTAACCAAAGCTGACAGGTGATAAGAAGGTTCTTCCTTGTGATAGGAGTGACCAGTCTAATTAGTGACAAACAAGAAAATATTTGTTTTTATATAGACAAAAGGCTTTAAATTAACTAGAAATTGATACTTATAATAATTTTTTAATTAAATTTTTTTTTGATTTTTGGTTGCACTGTGCAGTCGAACTAAAAAATCTTGCACGGTGCGGTCAACTTAACCAATAAAGTTGATTTTTTATACGTTCTAACTTTCGAAGTAGCCTTAAATTTTGGATTTAGATTGATAATGATATAGTTGTGCCCCATGCAAAATGTCACTACCCTTCTCCACCCGCTAACTTAAAAAATTTTAAAAAAGTTTAAAGGTCCCCAAAAAATATAAAAATATGCAAATTTAAACAATTTGTCCAAACTTTTATAAGCAAACAATGAAAACTCTAAACTTCCAAACAACATTACTCAATTTTGTTTCGAAATACAAAGGATTATGGCCAAATAAACGCCGAAAAACCGAGTTGACCACTGGAGGCCAAAGACATCAAGAAGCCGACCACCCAATTTCGTTTCGCTCATAAACCAAGGCTAATATACGTATGTTGTAGTGAGGTAAAACACGTATAATATTTCGTGGTTAAAAAATGGTTATAGGTCAAAATTTTAGCCTTTAGGTTTTAAAATACGATTCTTACCGGTTTTTTGGCCTAAAAGTCAATTTAGGCTATGTTAAATAGACATTATTAGATAGTAAATGTAATAATTAATATTAGTAATATATAGTGGAGTAAAATACCTATTGTTGAGGTAAAAACGGTACAAAAAAATTGGGTTGTAAGTATCAAAAATTAAATTTTTAGCCGTTTTTTCATAAAAAAACCTTAGAAAAAGCGTTTTGTTTCACAAAAAAATGTCATTTTTGATAAAACGAAATCAAACTTTTTTGAGATATTTCATAGAAAGTAAAAACCTACACCTTTGAAAACCCAACCATCCAAAAACAACACCTTTTGAAGCCTACAAAAATGAAAAAACAGACCCGAAAAAGTGCGTCCAAGTTAATTTTTGGGTCAGAAATTGATTCGCTGCGAGTTTTTTCTCGTTTTCGGAAAGCAAATCCCAAATATTTTTTGTGATTCATTCGGACAAGAGTCAGGTTTTGGGCTTTCGAATATAATTCGAAATGGAAACTGAAAAGGTAAGTGGCAGAGAGTTGAGGTTTTGGAAGGGGAATGGTAAAATAAGAACAGTAAATCTTTCATTGTTAAAGAAACTTTGTAACATATTACCAAAACTTAATGACACAGTAGTAAAAAAAGCATTTTTAAGCCTTAATTATACATTCCAACTTCCACAAAATTTTAAAATTTCACCAATTTCCAAGAAAAATGTTTGCACGGTGCAAGATTTTTTGTACTGTGCAGGATAATTTCACCGTGCAATAGTCCATCACGCTGCCCTCAAAAATTTTTAAAATTGATAAAAAATAGTACTAACAGTTTATTTACAATGCCTATAGATTATTTTAAATCTATTCACCATTTTTAACTTTGAATTTTTATTAAATTTAAAATTTCTTGCACAGTGCAAACAATTTTTTTTCAGGAAAGTGACAGAAATAAAAAGTTGTCTAGAAAAGGACTTATTTAGTACTTTTATAGTACTATTAGGACCATTTCACAATATTATTTTAAATTTTAAACACAAATTAAAATTTTTTTTTTCGAAAAATTTTAATTTTGACGCAAAATAAAGTTAAAACAAGCAAGTTATTAGCGACGAATCCAGAAATTAGTGTAAAAATTAAAAAGCGCCAAAACCAGATGAAAAAAAAGCAATTTATTATGCGAATAATAATTTCATGCGAAAGGAAACCGAGACTCGGCATTGCAGCTGCCAATCGCCCCTCAAATTTCGTCGTATAACGCGTCTTCGATCCCAAAAATAAATACGAATAGGTCGGAAGTGGAAGGAGAAGACGAGAAAGGTTAAGAGCGCCGGCTTTTTTGTATTTTGGAAATGGCAATGACTACGCAAATTAAAAAAAATGCGTTTAAGCTACTTACTGAGGCTTAGAGATAAAGTATCTTCCCTACCCTATCCTACCCTACCCTACTCTTCCTTACCCTACCTACCGTTGGTTTTGTTCTGACCGTATGGTTATCCTACCTCTTCTAAGCCTTATCCAACCCCATATTCCTTCCTAACCCCCTAGCGTAAACTCACCGTATCTCTACACTACACATTAAAACTATTACTATACTTCTACACTAGCTTTACCGCCTGCTACATCTACTCCTACTTTAGCTCCGCTTGTTCCACTAACAATTAGGCTCTGCATTAGCCCAGCCATAGCGGTTACCGGCGTTTTGCTGTAGCTCTACGCCTGTAACTCCTAATTATACCGTAATTCTGAAATGGTTTTACTATAAGCCTATCTTAAGCCCTAGTTCAGTTATACTGTGGTACCACGCTTGCTATTATTAATTTTTCTCTATCTTAAAACTTTATACAGTGATCCTACCTTCCCATAATGTGCTTCTATCTTAAGCTTTTAGCTTACTCCTGATCTAGTAAATCTTGCTTTATTTCTCACCATAAGACTTAATATAGGCTTACTGGAACCCTACGGTAGCCGTAAATAACCCTACCCTTTTCTGAGACTTTATGCCGTTCACCTGCCTTAATCTTTACTCCAGCCTTACCCTGATCTATCATAACCTATTTATACCGTCCTCAAACCTTACCCTACATATGACCAACTAAAAATGACCAAAGTACGTTCAAAACAAACTTTATGAACATATTATGTGCAGTTGTCAAAACTTGTACTGATAAAGGTCGTAGGGGTTGATCATGCCGGCCGCCGTGTTCAACATGTAATTCTGTTGGACTTGGGCCGACTTCTTATTCACATAGAGATTGGCCTCTTCTTGGGATTTGGCCAAGTTCTTCTTGTAGCGAATTCGTTTGTTGCCAAACCAGTTGGCAACCTGAGATACGGTGATTTGACAGGTTCGAGCCAACTCTTCTTTGGTCTCTTCACTGGGGTAGGGGTTGTTGAGGTGGGAGTAGAAGTATTCGTTTAGGACTTCGGTCGCTTGTTTCGTAAAGTTTCGACGTTTTCGACTGAAAAATTTGCATAATTTTTAATTTATGGCAAGATAAAGTAAAATACCATAAGTTTTTGTTTTGTAAAGAAAGTTCTTGCCATTTTTTGTTTTGTAAACAAAGTTTTTGCCATTTTTTGTTTTTTAAACCAAGTTCTTGCCATCTTTTGCTTTGTAAAGAAAGTTCTTGTCATTTTTTCCTTTAAAAAGCCTTACCGTGCATCCAAGAACCTTGACCTCAGCATCATGACATTCTCACACGTACTCTGTTTCAACTGAACTTGTATTCCACTAAACTTTTTCTGGATAATCATCACCATTCGATCAATCTCCACCTTGGCAATGGGTCGAATGTTATTCTGCTCAAACAACAAACTCTTGACATGATGAGTGAACTGATTACTCGCCTCCTGATACTTGTGCAGCTCCTTGTGATAGGTCTCTCGTATCTGTTGTAGCTTATGTTTGTAGTCGGCCTGGTCTGTGGTTGAGGCATCAGCCGAGGCCTGGATATTCCTTTCAGGCCCTGCCACGCCTTCGGCCGCTAACATATTATCCAGCCGCATTAGTTGGGAATCGTCCATGGTTTGAGCGTCTTCTAGCGGATACCTCATGTGGAAACAAAGTTTCTTCTTCACGTCACATAACTCGGAATATAAAGCATACTTATAGGGGTTGTCTGAGAGTTGAGATTTTCTGTAAAATGAGATTTTGAAAGGCCTAGGTTTAATGAGTTTAAGCTTAAAAGGCTTAAAACTTAGTATCCAGATGCCTAGTTAACTTAGGTTTAATAGGTTTGGGATTAAGTAACAGGGTTGTTAAGCCTAGTATAAATAAGCTTTGGGTTAAAGGATCTGGAGCTTGGCTTAGGCTTAGTAAACTTAGTCTTGGTAATCTTAGCGTAAGTAAACTTAGACTTAGTATGCTTAGGCTTGATAGGCTTAATAAGGTTAGGCTTATTAAACTCGGCTTTTGATCGGCTTAGGCCTAGTAGACTTAAGTCTAAAAGACTTCTGGTAGCTTTAGGCCTAATCTAAACACATCTCCCTTGATTAAACTAATCTACTCCCCCCCCCTATATAAAATATGAAAAAAACTAACTTAACAGCTGCCGTATCATCCAGCGGTTCGGTCGCAATGAGTTGAAGTTGTTGTATGAGATCATCGACTGTCATCGGGTAGTCGTTGGAGCTGGATGGCGTGGATGTCATCAAACTGGAAATTAATTAAATGTCCAGGAAAAAAGAGTCAATGCCAAAAGAAGCTAATTTAAAATTCGCGGCAAAAAAGGAAAATAAGTGAACAAAAATTGGCCATAAATATGAGAGAGATAGTTTGATGGCTGGGGTAAATAAAAAATAAAAATTTTTAAAATCAGAATTTTGTTGAGTCTACCTTACCCTACCTTACTTTACCCTACCCTACCCAATCCTACCCTACCCCGCCCTACCCTACCTAATCCTACCCTGCCCTGCCCTACCCAATCCTATCTTATCTTAGTCCTATCCTACCCCGTCTTTTCCTGTCCTGTTGTCCCTGCCCTTCCCTGCCGCGCCTTTCCTTGTCATATCTTGTCTTGACCTGTCCTGCCATTCCCTTCCCTATTCTAACATTCTTTGTACCATACTTAGTCTTATAGTATCCTTTTCCAGCCTTGCCAAGCCATGCTCCGAATCACCCCACTCTAATCATAACAGTTGCCATAATGTTTATTTTACCTCAGCCCTACCCTACTTTAACCTAACCTATCCTGCCATATCCTGAAGGGCACATACCCAAATGAAGCTAACTAAGTGTGTATGATACTTGTCCTATCCATTTAAAAAAAATGAAGCATATGCCTTACCTCTCCCTCTAATGACAATAAAAAGATAATATTAGGTGCCGACATAAAGAACCCGCCATTTTTTACACGTAATTACAGGATAAATATGGCGAGTTCTTTATGTCGGGGCCTAATAACTTACTAAAAAATTTTAAAATTCAAGACTCCGATTTAAAAAACATGAGATCTCAGTTTTGAATAAAATAAATCCCAGAATTAATAAAAAAAAAGTTGAAAAAACAGATGGGCGAGCTTCTCGAAAAAAGATCCCCACCAGCTGTGACCCATCCGCCAAACCTTATGTAACTAATGTTACCACAAGCATATTCATTCTAAATCAAGTTTTTCAAACCTTTTTTGTAAAACGTGACTAACTATTGCCATCTTTAGATGACACAGCATTTTTCGTATAATTTTTAAAAAATAACAAGAATTTTCCTTACAGAATGGAAAATGGCAAGAACTTTTTTTAAATCGAAAAATAGTGAAAACTTTGTTTACAGAATAAAATGGCAAGAACTTTCTTTCCAAAACAAAAAATTGCAAGAACTTTCTTTACAAAAAGAATTTTTCTTTGAAATTTCAAAATTTTAAATTTCCGTTTAAAAGATTACAGTAACCTCTGATCTACTACAGCAACCCCTCAAAATGTCAATTTTAAAAGTACGGCCAAACTCGATTCGTTGTATTTCATTGATAACTACTCGAATACTTAAAACAGTATTCAGATAACTTTTTTCGTTTCATAAATCAAAAGGAAGCCGCCTTGATCATAAAATATTATCAATCGTTTTGTTTTTGTTCCTATTAATTATAGCTCCATTTTTCAATCAAAAAATTCGAAATTTTTGTAAAAAAAGTAGCGAAGGTGATAAGAGAACTTCTAGTTTTAACAGCTATTGACATAAAAGAGCAAAAACTTTGTTTACAAAATATAAAATGGCAAGAACTTTGTTTACAAGTGTCAAAATAGCAATAAGTTTCTTTACAAAACAAAAAAAAAATTTTTTACATTCAAAAAATGGCAAGAACTTTCTTTACAAAACAAAAATGGCAAAATATTTAATTGCAAAAAAAGTATAATTCCGTATAACTTGTCACCCGCAATCCGCGAAAGAGTAAATTTTATAGTTTCACATCTGAATAACAAAAACTTTCTTTACAAAAAAATTGAAAAAAAAACTTTTTTTACAAGCATAAAAATGGCGTGAACTCTCTTTACAGAATACAAAATGTCAAGAACTTTTTTTACTAATCAAAAAATGACAAGAACTTTCTTTACAGAATGAAAAATGGCAAAAACGTTCCTTACAAAACTTAAAATGGCAAAAAATTTCTTTACAAAATAGAAAATAGCAAGAACTTTCTTTACAAGACATAAAATGGCATAAACTTTCTTTATAAAACCAAAAATCGAAAACATTTTCTTTAAAAAGTCCACATTAAAAAATTTATGTCAAAACCATAATTATATAAAAATTTTTAAAAAAAAATTAAAAAGCAACATTTTGCGTTTTTAAAAATTTGAAAAAGCAACAGGTTTGATGGAAAAAAGATAACGACGAAAGTGGCGCGCGTCAAAAAGATGGACTGGACCGTATCATGGAACGCACATAAATCATGGCGAAGAAATGTGAGAACATTGGTAGAGACAGTAGCTTTACTGTGGCATTTTAAAATTTTAAAATTAAAACGTTTTTATTATTTAAAATGTCATTTTGCCTAAATGCATCGGGCTAATGGTGAAAGACGTATTTTACAAAAAAAATATTTACAAAATTAAAATTCAAATGCTGATTTTAGAACCCTAAAATATTGAAAAACTAAAAAAACGACAATAAAATTGAGTAAGAAAGCTTAAAAATGGCGCGCGGCGCATTTTAAGCCTGGCCTTTCATTCATTCTTTATTTTAATACCCCTTACATGAACGGCTTCTAGCCATCGTTTGGTGGCATTGGGTTACGTATTTAATACTCTACTTAAAGTTGGTCAACTCTAGCTTAAAAAAATGCCATACCCTACTCTACCTTACCCTATCCTGCTTTGCCTTGCCTTGTTTTGCCCTGCCTTTCCTTGTCCTGCACTGCCTTGACCTACCTTGCCTTTCCTTGCCTTGCCTTGCTGTGCCTTGCCTTTCTATTTATTTGTTGTCCGGCAAAAAATATTAAAAATTGAAAGAGATATGGCCTTCGCCGAGTTTCTACGCCGATTGTCCGCCAAAGTAAAAAAAAAACAGTTTTTTAATTTGGAAATTAATCAGAACGATAGAAAAATTCGAAAGAATAGCCCCACTTTTTGTCCGGTGAAAAAATATCGAGTTTGAGCAGAGTTATGCCCTTCGCCGTTTTTCTCCGCCGGTCGTCCGCCGATGCAGAGAAAGACATATTTTGATTGGAAAGTGTTTTGACGAATCAGGAGGTGTCATAAAGAACGAAAATCAAGGTTTTTGATTGGTCAAAGCCAAAAAATGGCCTCCGCCGGTCTCCGCCGACCGTCCGCCGAATATCAAAAAATAAAGTACCAATACCAAATCCGTCCGCAATTTCAAGTGTACTAAAAAAAGAATCGTCCAATTTGGACTAGTACTTTTCGAGAACGAAGCTTTTAGTTTCCTCCAAAAATCTCGGGACACCCTGTATATAGAGGTATACTACATCCAGGTCCTAGCCTTGCTTACCTACTCTACTCTACCAACCCACGCCTTATTCAAATTAATTCCCGTACCAATATGGCCTGCCAATATCATGAATATTGCGACACTTTTTTCGCCCAAACTTGAGGAAAACCTTTTGGAGACATGGGCCGCGGTCCCTTCATCCATCAAACGTCTCAATGACAGACTTCGGAAGAACACAAAGTTACGAATTTCTCCCCTTTTGGCGCGTACTCATGAATATTATTGTAGTTGGTTCGGTTAGTCAATTAACAGTTTTTAAATTTTAACTTTAAAATTTTGATTTTTTTATTTTTAAAATCTAGGCTTAATTTAACATTTCCTACCTTATATACTGTAGTCTACCCTACCCTTCTCTACCCTACTCTACTCAACCCCACCCAACCCTACCCTACCCTACTCTACCCTACGCTATTCTACACTACCCTAACATATTGTACTTTGCCCCTAGTCTAACGTACTCTTATCCTACCTCTTCAAAAGCCTTATCTAACCCAAAATATACCCTACTTTAACCTGATTCTCCTTAAATTTCTGTTTTACTACCTAAAAGATTTATAGTAAAAACAATTTTTTAGTACGTCTACACTATTATAGTTACTCTCATAGTACAATATTCCAAAAATTCTAGTACAATAATTTAAAAAACGGAAACCATGGTAAAAAATTGCGCAAATAACATTAGAAATTCGGTTTAATATTCAATCAAAGTGATTGACAACGATCAATTTTGCACTCAAAACCATCTGTCTTATTCATTACCGCGCCCGCAACATAACTTTGCAATTAAACCATTGTCATAAATCGTTAAAAAGTTGCATGAAAGTGCGTTAATACTTCTTACAATATAAAATGGCAAGAACTTTGTTTACAAGACAAAAAACGGCACAAACTTTCTTTACAAATCAGAAAATGACAAGAACTTCTTTTATGAAACCAGGAATGGCAAGAACTTTCTTTACAAGACAAAAAATGGCGAGAACTATGTTCACAGAATGAAAAATAGCAAGAACTTTGTTTACAAAACAAGCAATGGCAACAACTTTCTTCATAAAATGGCAAGAACTTTGTTTACAGTAAACAAATAGCCAAAAGACGGCCTTGACCAAAACTTTTTCTACTGTACCATATGACCTACAATATCCTAGACTCGTAGCACCAGAAGCGTAACGAGAGGTTATAATAAATAACTCCGTCCTTCCCAACCATGGCCGATCCGAAAAAAATTTTTAAAAAATTTAATTCCAGACCCCCCCACCCATAACTTTCCAAAGCCAAAAACCTTTACTTCTGTGAAAAGACAATATTATCTTGTTACCTAAAACAAACTCGTCGCTATGATGAACAAGGCAGATCCTTATCGTCCCTCTTCAAGGCTACCCCTTCCTCTCCGTAAGCGTATGATGATTATGTTTTTATAGCCGCGCGATAACTCTCGACAAACTTATTAACCATTTTTGCGCAATAAATTTGAATTTTGGTGTTTGGAGCTGAGGAATAGAGATTAATTATCTCGCAACATGATGGATAAGATGTGAGATAAGCATGTGTTAGGTTGAGACAATACAAATGTTTCGGACTTTAAGGTGAAAGTACTTAAAATGGAGGTAGAGTAAGGTGTATGGGATTATGGCTAGGTAGGGTAAAAAGGCAGTTAGTGTAAAGTAGAGTACAGTAGAGAGCGCAAAGTAGAGCAAAGCAAGGTAGAGTAGGATACAATAGTATAGGTAGAGTTAGGTAAAGTAAAGCAGGGCATGGCAGGCAAGCTTGGACACAAGGCAGGGTGCCCTGTGCCCTGCCCTGTTACAGGGCAGGGCATAGGGCATCGTTTGAAATTTTTTTACAGTGCAGGACAGGGCAGGGCATAGCTTAGAACAGGGCAGGGCATGCCCTATGCCCTGCATTACCCTGCAAATGCCCTGTTTGTGCCATGGTAAGTTTTGGCGGACGCCTCCGCCGAGCGGTCGATAAACGACGGACGCCATAACTTGGTTAGTTTAGCAGCTAGAAACATGTAGTTCAATTCAGAAGTTATTATATGTCATACGCTACAAGTAAAAGCATAATTTTAAGATTTTAAAAGTAGTATTGTTATCGACCGGTAGATAAGTTTTAGTATATTTTAATTGCAAATTTTATATATATTCTTATCGCTCTGTTGTTCTAAATTGTATAGAAATTGCATTAGATAGGTTAAGCAAAAAACTTCGTTTTTTGTAAAAATTAAACATTTGTAAATTATCGACCGGTCGATAACAATATTGTTTTCAAAAACTTAAATTTCTGGCTTAATGTGTAGGTTATAACAGATAACAACTTCTGCACTTAACTACATTTTTCTAGCTGCTAAACTAACCAAGTTATGACGTCCGCCGATTATCGACCACTCGGCGGAGGCGTCCGCCAAAATATACCCAAATGCCCTGTAAATACCCTGTAAATGCCCTGATGCCCTGCAGGGCAAGGGCAGAGTAGGGCAGGGCATAAAACCCCGATGCCCTGTACAGGGCAGGGCATTGCAGGGCACAGGGCAGGGCATGGAAATTTGCCAATGCCCTGCCCTGTGTCCAAGCCTGATGGCAGGACAAGAGACAGACACAGGACAGAGCAGGGCAGTGCAGGGATAAGATGGCAGTTCATGGCAGAGCAGGACTAGGCTGAGCAGTTCAAGGCACGCTAGGGTAGGATAAAGCCAGCTACAGTAGGGCGTACCCTAAGGCAGAGTAAATAACGTTAAATTCAAAAAAACTAGCAAAAAAGTTTTGTCGCTTAAACGAAAGCCAATAGAAATCAACGACATGACTTTCCTTCCAACCTTACCTTAAAAGTTAAGCAAAGAGCAATTGAATAAAAACTAATAAAAAGATGTTAGACTAAACAGAATATCATAAAATCGAAACAAAAAAAAGCCGAAAAAACAATTGAAAAATTACTAAATACTGGAAAATTCACTAAAATATTGACCAGCCATGTTTTGTGACAACTTTTTCAATATTCTCCTTCAATTTATAGTTGAATCCACAATCAATTACTACATAATTTAATTTTAAAATTTCCTCAGTGTTATTGTTACCTATTTTAAAAGTTAAACGACTCAAAAACCACTAAACATAACAAAAATCAACTATAACATCAACAACATCCTTAATATACGAATAGGACAAGCTTTTTCCTAGTTTGTTACCTAAAATTATTCAAAAAATATTAAAAAACATACCGTTTTTAGGTTCTTAGAGCTGAGAAATCCTTTCTAAATGAATTAATAAAGCTGTTGAGGATCTTCTTCAAGCATATTTTACAAAAATAATCCAGTTATGTTATCCATCACAATATTGACATCCATTTTTAAGAGGAAATTCGTGTTGTTCCTCTTTGAACTTCTTTAGAAGCTGGATGCTAATCCCTTTAGAAACTGGAAACAAGTAGAAAATAAAAACATAGGTAATAATAACATTGAAGATAGTTTTTATATCAAATTGAGGAGCAGTTGAGACCGAATCAATGATTAAGAATGTCGAAAAAAGTTGACGCAAATTGGGCCGAACAATTATTTGTTTGACACTTCGTCCTCAAATTTTTTTTTATATTTTAGGCACCCCTTTATCAAGTTTTTGGTATTTTAAACATCTATTTTTCAAGGGTTTCGGCTTTGAAAGGTAAGACAAGTAAAATAAAATGTTCATTCAGTCAAAACACCTCAGTTTCACAAGTTTAATACTTAAAATCAACTGCTTTCACAAGTTTACAGCACAAAATCAGTCGAATTTACAAATTTACAGCACAAAATCGGTCGACTTCTCAATTTTACTACCCAAAACCTGACAAAACACTTCAGTTTAATACACAAAACCAGTCGATGTCACAAGTTTACCGCCTAAAACCAGTTGATTTCACAAGTTTTTAGACGATTTGAGGGCTGATTCCACGCTGGACAAGAACTCTTCCGATCGTTTTCCGTCTGATACCGTGCTGGTCCAGCTTTGTTGATAGCTTCTTTCATTTGGCATTGTGTCATCGTATATAATCTCATCAAACAGTTGGAACTCAGTAGTGCCTTTCAGGATATTAGGGATGTCGGGGTAAAACTTCTAAAATTTTTTTTTGAAATATTGAAATTTAAAATTTTAGTTTTTGGGTAAAATACGAAGTAAAAGATTCTATTTTCCAAGGTAGGGGTAGGCTAGAGGTAGAGATGGCGAAAATTTCAATTTTAAAAAATTTTTAAAAAATTCGAAAAATTTTTAAAATTCCAAAACCCCTACCTGAGTATCGTACCGATCACCATAAAGCTTCAACCACTCCAAGATGTACAATGCTAGTCCAATTGTCGCCAGACTAGCCAGCTTGGGACCCAATAAGCACACAGACATAAGGCCAAACAGTCCAAACGAAGCGGTCATCATTACAGTAGGAGTGTGATGGTATCGTGCGATCATATGATCATCAGCCGACACATCTTCCGAGTACGAGGTACTGTAAGTGTCACTCATGGACAATATCGGTTTGTACTTGGCATTTGTCATCTTTCTCATCTGTTCATATGACTTGTATTGATCATATGACATCGGGCTAGTCCGTTCCAAGCCAATTGAGTTCATGTCAAGCACGTCCAGAGCACGATAGAAGTCATCGGTAGCAACTTCTGAGAATTGGTCCGAGCGTACTGTAGCTGCCTTTGATTTTTGACTTTTTCGTAGAATCCTGAGGCTGTCTTTGACTGACTGATCAAACTTAAAGTTTTCCGAATTCATTTCGAACTCTTTCAAACTGTCGTACGTGACTTCAGATGAGGGTAAACTGTCCGGTTCTCTTTCAAATGGCTTCAAACTTCTTAGACTAAAATTTTATGTTTTGTACTAAAAATCTGAAATCTTGAATAAGGTAAGGTAAGGCAAGGTAAAGTGGAGTAAATGAGAGTAAGGTGGGTTAGAGTAGGGTAGGGTAGAGTAGGGTGAAAAACTTACGTTTCACTATCACTCATACTTGACTATACCAAAAAAATCATCGACTGGTAAAAAAGTTCACAAAAACAACTCAGCCGACAGCTTTGCTGACAAAACAATAAAATAAATTAAAATTTTACAATTTGAAAATAAAAAAAATTTTAATTTTTTTTTCGATTTTTGATTGCAATTCACGTCTCGAAACAACTCTAATCTACTCCACCCAACCATGCTCTACTGTACACTACCCTATCCTACAATACCACCATCACTACACTACGTTGCCCTACCCTTTTGCCAGCTTCTATTTTTTTTGCAATTACCTATTCTTCTGCATAAAGTCCCTACCCTGCCCTTATGTACCGTGTGTTGTCCTATCTTACAGTACCTTATCTTATTATTACATTTACTTTTACAGCTTCCTATGTCAAAAAAAACACGTTGTATTCACTACATCTGACTTCATTTTTGAATAAATTATTTATACGTATTCAAAAAATTTAACTACTCTGCTTATGAATTGTAATTTAAATTAACTTAATTTGTTCTCACATTCGCTCATTTAAGTACTGAAAAGATTAGTAAAGTTGGATTCGATGTTTAACGTATGTTTTTATAACTTTTACAACGTTTTTTATATTCAAATTACGAAGTACTTAAATTAGCTTTAAATTTTTCATGTTTCTATTTAGTTTCCCCTCTTTATATTTTCAGTTTGACCTCTTTCATCATTACCTTATTTGGCCTCCAAATGCGCTGCCTAGTTTGGTCTCTATTTTCCTCATGAAACATCTTGCTGTAATAGCGACAAAACGCTTCGAATCTGAATAAACGCGGTGGCAAAAAGCCTTTTTACGAAGAGACAGTGACAGACGGCTAGAGGGTTGTGTGGAGAGAGACAAAGTTGTGCGTCCGCCCAGCCAGACAACCTCGAAAGCCCGAAATTTCACTCTTTGGTGGACTGAAGCGAGCTGGCTGGCGGTTGTGTAGGGTTATTGATCCGTTATAACGGAAAACCCTGGTTTTAATAACGTTGATTGTTAATGTAAGTTGAACTTATTTTTATTTGGTTTGAATTTTAGTGAAATATGTGGTGTTGTTAAGCTTGAAAAAGGGCATTTAAAGTTGAAAAATTTGTTTTAAAAATGAAAATTAATTTTTTAAATTTTTTGTTATGACAACCTTTAGTAAAATACAGAAAGGCCTTTAAAATGATATTGTTAAGTTACAGAATGCTAATTTTGAACATTTGATCTTCAGCTTAAAAAAAATTTTTAAATTTTTATTAAAAAAAATTTTTAATTTTTAGAACTATTTTGCATCGGTCAAAAAATTTGTAGCGTTTACTACAGTAACGAACCTATGTATAACAAATCGCTTGGGGATTTAAAGTTTGTCCGTTATAAAGAGGTTTCGTATACAGAGGTTTTAAATGCAGTGTATAGTGTTAGACGGGGATTGAAACGTTGTTACAGGGCTTTTGTTATATAGGAATTCCTTATACAGTGGTCTCTCTATATAGTGAACCATCTGTATAAGCAACTCTCTTATAGTCATCAAGAAATTTCTCCCCGCCAAGTTAATTTGCACTAAAAAGCCTCTCCGTAAAAACAACACCCCTTATAGTAAACACAAAATGTCGGTCCCTTCGGGTTGCTTATATAGAGAGAGTACTGTACGTAGATCTAAAGTTGCTTCGTGTCGGCCCTTTTTATAAATTCATTAAAATGTTAAGTGGGGTAACTTGTATCGTACTGTTCTGTGCCCTAAATAACCAATAGTCTTACAATTTAAATTTTTAAGTTACATTAAGCTTTTAGAAAATGATTAGTCATTACTTTTTGAATAACAATCTTGATCTTATAAGGGCATAAAAATAAAATTTTAATTTTGATTCTATTCTTAACCTATTTATCTTCATTAAACAAACCTTTAAAATGCTTAATTAAAAATATATTTTCAGTGAGATTGGACATAACTGCCAGATGGAGCCATAAAAGGAGAAGACAGTGTTGATAAACATGTCAGGTGGATTTTGAAGACCACAGCCAGAAAAGAAGGACCAGTCCACCCATGCCAAACTTGAAAAACATGCCAAACCAAAAAAGATTTTAAAAAGAATACTGAAGCCCAACGATGATAAATTTGAAAGCCAAGGAAGATATTACGCTGAAGACTGATAATGTTTATTGAGCCGCAAACTGATGATGCATATTGAGCCGGGAACTGATGATGTAAACGGCAGTAGAAAAGATAATTCGACGATAATTAATATTATGAAGCCTGACGAAGATTTTGGCCAGCCACAGTGAGTTTCAGCCAAGAAGTTAAGTTACATGGAGAAGATGATCTTGAAGCGCAATAAATTTGGAAGCCATGAGATGACCTACTGATACTACTGCAAAAGTTGACAGTTAAAACTAATGATGATTAATCTTCAAAGCTACGACAAGCATTATGACGATCTACTCCTACGACAAGTTTTACGACGATTTACTTTGGTAAGACCCCCAACAATGAAAAAAATACTGCTGCATGTAGATGAAGACTATTATGTTACCAGAAGCCTGGAGAATACGAATTTACTTGAATGTTGTTGAAGTCGCGGATTGAAGTTAATTTAAATTCACGAGCTGATGGAAAAGCAAAATCTAGCAACAGGTTGTTCACATAATTCTGTGCCCCTTCAACCCAGAAACTTGCTTGGACAGGAGCACAGAACTTTTTGAACAACCTAATGATCAGGAACAAGGGAGCACATTCATGAAGAAGATGCACGAGGTTACGGGGACCGAAAGGCGACGCGACGACACAGCTAAGTACACGAATGTCAATTGATGTTAGTACTTTGGTACAACAAGTGGCCAATTTTATTTTGTATGTTAATACAACGATGTCCTGCAATGGACACAATGTATGTTATTACTAACGATATTACTCACACCAGACGCACAAAGCAAGCAGAAGCAAGAGTATTATATAAATATCGGAGGTACAGACAATTTACAAGCCATATAGAGATATAAAAGAAGATGATGAAGACCACATAAAATGTGAAGAAGAAATGTAAATGAAGATGTTGACGACAATATACAATATAAAATCTTTTGTTCGCAGAAGTACCCCATTCAACTTTAAAGACATTGCGCTTGCAAGCCGACAACGACCAACGACTATACTTACCACCTTGTGATAGAGACGACACGTCTACTGAAAAAAACTGCTTAGACCACGAAGAAGAATACATGAAGAACACACTGTAAGTATTAGATAACCTGACCTGCCCCGCTCAAAATCAGCCCGAACTATTTATATGAATTTTTTGTACCACCAATAACTTTAATGTAATCATCCTTTTTCAGACACACACACTTTTCTTTGAACCGGACGACGCAAACAGAACAGTAAATGACGACAAGAAGAGGGTAGACCCACGCAAACTTGCACTTTCAAGAGGAAGAATACTGGAAGAAGATCAAAATGGTACGTTCAGTACTTTTGTAATGTTATTAATTGTGAAGAAGACAAATTATTGTCTGAGAAGAAAACAGTTTCTACAGTAATTATAAAAATTGTTATCGATAATTGATAATAGCTGAATATTGTAAATGTCACTTACCACGAAAAGCAACTCTTTAGAATCAAAAGGCATTTTGGGTTTAGATTAGCTGGTCTTGGACTAGCTATGGTTGGTTTGGTCAAAGTTAATGTTACTTTATAGTAACATTATCTTTGCTCAAGCAAACCGTCTTGACTTTTAAACATTAGTTAGGTGTGTCATGCATGTTATAGTTTACTTCAGCAGCTGATGAAGTAGACTATAACATGCATGATGCATTTAACTAAAGTTTAAAAACCCAAGTAGCTAGTCCAAGATCAGCTAAGGATTAAGGTCAAAACAGTTTTAACCTTTGGATTCTAAAGAGCATTGAATAAAAAATGCATCGTGGTAAGTGACATAAAGCAAGAAATTTTGTCTTTATTCCTCTAAAATAATGTGTGTATTCAAAATGTACATCGTTTTGTATGCACACATGTGTCAGCCACCTGGTGGTTTGTTTCTTTAGTCTGTATCAAGAGGATGCTTTAAGGCTATGTCTGAAGCAGATAATTGTGTATTTCTTCCGTCTGGAGCAGATAATTGTGTAAATCTTTTCGTCTAAAGCAAAGCATGTTTAAGATCGTTGTTTAGTGTCTAGCACGTGTTGTGTTATATTGGTACACGTTAATTAACGGATATTTAGTAGTATACGTCTGACAATGCTGTCAAAGTTTAGAAGTCGTGCTTAAGCCGTTTTCATGACCGACAAGCTCACGAACAAAACGAGAAAGCTCTTGTTCGGCCAGCTGGTCGGTGTTTCTGAAGCCAAAGTCCAGTGTATGATCACAAGTCATGCTACTGGCTTCTGGCTACGAAAAAAGGCGTTTGTTTTCGTCAAAACGTCCTATAGAATCTCTTCTCTCTACTTCCGTCCGCAAATAGAGAAGACTTTTAAGTTATCGAACCAGAAAAAGTTATCGGACCAAAAAAATATCAGACCGAAAGACCCAAATAGTCATCAATCTAAGTGTTTCATCAAACTACAATACCAATACTGTTCGTTAACAGTATATGTTAACAAATCGTTTTAGTTTAACCAACTGAAAGCTTCGAGAATAATACAATTTTACAAAACTGAGAAAGGATTCTAATTCGAATCCAAAAACTTATGACCTACTACAGTTCATGAAGCTTGATTATTCTGTGTCGGAAGACCCGGCAATACAATATTAAAAGTCCTGCACACGGACAATCAAAACCTTTGATGAATTAGAAAATAAAATACTTAAAGACTATAGTGACAAAACATGATACAAGACTACATACTGCAACTACAAACGAATCCTCCAATCCGCAACAGTAATCATACAAGTACTATTGTGAAAACTTAACCCAAGTTTGAGCACAGCAAAACAAAAAAAACCAAAAAAAAATTTAGTTGGTAGACAAGATCACTACCAATCATAATTGGTACTAATACCAATTATAACTGGTATTCTTAAGCTTGATTTAGCTTCGCCAAGAAAGAGCTTTAGAATGCCAAAACTGCCGGTTTACTGCTTCTTTCGAGGACAGACCGATACAACGTCTTGCCAAAGGACGAACGTCTAGCCAAAGAAAGAGCAGCAGAAACACGGCAAACGACAATGAAATTGGCATAACCAAAAGTGGTTACTTCGAGAGAAGGCATACTAGAGTCAGCGTCGACGTGGGGCAATAACTGATCATGTTGAAGCTTCCTTAGTTTGAAGAAAAAGTATCTTCAAAGTTGAGAGAAACTCGCTTGACAGCATTCTGAGGCCTCCACCTTCTAACGACTCTAGTACATAATCAGCACGCTAGATTTTATTGCATGACAACTATTTTTAAGTTCTTTTCGAAGCTGAGGAACTTGTTTCAATCGTTTCTTCGGGGGTTTGGCCAATCGATTCTTAAGGACTTTGGCCTAATCGATTCGATAACTGAAAGGTTCAGCCCAACCGAGTCCTAGCCTCATACGGCCGAATCGATTCCTAGCCTTATACGGACCACTTGTCATGCTGTTAACTCCAACGCTAGTATGTTTCATCGCGGTAAATGCTTGATTTACAGGTCGAACACAGTCCGTTGTTTTTTACAAAACAACAAAACTGTTATTCGACAAAGATTGGTAGAGATTTCAAAGGGTAGGGTAGGGTTTTATGACTTCAAAATTTGGGAACCAGACTGGGTTTCAAAAGCGAAGTCAATGTTAAAACTCTGATCATTGGTAATACAAGGCATTTGGTGAGAACATACTAGCAGTACGACATCGTTGGGGCCAATTAGAAAAAAATTGAAAAAAAAGCGACATTTTGGAATTCTGGAGTTGGGAAAATATGGATTTGAATGTTTGGAAAAATTTTGTTGAAAATAGGTTCTGTGGTTCATCTTTGAAATACCTAAGCCGCTATTGTTCATTTTTGAGGCATATAGACCGTCAAAATTCAATTTTAAGGTTTTTCGACTAGACTCAACTGCTATCGTCTAAGAAATATTGACTTAACTCAGCTATGTTTCATCTTTAAGTTTAAAAAGTTGCCCCCAAAATGTTATATCTCCTCTAATATCTTGTCTTTGCCTCCATTACCACCCGTTTCTCTCCCATCAATCTCGTGGTAATGGTACTAACTTGTACTCCCTTCATAAAGCAACTCTGTTTCTCGTTTGTCTAGCATGCATTTGTATGTATAGTCAAACTGCCTTTTGAGAAATGGAACCCCGTTCCATTCAAATGGACATTATCTTCTGATTTTGGAAATTTGATGGAACAAACCCTTTTTGTTACAGGCTTTACTTGTGACATTCTTTAACTTTTAATTTTCTAACTTGAATAGTCTGGTTTTTCTTTTTTAACCTGAGTAAATGTAGCTTTTTCTTTTTCTTATCTTCTAATCTTTTTTAAACCACAATGTTTCTTAAGCCAACTTTCATAATTTTCTCTTTTTTGTTGTAATCACATTTTTAAAGCAATTTGGTGTTATGTAACTGAATAAACTTTATATTTGGCTTTTATATTCGAATCAAGTATATGTTTTAAATTTAAAAAATTTAAACGGAGCTTTAATTTGCTATTGGTAAGTCGATTATTAATGCGCCCTAATCAACAATACTCTGTCCTACTAAATCCTGCCCTAATTTACCGTGCCCTACACTGCCTTACCATAAGCAACACACTACCCAAGCCCAGACTACCCTACCGTACCTTACTCTATTGTATCCTACTCAGGGGCGTCGCTAGCGGAGGGGGTGGATCCGCCCCCCCAGAGCCCATTCGAAAAAAATTCCACAGTTACCTGTACGCGAGAAATCGAAAAACAATTTTTTTTGAAAAATCGGTCCCCCGGAAAAAAATCCGTAGCGACGCTCATAATCCTAGTCTACCCTAAACTACCTTATCATGCCTTTACTTTTCCCTGCTTTACCCTACCCTACCTTATCCTACCCTTACTTATACTCTTACCCCTACCCTACTTTTCCTTGACCTGACCAGCCATAATATATATTACCCCAATGTACCTTACTTTTCCTTACTCTCCTCTGCCCTACTTTACCTAATGTAAAATAAAGAAAAAACTGTAATTTTGAGTATCATATTACCTCAAAAAGCAAAATAAGCTTCTCTTCAGTACATTTTTAACTCAAAAACTTTATTTACACACTATTTGTACAAAAAATATTATATGTTGTAAAACATAAACCTTCAAAACATTGACAAAAAATCTTAATTATGATTTAACATATCGTAGAACAGTTTACAATTTAGCGTTTTTTAGATAGAAGGGCTTAAAATTTCGATACAATAGTAAAATACAATGTTTTTAAACTCTTTGGACATGAATTCGAGGTCTGTTATATGGCAAGAAAAACAATATTTTAAAACTTATAAAATGGTTTTAACGAAGTACTTTCTAAAAGTATTATCGTCATTATAGTGTGTTCGACACTCTGACAATGGTAAAATACGGTAAAATGAACTGAAGATGTCACACTGAAAAAAGGTATACATATCAAGAGTTTGCTATCTATTATGACGTTGCGTTCCTTATATTAGATGAAATTTTGATTTTAAAACTAAAGCTATATAATTAAAATATCAAAGACTACCGTCAAGCCCCAATTATCATACCACAAACGGTGATTTAGGGACCTGACAGTCATTTGAACATTGACATTTTCTAATAATTTCCACAATTTTGGTCTTTTCCATTCCATCCAAACATTGTAGCCTAACTTTGCGCTTTTTAATTCGAACTGCTGCACAACAGCCAGAAATTGGTTGATTTAGGCTCGACTTATCTTCACTACCACACCAACCAAGACATCTGGCATTTTTAACCTTTTCGAGTGATCTACATTCACCGTCCTCTATGTATTCACGGAACTTCTCTTTAATGCAGCGGATTTCACCTGAAGGGATGGAAATTTTAATTTTTTTTGTTTTGAAATTATTTTTTTTAATTTTTAAAAATTAAAAAATTAATTTTTTTAAATCTTTTTTATTAGGGTGAGGGTAGATGAAGTTAGTTTAAGGGTATGAGGCATAAAGTCAAGAAGAACAGTCTTAGCAGTGGAGTAGAACAGAAAAAGGTAGGGTAGTAGAGTATAAAAAAAATAAGACAAATTTTGATTGCACGGTGCAATTTAAAAAATTTGAATCACTGCACTGTGCAGTCAAATCGTTACAAAGATATATTAAAATATACTAAGTTATTGACAAAGCCCTGTAGTCAAAACAAAAATCTTTATAATTTAAACTAGAAAGAATAAAAAGACGTGTTTTACAACCTGCATTGTGCAATTGTTCCCAATTTTACATTTTTTGTATTGCACCGTGCAATACGCCAAACATTTTTTGAGTACATCATGCCACTTTTATAGTAAAAATGGTGTGATAACATATAATAAAATTACATTAAAACTAGTATAATAAACAGCCAATTTTACATTTTTAGACAGTCGTGACAATAAGTTATGACAAGTTTTACAAAATGTCTTGCACTGTGCAAAAGAACCAGAAAAGTTTCATTTTTCAAAAATTAGACAAGCCCTGAAGCAGCTAATTTTTACACCACACACAAACAACATTACTGAGGGCGTATTTTACCACAAAAAAAAAGAAAATTTTTAAAATTTAAAAATCTTACGTTTTTCGCACATTTCCCCACTGAATCCATCGTTGCATTGACAGGAAAACCCATTAATATTTGTGGCATTCTGAACACATTTTCCGTTATTTTCACATTGAATTCCATTACAAATGTCCACAACTCCAACACATCCAGCTACGACATTCTTTTCCTCAACAACTTCCTCATCCAAGTTGATCAGCTTGTTATTGATGGTAATGTTGGTTACACAGCCTGAAATATGACAATTTTTATTAGACAAGACATCGAAGAGGTCTAAAATTACAAAAAAATTTTCTTTTAATGAAAAATATTAAATTTTTCAAATAATTCTGTGCCCTCAAACTCAAAAAACTTGCTTTGAAAGAGAGCACAGAATTATTTGAACAACCTAATATTATCATACCTTTGACGCTTTCGGCCGTTTTGATGTGGAATCCATTGACAGCCTTCTTTCCCACAGCTTCTGGAAGACCTCCGATGTATAAGAATTGTTTCGATGACAATTGGAAATTTTGAATTTTCCCAAAATTAACCAAACTTTGGGTTGCCAACTGGTCAATAGTCAGACTGAACTTGTTACCTTCTATCGATACATTCATTTGATGATGTACACCGTCGTTTACTGTAATATAATATTTCAAGTCATCCAATCCAAAGCGTATTTTACCTAGTATGAGTTAACTCAACACATCTTTTGCCTCCCCCTTTGCCCCGCCCAACCTTATCCTATGTTTATCTGCCTTAAAATACCCTACCCTAGTTTACCCTGCCTTGTTTTAACATATCCTATTCCCTCATACCCGATCTTCCTCTACCCTGCCCAACCATACCTTATTCTACCCCGCCCACATATACCATGCCCTATTCTACCATACCCCACTCTACCTTACGCTACCCTTACCTTTTAGAAAGAAATCAACTTACTGGTGGCATAACTGTACATATGACTAGCTGGATAGTTGCCAACGTAGAAGCTAACTTTGACTCGACCTTCAAACAACTCCAAAGCCAGATGGGCTTTACTGTCGCCGTAGTAAGCGATCACTCCTTCACTGAAACAACATTATTTTAAAATTTCAAAAACTTAAAATTTTATAAAGATATAGATTTTTCTACTGCCAATAAATCACCTTTTACTCTACTGCACTCCACAAAAATTTTTTTCAGAAAAGTTGAACGTACCCCCCCCTGATAAATTTTTTTTTCGAAATTTTTTAAACAAAAAAAAATGTTTTTTTACCCCGCCTACCATTATTCATAGACCTAAAATACCCGCCTAACCCCCATCTTTACACATTTACACTACCTACTCATTATTTATGCTCTGCGCCCCCTTACCTCTTTTCCGTCCTAACCACAAACGACAAGTTGCCCTGAGGATTGGTCTCCCACGGAGGTAATGCCACATAGCTATCCCTTTCATTGAATCCAATAATCCGCCTCTTATCACAATCTTTACCATCGTAGCCGTGCTCACATCGACACTCTAGTTCGTCCTCTTCATTCAGTACGCATTGACCATGAGCACACGTATGTGGTGAGCATGATGATGGGTTGTCATTGTACAGTAAATTGGCCATACTATTCGCTACTTCACAGTATTTGCCACTGTATCCTATTGGGCAGTTGCATTCGTATTTGCCTAGGCCATCTACACATAATCCACCATTTTGACATTGATGAGATTGGCAGTCGTCTGTGTTGGTGGTACAGTTGGTACCACTGAAGCCGGGGGAGCAAATGCAGCTGGAAGTGAATGAGAATATATATTGTTTTAGTGTAATACAACATTATAGTATTGTATAATTAAACAAATATAGACCCACGTATACTTAGATCACTTTGTAAAAGCTAAACGTTAAAAAAAAATATGTAAAATACGCCAATGACCACCTTTCGGGGTTAAAAAATAGAATGTTACCTATAATTCATGCCACCATTCAATGGAAAACATTTGCTATTGTTTTTGCACGGATTCATCTCTTTTGTACAGTACGACAGCTTCTTTTCACAATATTTTCCACTATACATTGTTGGGCAGTCACATTTGTAGCCATTTATCTACAAAAATAAAACATTATAAAGTCTATCAAGTACAGTAGATTAAAGTTTAGTAAGACAACTCAATGTAGCTTTGAGAACAACCCGTGCAAGAAGTTATAAATTACAGCCCAGTAAAAGAATGTAAAAGAAATAATAGTAGAAGAGATGATAGTAGAAGGTATAGTATGATAGAGTATGAAAATAAGGTAAAGTGAGTTAAAATAAGGTAGGATAGAGAAGAGTAAAAACAGTATAGTAAGACATCTGATTTTAGAGTCGAGAACAGCGCGTTAAACAAGGTATGACTTATAATAAGTAGATAATGATAGTAGAAGGTATCGTATGATAGAATAGACGAAGGTAGAGTAAAGTAAGGTTGTAATAGAGAAAGGTGAGATAAGATAAAACAATATATTACTGAACAGAGTAAAGCAAAAAAGACCAAAGTTCAAGTTTAAAAATTAATTTCCAACGGACTATTTGACTCGGCGGAATCTTACCGATTGCATCATAAATCCGTTGATACTATGAGCCTGCGGTCTCTTACCCTTTATAGGTCTACAATCTCTCCCTCTTGATAATCCTATAGTCTCTCTCTCTTGATGAGCCTACGGGCTATTGCGCAACGCATAATTAAAGATAAAATACAAAACCCGAAGAAAAACCGAGCACTATCATCCTTGTAAATTTCTACGCGTTTTACACTATTTATACGGCAGCATCAGCTATACTTCCGTCAGTGTATCCAACAACTCGCTTTGGTAAGTGGCAGGCTTTTTAATCACCCTTTTTAAAATAATAAACTTGAAATTATAGTGTCATTGTTGTGTTTTAACTTTTTTAGACTTGTATACATTTATATATATAGCTATAGTATATAATTGTAAAGCAAATTATCGATGTTTTACTATTTCTTTCATTTCAGATTATACTAAACTATCAAATCAAAAATTTGATTAACCAAAAATGTTCGCTACTACCCAAATGATCTTTGAACAAAAGCAATACAACCAAGCTCACCCACTACCTCAACTCCCCAGCCAACATCAAGCCACAAGACATGGCTCACCATCGACTAGCTACGAATCAGGCTACAACACTGCATCACAGTCTAGTCGTTGTAGCTCCCGAACCTCCCCCGACCCCTCAGAAGCCAACTACCCTATTCATTTTTCGTGTAACCAAAGCAGTACCTCGTCAAGAACATCAAGACCATCTTCTGTCTCCCCCGGCTATGCTACAGACACCAGTGAACCAGTCGGCTATACCTACGCTAACAAGCAACTATTCAATCTTGAAGCCAATTTCTACGTTGCCGGCTACACTAAACGTCACCTGAACGTTAATGCAAAGCCGTTTCAACCAAGAACGGTAAAACCTGGTTGTCAGCATCCATTGATGCCTCATACCAATATTGATGTTGTGCCATTCTACCCAGCTGAGTTTTTAAATGAAGAACGACGATGGAACTTACACTTGCCATCAGATGGTCAAAAAACTTATTATATGAGAATATAAAAACCTTATTGTATTACAACTATGTATATATTATTGTTATTTGCACTACCGGTGACTTTTTTAATGTTAAATTGAAAAACAAATAAACTTTGACATTAATATCACATCGTATTAAACTAGAACATATTAAGAGGTACCTTCCGCCAAGAGACGTTGATAAAAAAACTTTTTACTAGAGGGCCGCACATAGAGAAAACCGGGTTATCATTCGTGATACAGCCAAAGCTCTCTAGTTTTTTTTACAGTGCAATATCAACCCCAAAACAAGGTACGCCAAAAGTTCTGTTACAAAACTTTACCGGTCGTTTTCTTTATGTACCTATTTCTTTTGCAAATTTCTTGGGACACCCTGTAATTTAAAAAAAAACTAAACCTACCATATCGATGCACTTTGCATTGTTCTGACACTTGCTGTGCACACAATCATCAATGTTAATTTCGCATCGTTCTCCTCGGAATCCTTTCGCACAGTAGCACTTGAACCGTCCTTCCTCAATCACTTTGCACGTTCCATTGTTCCTACATGGATCTCCATAACAAGCGTCGATCTCATGTTCACAATTTGCTCCATGATAACCAGCTGGACATGTACACTTATACGACAATGCGGGTTGCTTCGTACATTGACCCTTATTCTTGCACGGATTCACAGCACATGCATCACATTTGACATCGACCTTCTTGTTTATCGTGCACTCGAATCTGGCTTCGTTCGAGGTCAACAGTAGCTTGTTGCGTAGCTCATCCGGTGACTCACACCGTGCTATTCCTGGCTCTACAAATCGTTCCTTGATCCAATGTGAGAACCATTTTAGCCGGCAATCACAATGTAAATGATTGGCGCCTACTGCAATATGACTTAGATTTTGTTTTAGGTCAATGAAGGCGGATTCTGGAAGTCTGGAGATGTAGTTACCGTGCAACGACAAGATTTTTAGATTCAGAAGACCTGAGAAGGCTTGTTCTTCTAGGCATTGGATGTTGTTGTAGGCCAATATTAGGGTATGTAGATGTTGTTGGGTTGAGAAGAGGTTGCTTTCCACGATTTTTAGACGGTTTTGGGACAGATCTCTTAAAAATATCAGTGAAATACGTAATCATTACCTCCACTTATAAAAAATGTCATTTAAAATCTTTGAAAGTTAAAAAAATTTCAAAAAATGATTAAAACCCTCACAATTTCAATAAATTTGGCAATCGACTGAAATGTTTTTGTGAAATACTGATCAATTCATTGTTATCCAGATACAACTCTTCAGTATCCGATGGTATACCAAGTGGAAACTCTTTAAAGCCTCTACCAGAACATCGCACAGTCTTGTTTTCGCATTGACAGCCGGCTGGACAAAAATTGCCGTTTTCAGCACAAATACTAAATGAATCGCCTAAAAATATATAAACCATAATCATGTCGAAAAGACTTTCAAAGGTATTTTACAAAACAATAAACCTACCATCACAAACAAGTTTATCAGCCTTTAAAGTCAACAGCTCTCTTCCATAAAGTTCTTTAGGCCCAGTACACAGCGGAGAATCAAATATCTTACTACCCAGGTGATGATTCACATTTTCAATGAAATTCTTCAAATGACAGTCACAGTGAAACTCGTTTTCGGCTAAGTACCTAAAAAATCAAAAATGAAGTAAAGTGATACTGTATACCAACTCGCTCAGAGATTTAAATTAAAATTTGCTCGTTATATTGAAACCTTTTTATAGAAGAGTTCGCTATAGAGAGATTCGTTATAGAGAGAAGTTCGTTATAAGATAGTTTCAGTTTTAAACCACTTACAAATTTTTGATATTACTCAAGTTATTGAACGTATGCTCAGTGATGCAGCGAAGGTCGTTCTTAGCCAATGATCTAAAATAAACTTAAGTTCATCCTATTTTAATTACAATATTCGTTTTGAAAACGTTATTTAAAAAAAAAATAAACATTATAACAAATAATTCTCAAAAAAAGTCAAAAGGAGTGTGTGTCAATCATAACTCGGTCAAAACAAGTTCTGAGACTTTTAAAAACAGATTCTAAATTTCGACAACCTTAAAATCTTTCTTTGCTATACCATATGCCCAGGGACGTCGTCTGGGGGGGGGGTAGGGTACCCCCCAGAGCCAATCCAAAAAAAAGTCCACAGTTGAAAAATCGGTCCACAGCAGGGACATCGATTTTCCAAAAAATTTTTTTTTTGGTTTTTTTTGCGTACAGGCACCACCTACCTGTGGAATTTTTTTCGGATCGGCTCTGGGGGAGGGGGTACCTTTCGACCTCCTCCCCCCCCAAACAAAATCTGTAGCCACGTCCCTGCATATGCCCGAGCTTTAGATACACCTTTTGACATTGTCCTTGTAAAATGAAAATCAAAAAAAAATAAAAACCAACAAAATCTTACAAAAACTGAAGATTGTTAAAGCCACCAAACGTTGGTTGAGTCACACACATTAACCGGTTATCAGAAATGTCACTGTAAATTGAAAAATAATCAAAATAAAAAAAAACAAAAAAAATCACCAGGTTGTTCAAATAATTCTGTACCCCAAACTCCAAAAATTTTGCTTTAAGCGGAGAACAGAATTATTCGAACCACCTAACTAAAAAATCATAAAAATTGAAGATTATATAAAAAATAAACAATAGTAAGCAAAGACAAAGAAGCGTATTTACAAAACACAAACTTACAGAATTTCCAGAAAATGAGCGGTTTTGCCCAAGATTTTGGTCGAAAAATGACGAATTTGATTTGATGACACATTAAGTTCTTTCAGGCTTCTCATTTCGTCCATGGCTCTATTTTCGATGTTCACTATCTGGTTTTCACTCAAGTCTCTGAAATTATCCTCAATATGTTTTGTAAAGAAAGTTTTTGTAATTTTATGACTTGTAAAGAAAGTCCTTGTTATTTTACCAAAAATAACAAAAAACTAAATTTTTGTTACCTAAAATACTAAAAAAAGTTAATTTTATTACCTAAAATACCAAAAAATTATTTTATTTCCGAAAATACCAAAAAAAAAAAGAAATTTTCGTTACCTGAAATACCAAATTTCATAATTTCAAAACATTTTTTATAACTTGCACAGTGCAGTTTTAAAAACTAATGATTGCACCGTGCAATCTAAATCTGATATCATTTTTTTTACAAATTTGAAAAAAAAATCTTTTTTTGCAGTGTGTAAACAAAGTTTTTGCCATTTTAATATCAACTTGTATCTGAAAACGCCGTTTAAAATAGGTGCACGGTGCAATTTATATAATTTCAATGACTGCACCGTGCAAATCATTTTCTTTTTTAAATAAAGCCGAAATTACGCAAATATATTTTAAAAACTTCATTCCAATGTCTTTTCACAACATGTTGCAACATAATAACACATTATTCTTCAAAAACCTCAAAGATTTTAACCAAAATTAGATAAAAACTCCCAAAAACTACTTAAAAACTCACAATTTTCTCAAATTTTTAAGTTCACTAAGCCCATCAGCCACCTTCACCTCTTTCAAATTGTTTCTATTCAACTTCAGTTCAGTAGTAAACCTTGGAATGTCATTTGGGATGCTTGTCAGCTCTCTACCACTGCAATCGACAACACTATGATGACAAAAGCAGTCGGTTGGGCAGGAATAGTCGATAAAACATTCGCCCGCCGATTTTGTGACAAAGATTTCTGATCCTAAAAAGTTGTTATTGACAAAAATAGGTGGAATGAAATTTTCTTAGACTACATAACATTAGATTTGGCAACTTATGCCTCTAAAGACAATTAAAACTAGTTATACCTTTACACTTGAAGCTCCCTGGTTGAACATTGGTCAGCTTCTTCTTGGCCATTCGCTTTGGACCTTCACATTTGGCACCACTCGTCTCAATTGGATGATTTTGGAGGTATTCGGCTAGCCATTCCTAAAATTTTTGCCATTTGTTTTAAAAGCACTTTTACGTCATTTGAATTTTTGTTACCTAAAATATTACTACAAAACATTTATTATTGGTTTTAAAACAAAAAAAAAGCAATTATCAAGTTGTTCAAATAATTCTAAGACACTTAACCTCAAAAATTTGTTTTGAGAGAAGTTCAAAATTATTTGAACAACCTATAATTAACTGCACGGTGCAATATTTTTACTTTCAAAAAATAAATAATGTAAAATACGAAAATAAATTTTAATACTAAAATTAAAAATTTTAGAATCTCCTTTTATCTAAAAAAGCAAAATTTTAAAAATTATTTCAGTCCAAGCCATTTTATCAAGCATCCAAAATAACTGCACCGTGCAATCAGTTTATTGCCAAAAACTGCACCGTGCAGACACTAAAAGCCTCATTTTTCTTTTTAAAAAATTTTTTCTGTTTTCATTTTCTGCCCTTTTCTACTATATTCAACAACACAAACATCTAAAATAGGATTAATCATTAAAAACCCACCAAATTACAATCACAAATCAATGGATTCCTAGCCAAATGTAAGGTCTGTAGCACTTCCAACGTCGCAAAGGTACCATTGGCCAAACTTTTAATCTCATTATCGTACAAACTCAGTAAATTCAGTTTGTTCTGCTTCTTAAATATGTCTTGTCGTAGACATTTCAGCTTGTTAGCATTCAATAACAGAAGTTGAAGTTCAGTCAATGGGTCAAATACAGCTTCGGGGAGCTCGGTGATGTTGTTGGCGTAGAGAACTCTGAATTTAAGTTATAAAAAATTGTTTTAAAATGATGTTTGTGTATTCTACATACTTTATTTTGTCACTAAATCACTTAAAAATTAATTTTTTTTTCATTTATCAAAACCATAAAAATAATAATTTAAAAAATAACCATTTTTATAAACTTACAGCGTGTTCAACGATTCCAAGCCATTGAAAGCTCCAGATTCCACTGAATTTATATTGTTCTTGGACAAATCTCTGAAAATAAAAGTTTTAACAGTTAAATCTTTCACAAATTTTTAAAAATTAAAAAAAAACGTCAAAATCGTAATTCTGAAACCTTTTATTTATTGTTTTAGTAAGTTCAGTCAGCATTTACATTATAGCAGCCAACTTACAATCTCCGAAGATTCTTCAGGTTCTTAAACACATCTTTAGGTATCGAAGTAATGTGATTTTGCTCCAGCCTTCTGCAAAACACTTTATAAAATCCAAAAAGCCACCAACTCCGCAAACAAAAGATACCTCAACTTACATTTCAGTAGTTGAAGTCGGCAAATTAACCGGAATATACTTCAATCCCCTGTCTCTACAATCCATTGTAGTATCAGTACAAGTACAAACTGCTGGACACACTCTGGCTTCAGTACACGATGAAGCCGCTCGCTTTTCGATACCAGAACACTTCATATACTGAATATCAACATTGGCTATGTTTCGACCTTGTAACATGGCTGGACGATGACATTTTACGTTGGATAATAATTCGGTAGTCATAGCCACGTTCTTCAACCATTTCATACGACAGTCGCAGTGCCATGGATTGTCAAACAAGCGGCTGAAATTGAGCTTTTGATATTATCCATGATTTTTTCGAGTTACGGTGAAAATAATATAATTTAAAAAAACTTGTTACAAAACCTTAAGTAAAGATAAAGATACCAAATTGTAGAGGAGATTCTGCTACATCTTCTAAGCTATAAATCATTAACATAGCTTATGAATAAATGGTCACAAACTATTTTTTAATACAACAACTTCAATTTTAAAAAGATTGTCGTGAATAACATTAATTTTAATAAAAATACAACGTATTTTACATCAATCTCAGAGAAGTTTCTGGCGCATCTTTTAAGCCCAAAACTATATACATAAGTTTAAGTAACACTTACAAAACTCTTAAATTAGGATTGACAACAATCTCTCCAAGTGTATTTAGACTGTTGCCATTTAAAGTCAAGATTTCTAAATCGGTCCAGCTTGAAATGAATTGACTGTCCAAACATGTCAACCTATTTTTGTCCAGCTGAAGATTTCGCATCGATTTCGGTCCAACAAGGTGATCATCGGTCAAGAAAGCCAGTTGATTCTCACTCAGGTCTCTAAAACAATTAAATTTTAAATTTTTGATAATAACTTTAAGAGTTTACACTCGAAAATACTAAATTTTATGCTTCTGTGCTGTATAACATTGTAAAATGTTATTTTATCATTTCAATTTTAACAGAAGGCCAAATATTTCGCAAAATCCGTTTTCGTGGTGGGACCAAATTAATCATAACATGTTTTAACAAATTTTAAGTTTTTAAAAATTTTTGATGTTATTTGTATTTGTGTGTTCTTATTCTTGCTTATTACTTCATTTCAAGACCCAGAACTTGTTTAAAAAAGCTGTTATGTTGCATATGAGAGCTCACTTATCCCACGATTTAATCCGGATCATAATTTGGGAGCGCATAGACTAATCTGTTCGAAATATGAACCAAAATTTGCTTGAATATGCGTTATTTTACATTTTCAAAGGTAGGGTACCAATTATGTTATGTTAGGTAAAAATTTAAAGTCTTAATGTTGTTTGCACGGTGCAAAAACTAACATTTTAAAGTTTCACGGTGCAGAGAGTCCGAGAACTTTTGAGAAATTGGCATATGAAAGGAAAGTTAATTATAAGCCTATTTTCAAAATCTTACTTTGTTTCATTATAAAATGGCATTTTAATAACTGATCTAATTCGACTGCACGGTGCAAACAAAATCACTTTAAAAACTGCACCGTGCACCCTGTTTTTTGTCAAATCTAGCTTATAAAAGTGATTATTGTCACAAATAACCTATAATAAGGTCAAGACAGGTAAACAGCAAAAGCTGATTTATTCTAATTACGGTCTAATTGCGCGACCACTTGAGCATAACAATATGCAAAAGTGAAGGGAAGAACCTTGAGAACAACTTGTTCACGACCTTCTTGGGCTAATTAGATCAATCAGGTTTGTTGCTATTTTTTGCTATAATGGAAACAAAGTTTTTGCGGATTTTTTGAGGTCAAACTGAGTTTTTTGGACTAATAAAGCCTCTTTTTTTGGACTAATTCAGCTCAAAAAAGTCTTGTCGCCAAATAACCTTGCCTTGCGGGGTCAAAAACGACAAGACTGTTGAAAAGTCATAAACTGTTGGGGAGTCTGTACAATGTCATAAAATGTCATCGAGTGGATCAAACTGTCCCACTAAAGTATTGAAACGTCTTTGAAATGTCTTTTTTAATTCGATTTCGGGCCCTGATCCGAGCTAATGAAGGCCATAAAATCGGAACTCTGCCAAACTAACATTATTCTTTCTTTGATTTGTAACAATGCCAAGAGGAATGTAAAAAGACTGGCGTTTCGATGAGGCTATAAAAAAGTTATGGGTTTTTGAGTTAAAACAACGAAAAAACAGGTCAAATTATATTGTAGTAGATAATGTTGTGGTAGGTGAGGATGAGGTCATATTTTATGGCAGGGTAGGGTAAAATGGGGGTAAGGTAAAGTAGAACCGAGATAAGGGAAGATAGACTAGGGTGAGATAGATAGAGTAGAACAGTGTAGGGTAGGTAAGGTAGGTAGGATAGGGTAAAATAAGATGATTAGGGTAGGGTCCGATAAGATCGCGTCGGACCAAAAGAATGTAGGGTAGGGTAGATTAGGGTAAAATGTATCAACTTTTATATTTGTCAAAGGTTACTGTACTTTCCAAACTCTCCAAAATCATAAATCCCCTGCGGTGATTTAACGACAAATGTTAAGCATAAAATTTATGACAAATGGGTGAGGACTTAATTTTTGTCACTTCATAAAACTTTTTCATAAAATTTCGAAGCCAAAGTTTTATGAATGACTTCGGGAAGTCGAGAATGACATGTTAAGCTTGTTTTACATCTTAATACGTCAGAAATGGCTTTGATAAAAGAAAAAGTTTAGAAACTCATAATACAGTAACCTCTCAACATAAGCAACACTAATGGAGCCGCCGTTTATGTTGACTAGAGCTAGAGTGGCAATTGCCGCTAATTCTTTAGCTATGACATGTTGTTATGATCAATTGGCTATACATATTACTCGAATGCGTTGCACTTTAAGCCTTTTTTTATGCGATGCGTGCCATAAAAGGTTATCGAATAATGGAATCAAAGAAGACTTGGGCTGAACAGACGGTTCACAACATGAGAAAACTAGTTGCGCAATAGCCAAAACCCTATGTTACGCAATCCAATACCGTGTATGGCATTTGGATTACTGTGGTGGTTGTTGTTATTTTGAAATTCTACCCTATCCTACCATAATCTACCCAACCCTAACTTGCTCTACATTACCCTGCCCTACCTTTTTCTTACACTAGCCCATCATTGCTTCGTCTTGACCTGCTCTATCAGTTCCTTGCTCGACCAGAACCTGCCCTACTCTATCTTTTGTAAGGTAGGGTAAAATGTTTTTATTTAAGGTTACAGCAGTTTAAAGTAAGATGTTGTTGCCTATAACGAGAGTCCAAGTCTTTTATCTCTATTTTTAAAAATGGTGTTTTTGAAAAGTTTGTGAATTTGCATTTCCCCTGCCCTTAACTTCCGGCTCGGTGTCACTTTTTGATCGGCCCGAAAAAAGTTTGGCCCGGAATCAAAAGAAAAACTACCAAAATGAAAAATTGAAACCGGACAAAACGTTGGGCGCGGCTTTTCTTTGAATTTGAAAAAAGCAAACTTAAAGTGAAATCTTGAAATTTAAAAATTTTTAAAAACTTTTTTTAAAAAACACGAAATTGCAAGAACTTTGTTTACAAACGAAAAATTGTAAGAACTTTCTTTACAAAACCAAAAATGACAAGACCTTTCTTTACGATACAAAAAATGGCAAAAACTTTCTTTACAGAATAAGAAACGGCAAGAACTTTCTTTACAAGACTTGAAAGGACAAGAAATTTCTTTACAAAGCAACAATGGCTAGAACTTTCTTTACAGATCATAAAATGGCAAAAACTTTCTTTACAAAACACAAAACGGCAAAAGCTGAAAATTCTTGGTTTTTAAAACTAAAAATGCCGTTTGACTTAAATATTTCCATTTTCTTGCAATTTATCGACCATACTTCATTTTTTAACAAAATAAAAAAAATTGTTTGGATTTTCCCTTTTCTTTGAACCAGATTTACCAACCAATCGCCGGTCGTAAAACAAGTTGTAAAACATTTTTACAGAGCGAAGAGGAGAGATCAAAATAAAACGGCCAAAAGCAACAGATTTCAGATCATAAAACGCATTTTACAAAGTTTTTTTAATTGAAAGTAGCGCTGTAAACAAAGTTTTTGCAGTTTTTTGTTTTGTGAAGTTAGTTCTTGCCTTTTTTTGTTTTATAAAGGAACTTCTTTCCAATTTTTGTTTTGTAAGGAAAGTTCTTGTCATTTCTTGTTTTGTAAAGAAAGTTCTTGCCATTTTTCTTTTTGCAAAGAAAGTTCTTGCCATTTCTTGTTTTGTAAAGAAAGTTCTTGCCAATTTTTCGTTTTGTAAACAAAGTTCTTGCCATTTTGTAACGTGTAAAGAAAGTTCTGGCCACTTTCTGTTTTGTAAACAAAGTTTTTGCTATTTTCTGCCAACTCCACTAAAAACCAAAGATTTTGTTAGTTTTCAAGTGGAACGTCACGAATTTTGATATTCGAATAATTTTGGAAGATTTGACATTCGTTTTTGAATGACTTTGACGTGGGCCCAATTCGACACTTTCCAGCCGATAAATAACAAAAAGTAATGCGATGGGACAAAAGCTGTAAAACAAGTTTTGAATTTTGAGTTTTCATTAAAAATGGTAAAAACTTTGTTTACAGAAAATGGTTTGTTAAGTTTTGCTGTGGAAAGAAAGTTCTTGCTATTTTATGATTTTTAAACAAAGTTCTTGCTATGTCGATGCTTGTAAAGAAAGTTCTTGCCATTTTCTGTTTTGTAAAGAAAGTTCTTGTCATTTTGATGCTTGTAAACAAAGTTCTTGCCATTTTTTATTCTGTAAAGAAAGTTCTTGCCATTTTTCATCCTGTAAAGAAAGTTCTTGCCATTTTTCGTTTTGTAAAGAAAGTTTTTGCCATTTTAAAGCCGAAAACTAAAAAAGGTTCATTCTTTCCTCGAGGTCATTATTTAAAAGCCGTGTTTTTTGAAATATGCTAATTTTGCGGTTTTTCGATTAGTCAAAAATCGCGAAATTTTGCGAAAACAAAGCGCTCTTCAGCTCTCAAGCCCTACTCTTATGTCTCTCTATTCATGGCCTCAAGTGGTATTCAAATTTTACTCAAAATATCTTGTCATAACATTTCTCGAGTTTTTTGGAAGAAACTTTGTTTACAAAACTTAAAGTGGCAAGAACTTTCTTTAGAAAACATAAAATGGCATAAACTTTGTTTACAAAACATGAAATGATATAATTTTGTTTTGCACGGTGCAGCCACGTTTTACAGGTGCACTGTGCAAAACTTTAAACGGCAATAACTTTTTTTCACAAAACGTAAAATGTTATGAAATTCGTTTTCCGTATTTAAAATGGCAATAAATTTCGGTAACAAAGAAACGGCAAGAACTTTCTTACAACTCCTACAATGACCGCCTTTGATCTTTTTGCACGGTGCAAGCAATTTTTTAATTGCACGGTGCAAAATATTCGACAAGTCAGAACTTTCTTTACAATCTTAGAAATTGCAAGAACTTTCTTTACAAAACCAAAAATGGCAAGAACATTCTTTCCAGCCCATAAAATGTAATTCGAACCAACTGTGCGAATTGGGATCAAAATTTATTTAAAAATTTAATAAAAAACAAACGGATTTCACGAAATTCGTATATTCTCTAATTAAATTTCCTCCGAAATTATGACAATTGCTATGCGATGCACATGACCAACTTTTATATAAATTTTCAAAAATTCTGGAAAGAACTTTGTTTACAAGAAGAAAAAATGTGATTTTTATGGCATTTTTGGAAAATGGAAAGAACTTTCTTTACAAAACGGAAAGTGGCAAGAACTTTCTTTACAGAGCTTGAAATCGCAAGAACTTTGTTTACAAAACATAAAATAGAAAAAACTTTCTTTACAAAACGGAAAGTGGCAAGAATTTTCTTTACAGAGCTTGAAATCGCAAGAACTTCGTTTACACAAGCTAAATTTTTATTCTCAAGCATATTTTCAAAAACCGCAATAACTTTCTTTACGTTTAAAAAACTTGCATTTTTCAGACTTTTTTAAAAAATTACAGTACCCTCTCCTTAAACTGAAGTTTTTTACTAGCATGTTTGTTTTTTCATGAAAATTATGCAAATCCCATGAGAGTATTTTGACGAAAAAACCGAATTTGTCCTTTTGTCCATTTGTCAACAAAAAGGCAAATGGCCATTCCCTAATATGGCCCTTTTGCTAGACTTTTGTCTTAAATTTTTTGGCATTTCGCACTAATTTCAATAGGGTTTTTCGAAATTTATAAAAAATTTTTTTGAATTTTATAAATTGTGACGTTTTTTAATGAAACAGACTTAAAAATTTTAAAATAATTTCAGCCGCACTGTACTAATTTTTAAAATTAAGGCTTGAAGCACTTCTATGGCCCATACCCTCATCTCTATTCTTACCCCTATTCACCTCTCTACTCTTAACTTTATTTTAGCCCTACCCCAGCCCTGCTTTACCTTACCCTTCGTACACTTTTTGACTACCTCCACCGCCTTTAAGCCCTATCAAAGTTTAAGAAAAACAAAGAAAAAACAGTTTGCTGGAAAAAGAATGGCATGTACACCCCTCAAATCTCAATGTCTATTGCTTTTGTCACTTTGGTTCAAAAAAAATTACAAAAAAACTAAAACTGAAAAAATTTTAATTTAAAAAAGACTAAAAATGAAACAAAATTGACGTGAAAAAACTTACAATCGATGTAGCTTTGAGTTTTTCGCAAACAGCTTTTCTGGAATGACCTGCAGCAAATTTCGGTTCAGTCGCCTGAAAAATTGCAAAATCATAAAAATATTTTTTAAATTGAAAAATAGAACACGTGTAATATATAACAAATTTCACTGTAATTTCAATTTTTATGTGTAAAATACGAGATACAATTTCATGCGGTTTTAAAAATTGAATTAAAAAAGCTGGAAAAAACATTAAAAAACTTACAATCGTTCCAAATTCCTCAATTCATCGAAAACATTGGCTTCGATGGTCGTTATGTTGTTGTCCATCAATTGCCTAGTAAAATACGATTCATAGTTTAATTTATTTTAATTTTTTTTTCTTTTCTAAAATTGAAAAGTCTTCTAAATTAAAATTTCAATATTTTGCATAAAAAGCAAAAAAAAAGGCTTTAAAGTAAAATAAGCTTATTGACAATCTCAAAATGTAAAGCCACAACACATAAAATGGCAAGAACTTTCTCTACAACCTTGAAAATGGCAATAACTTCCTTTACAAAAAAAATGGTAATAACTTTCTTTACAGAATCAAAATGGCAAGAACTTCCTTTACAAAACAAAATGGCAATAACTTTCTTTACAGAATCAAAAATAGCAAGAACTTTCTTTACAAAACAAAAAAAGACAAAAATTTAATTTTAAATTTTTTGCACGGTGCAGAAACTTCAATTGAAAAAAAAAACGAGTAGAAAAAATAAATTTTAATTAAAATATGCTAGCCTCAGTTCTAATCTTTACAAAAAATCATTATCATAGGTCAACTTACAATATTTTCAAATGTTTCAAGTAAGCCAGGTCATTTCTTTGTACCTTTGTGATTTGATTCTCTTGTAGGTCTCTAAAACAATATAAAAAGTGGTTTAAATGAACAAAAAAGATCTTCAATTGCCTTAAAATTAAAAAAAATTAAAATAATTACCTAAAAGCCTAAAAAAATTCTAAAAAATAAAACATTTCAACTTTTAAAACTTAAAAATTAAAAAAACTTACAATCGAACAGTATTACTAGGTATATCTTTAGGTATTTGAGTCAACCCTTTGTTGACACAGTTGACAATACCACCATTACAGTTACATTTCTGTGGGCATGGTGATACGAAATTGAGTAGTAATAAAGCACATATTAAGTTGGGCCATATACTTCTTGAGTATGGCCATTTAAAGTTTGGCCAACCCATTTTTAACTCAAATTTTGAAATTTATTACCTAAATTTTTAAATTAAATTTTAAAAATTTATTGTAAAATACAAATATAAAATCTCGATCTAAATTAAAAATTTTGACGATAAAAATTTTTTAATTTTAAAATTTTAAAAAATTTCAAATTTTGAAAAAATGTCATTAAAGATGACAAAATTTATAAAAACCAGAGAAAAAGCAAAGATGATGAGAAAAAATCAGTCCTCAAACTTGTTGGGATTAGCCGAAAAGAAAGGGCGGGTAAGGATTTCGGAAAAACTATTTTCCTGTTACTCTTTGGCTCCGCCCACTTTCAGTCAGCTCTTCGCATAAATAAAAGTTTGAAATATGAATGGTGACAATTCGAATACCAAGAAGATACTATTTTATATTATTATACAAAAAAGTAACATAGTATTTGATCTTGAAGTGTGATAATTTAATGCAAAAATATGTCGGTAAGGGCAAGGTAAGGGTCATTAACAGGATAGGATAGAATTAAAAGAAGTGAAAGTACAATTATAATAAGAGCAGTGCAGGGTAAAGTTATAGTTAAAGGTAGAAAAGAGGTCTGATAGTTATAGAGGTAAGAATATGAATAGGATAGAGTAGAGTAGGGTAGAGTACGGTAGGGTAGAAAAGGTAGGCTAAGCAATTTATGGGTAGCAAAGATAAAGCTAGAAGTATAGTAAACGTAAGGGGTCAGTGAGACTAAAGGCAAAGTTGAGAGGAGAAACAGAAGAATGGATAAAGATGAGGTAAGGGTAGAGCTGGGGGTAAGAGTAAAAGCAGAGTTGAGAGTAAGGGCAAGAAAAGGATCAGGCAAATTAAGGCACGACTGGGGTGATGCTAGGACAAAATTAAAGCTATAGAGGAGGTTAGGGGTTACAAATCGAGGAAAGGTTACAGGTGATAGTAGTGGGAGGGATAAGACTGAAAGTAGAGGCAAGATAAAAAGTGAGAGCAGAGCAGAAGATGAAAGAGAGAGGAAACCTAAATCTAGGTGACCCAAACTAAGCTATGGCTAGGGCAGGCTCAGACAAAGAAAGGCACGACGGGAGTAGGGCTATTATAAAGGCCTACTCTTTTATAACTACGTTTTAGTTTATCTATGGTTACGTAAAAGTTAAAACAAGCTTATGATTTCAGTTAGCCATTAAAACCATTGTAAATAGGTATGAACAAAAGCCCATTAAAAAAGAAATAACCATCCCCAATAAAAAATCTTTAACTTCTTTTTTTAAAATCACAAACAACACAAATATATACACCATAATATATACATTATAAAATCTACATTATGATATCTACACCACAATATCTACATCATATAGGTATAAGTAGTTCATTAGAATATGTTAAAGTTTTAAATTAATCAAGATTTTTGTAAAAATAATACGAAACGTTACTTCAAGATCCGCTTGAAACTTTTCCTCAAAAATGAAACAAAATGAATTGCATAAGCGGAAAATAAAAACAAAAGTTTTGGAAAGGTGAAAAACAAGGTACGGAATTTGAAAAGTTTAAAAGTGAGATTGGGATAATTTGTATTGATGCTAACAATAAACGTATATAAGGAGAATATACGTAATACATAAAGATAAAACACGTAACATCATTTTAAAAACCTATTAGATTATTCAAAAACTAATGAGCTACTAATCTCCAATAATTTATGACATCTGCTAACTTATCAAGAAATAAAAAAAGTTTTGTCGTCAATTTACTTTGACTTTTACGGCAAAAACGATAAATTTTTTTAATATTGCAAGGCATGAAAAACGGGCCGGACCCAATTTTCAGGCCCGGCCCGATAATACCCCGCCTAATTTTTTTACGTGGAAACGGGCCGGGCCCGGTTCTTTTTACAAAAATTTTTTTTGACAAAAAAGTTCTTCAAAGAAATTGTGTTTTGTGGAAATTTTTAAAAATCCCATAATTTCAAAAATCGCCACCCAAGCCAAGAAATATAAAAAAAACCAACGCTAGCTGAAAAAAACACTAAAAACTCCCACTCAAGCCCAAAAGCCTTTCAAAAACACCCAGCGAAGATTGAAAGTATCCACCCGAGTCCAAAAACGCCAAAAACCCGCACCCAAGACAAAAAATCCCTAAAACCCCCCACACTGGCCCACAACCCCCAAAAAACCCCACCCAAGCTAAGAAAACTCAAAAAACCCCACCCAAGCTAAGAAAACTCAAAAAACCCCACCCAAGCCAAGAAAACTCAAAAAACCCCACCCAATCCAAGAAAACTCAAAAAACCCCACCCAATGCAAGAAAACTCAAAAAATTCCAAAAAAATTCCACCCAAGCCCTAAAAAAACACAAAAACTCTAGCAAAGCCTCAAAAACCCCCCCCACCCAAGCCCAAAAACTAACTTGGTAACCCGAGAATTATGCATAAACGTGAGTTTCCGCCGCGGACAAAACTCGGTTGTCAAAAAGAAACTGTTCCTTTTTCTAAATCAAAAAAGTATACAGTCGAACGGCGATTCCCTTAAAGTTGTTGACTCATGCCATTCTACCCCCAACGCCCCATTCTGCTTCATATAGCAAAATTTAACTTTGCCACTGATTTAGGGAATGACCTTTTAAGGTTGCGAGTCAAAAGCCTTTTAATTGTAAATAAACCTAGTCCTAGCCCAGAGCCCCAGCCCAGAGCCCTAGCCCAGAGCCTTAGCCCAGAGCCTTAGCCCAGAACCTTAGCCCAGAGCCCTAGTCCAGAGCCCTAGCCCAAAGCCCTAGCCTAGCGCCCTAGCCCAGATCCCTAGCCTAGCGCCCTAGCCCAGATCCCTAGGCCTAGCCCAGAGTTGTAGCCCTAGCTTCCATCTTACAAGGAAAGTACCCAACCTGCAACTCTCAGAATTAGCTCAAAATTTTTACATGGATTCTTTGTAGTATCAGTAGCACATATAAAAAATCTTAACTTGCGGTTTTAAGCTTTAAAATTAATATATTTAAATTTCCCGCCAATTTGGCAAATTTGGCATTGTGTTGCAAGCACTTTTTTTGATGTTCCAGATAAGATAGGCTTACAAATTTAAACTTGTAGGTTTATTTGAAGCTTTTCTGTTCTTATATTAAAGAAAAATAGTTAAAAGTCAAAAAATGACAGTTAAAAGCTTGAAACACTATGCCAATTTGGCGGGAAATTCAAAACGCGATTTTTTGATCTCGATTTTCTCAAGACTGGCCGCAAACCGCAACTTAGAATTTTGCATATGGTCTTACATTTACATGATGTTTCAATTAAAAAAATTTGAACGAAATCTGAGCGTTGCAAGTCGGGTACCTTCCTTGTTAGTTCAGGTTTTAAGACCATGCCTTAGCCCTAGCCCACGTCCTAGCTTCTGTGTTAGCTCACATTTTCATCCTTAGCACTGGTCTAGCTCAAATTCCATATGCAGTCGTAGCCCCAGTCCTAGCTTCAACCTAAGCTCAGGTTATCGGCTCTAGCCCTAACCCTGACCCAGCTCAAACTCTACCTTAGCTGTATTAGCTCAGGCCCATATCTCTAGCCCTAGCTATAGCCTACCTCTAATTCTGGCCATAGTCAAGCTCTAACTTATAGCTCTAGCTTCAGCCTTACCGTTGTAAGCCCTAGCCTTTCAAAGATTAATCAAATTGACGTGCCTTCTTATTTTCTCATTTCCGGTCGATTAAAATACAAAATTTATAAAATCAACAGTCCATACTGTTGGTTTAGCTGTGTTTTGTGTGTCTTTTTTTCAACTTTGATGTTATTTTTGTTTCGAACTTGCAATAATACAAAATTTGAAAATTGATAAGTAAACAAAGGTTATCAGTATATAAAGAGAGGGTGAGGATTGATGAGATATCCAAACATGAGGTTGTTCCAGTGTTTAGTTGTTGTTGTAGCTTTTGAGTGTGTCAGGGCTTCTAGGGTGGGTAATTTTGAGTTTATAAAAATTAAAATTTTTTTTTATTTTTAAAATTTCAAATTTTTTTTTCAAATTTCAAAAATTTCAACTTTTCAGGATGACATTTTAAAAGATGGCTATTTCGGTCCAGGAAGCCAGAAACCAGACAATGAAGCCATCGAATCCTTCCACATCAACACTCCAGATTCCGTACTCGATGACCTTAAGTACCGTCTCGAACATGCCCGTATTACCCATACTCAACTTGAAGATCAGAAGAACTACAACTATGGTTTCTCTCTCAAGTCTCTGAATGAGATGAAAGACTACTGGCTGAATGACTATGACTTCCGTAAGGTCGAAAAAGAACTTGAGCAATTTCCTCACTTCAAAACTGAGATCGAAGGTCTGAAGATTCATTTCATTCACGCTAAGCCGGATTCTAACAAATACAAGACCGTGAAGCCATTGTTAGCTTCCCACGGCTGGCCTGGAAGTGTCCATGAGTTCACCAAGGCTCTGCCAATCTTCACCGACCCAAAAGCTCATGGTATTGATGTTGACTACGCTTTCGAAGTCATCTGCCCTTCAATTCCCGGCTACGGATGGTCGGATGCTCCACAACGTTCCGGTCTACATCAAGGTGCCGTAGCTCGAATCTACAACAAACTCATGAAGAGACTCGGCTTCAACAAGTACTTTGTTCAAGGTGGAGACTGGGGATCTACTATCGTGGGTAACATCGCCAGGTTGTATCCGGATAATGTAGAAGCGGTTCATCTGAACATGTTAGTCAGCGGAGACAAAATGACATTGTTAAAAAGTGCCATTGGCTCAGCTGCTCCCAAATTGTTCTTCAAACATCCAGCCTTCAAGGACTTTACTGTGAAGAAATTCTTGAACTTCTTCTTGATTGATGGAGGCTACTTCCATCTGTTTGCTACGCTACCTGACACTGTTGGTAAGTTTGGGTATAAAATGTGAAAAAAGGCTTTGAAAGACATTTTTAGGTAACATTGTAATGAAAATGCTTTAAATTTACGTATAAAAACAAAAAACACCTTTTTTGGAAGTGAAAGTAAAGTGGAAGATTTTCGATGCAATTTCCACTGAAAATCTTCCACCGAACTTCCACTTTTAAAATTTCTGAAAACTGTTTTTTTAAACCATATATTTATTCAAAACCTATCTAAAACAGCATTTTCTTACATTTAAATCCTTTTCTAACATCATTTTCTAATCATTTCATACCAAAAACCAATGTTAATATAGACTTGCACTTCCAGGTATCGCCCTGAACGACTCCCCAATCGGAATGATGGCCTGGATCTTGGAAAAGTTTTCTCTAGGCACAAACTCCAAGAATAAGCAATTTGAAGACGGTAAATTGACAGAAAGATTCACTAAAGAAGACTTGATCACGGCTGTCATGATATACTGGGTCAATGGTAATATGCTTCAATCTGCTCGATTCTACAAGGAATTGTTGACTTCTAAGGATGCACAGAACTTGCAAAAGTAGGTCTTTAAAATTTTTAATTAGAAATGGCATAAAAATTTTTTTTACATTTTTGGTTTTTGCACGGTGAAATTTTTTAAATTTGTTAAAATTTGACGCATTTTTGTTTTTCGCAAGTTTTTAAAAAAACTAAAAATAAAAAATTTAAAAAACTAAAAATAAAAATAAATTTTAAATTTAAAAATAATATTTTCAAAAATTTTTATAAAATCTTTAGTATTTTTTACACTGTGCAAAGACAAAACATGTTGCACTGTGCAAACTTTATTATTCACTGCACCGTGCAGTCCCTCTTAACACAATATAAACTAAACTAATCACATATTTCTTATTCTAGTGAAAAAATCAAAGTCCCCACAGCCTATTTGGCCTGTGTTAACGACGCCGTCCCAGCATTGCCTCAGGAAATCGCTAAAGTCGCTGTCAACCTACAACAATATAACACTATTGATGCCGGTCACTTCGCCGCTATGGAGAAACCTGACGATTTGGTTAAGGACTTTTTCAATTTTACGAAGAAATACGTACACTAAGCATATCTTCATGTTGAAGTATGATAAACATTGTTTTGAGTACATGTACTTATATTATCCATGTTGTTAAGCTTAATAAACTGGCATTAAAAAGGAGTTCCTTGACTTATGTGACAAAAATATTTACTTATACGTCAAAAATATTAAAGCAATTTATTAAGAATTAAAATACCATGTTATACATGTACAAAACACACACTTTCATGTAACTTTACACAAGTTTTCTACATAAAACGGAATGCACCTTTATATCAATATTATACTTGAATTCTTTGCCTGCAAAGTTGTTTGAATTCTTCAAAAGGTTTCAATGCAACTTGGAATGGCAAATTGAATTCGGTTTGACTTAACGGTGTTGTGTGACTTGAGGGTACATCAACAAAGTGGAGACTTGAGAGAAGGTGGAGAACATCATGACGAAGAGTGGGTTCTTTGGATGCTTCTTCGTACGATTTGTTTCCAATATTCTAAAATTAAAGGTTTTAAACACTAATATTGACCTGCTTTACCCTGCCCTAAACTACCCTTATTTTACCCTACCCTGACTTACTCCACCTTATCATACCTTACTGTACTGCACAATACCGTAGCCCCTACCCTTAATTACTTTACCCTACCTATTCTACCTTCTCCTAACCTATCCTACTACACTACTGCACCCTGTTCTACCCTATACTTTCCTAAATTACCCTACCTATTCTACATCACTTACTCTACTATAAAATCGCCCCAAAACCCTTACCATCATCGCTGTCCTGGCCATAACTCGTTGATCATGTGGAGTGCTATTGACATACTCCAACACAGTATTGTAATCCTCATTGTCTGTCACAAAGTCAGGATATCGAGTTTGGAAGAACTTGGCCAATAAGTGGTTTCCTCTGTTTTCTCTTCGCATTCTCTGAGAGTCTGGGCCTTGATAAGTGGTTATCACTTCATCATTGTATCGGCGAATGATCTTTACTGGTCCTGAGTATTCGGCTAGCTAAAATATGACAAATTTTACCTTCTTATGCCTATAATAATGCCAAGTTTAAAAATTTTTTTAAATTTCCTAAAAAGGACCGTTTCACAAAAAATCAAATGACCCTACCTGAACAGCAACATTAAGGTTATATTGCTCTCGAATAGCCACTTTGACCACATTTTCGGCAAAAGCTGGCATATGAGTCAACGCCAATGCCATAACATCATCAAATGTGGCATCCAAAATCAATCCTCTAACTTCTGGATAATTGGCAGCCGCCCAAGTGGTTGGAAATCCTCCAATCGACCAGCCAAACAAGATAATGTTGTCAAGTTGGAAGCCTTTGGATAAGGCGAACTGAATTACAGCATCCATGGCATTCAGAATCTGCTGAGGATACGGAATTCCTGTGCTTTCAGCAAAACCTGAAAAAATTTTTTTTTCTTTGCACAGTGTAAACATTTTTTCATCTTTTTTTTAAATTTTAAGCAACAAAACGAAAAAAAATCATACCTGGTGGATTCCATCCCAGCACACTAAAGTCCATCTGAACCGGAGTTCTTGTAATCCCAGTTTCATAAAACCCAGCATTACCATCACTACAGATGACCAAAGGTGCATCTGGAAACACAGCACGTCGGTCAAACAACATAGTGTCGATAATGTTACCATCAACAGTCTTTATCTGCTGTCTCTTTCCGCCTGACTCCAAAATAAGCTGTAGACGGTTAGACCGAATAGTTTCAGCCAATAGCGTCTTCAGAATTCCAACTGATCCTGGGTATAACATACGACGACCAAAAACAGAAATACAAATCTTGGCAATCACTCTGTAATAGTGTATATTGTGCTCTGGTACACCGGGGAGATCAACTTTGTTATCGAGATACCATTGGTTTTGTTTTGTTGTGGCTTGGAATGAAACTGGAGCTGATGGAGTTATCTAAAACAATACGTTTAACATTTTATCTTCAAAACCAGATAAATTCCATCAACAAAAAGCTAAAATACACTACGTAAATCCTAACAAATCCAAAGCCTAAACAAAAAAAGTCAAAAACCAAGAAAAACTCACTTCAAAATCATATTGATCAAGCAATTTCTCGCCGATCGCTTGGTTATCCTTTGATTGAAGATATAAATTCAAGTAAGTACGATAAACTGGGTTGTAAATACGGCCAGCAGTTCGTAGACCATAAGCAATACTATGAAAAGTTACGACAAAGTGCGTCCAATTCAAAAGACGTGCGGAATTCACATCCATTCGAAAACATAGATAATATAACCAAAACGGAGATGTTACCCAGCCAATTGCTCGAGTTAACTGTGAAGTGTAGATCATTATTCCTCCTAAAAGATGTGTTATACAATTATTTATAATTTACAGTACAACCAACTACAAAAACCCTTCTTTTCGTTGGTTTTTCTTTAAAAAATGGTGTTTTACATGTTTGAAGAACTTTCATTGCTCATAGCTTGTAAAATACAAGCTCAAAACACCATCTAACAGTTTCAAAATCTAAAAGCAAACAATATTAAACAAAGACATACCAATCCTTTCCATAATATTGGCTTCATACGCCGCTTTAGGCCGTAACGTCGCATATACATCAGGTCCATTGATTAGACCCCAAAGTTGTTCCATTTTTAAAACTGAAACAAAGTAAAACTTAAGTTAACGTAAAACAGATGTTAAATTAAAGTCTGACAACAACGACACGGATGTTAGAGTTCAAAGAAACCGTTAATTTACGTCTGAAACACTAATTTCGCAGAATAACATGTGATTTTAAAGCTAATTTTTTCAGTTTTATAAAATTATTATACGAAGGCTGAAATTTAAGTTAAAAACAACAAAAACTACTAGTTTTACACAATGCATTCAAAGAGAAAACAACAAAATGTAAGGCTTCTTTCAAAATAAACAAGAAAAAGAAAAATGTTTTTTCGATTTACGATAAATACCTTTCGTCGTATAACTTGTCACGCGCGCGTTGCAGATGAACGAAGCGCACATTTTATTTTCGAAAAATATTTTTATAAAAAAATTTTGTTGTTTTTGACGAAATTTTGGGAAACTTGTAGTAAGTTTTTACAAAATATACTTGATTAAGTAAATTTGTCTTATTTTTTAAAATTATTTATAATTTTTGTTTCAATTCTTATTCTTTTCAGCTTATATTATGTTAGATATATCTTTATGTAGAAAAACCTAAATTTCTCAACGAATAATTTTCTGATTAGTCTCAAATTTTGAACACAGCTTGTCTAAACAATTTTTAACGATTATTTTAGTGGTATGACATGTCTGGTTTGACAGAAGAACAAAAGCGGAAGATTGAAGAAAATCGACGGTTAGCCAAGGAGAAGTTTGAAAAACGACAACAAGAATTAAAAGCAAGCAAGAATACAGTAAAGGAAGCTTTATCAGATGAACCTGCAGCTAAAAAACCGTTTCAGCCTAATGTTAAAGGTAAGAATTTGTTAGATTTTTTTTGTTTTAGGTAAAACTGGAGGTCGTGATAGTTTCTTTGATATTTTGGAAGATTTTTCTTGAAGGATTTGGTGGATTTTTGTTTTGAAGAGTTTTATTTGAGTCTTTTGCATGTTTTAAGTCTAATTTACGGTTTATATCTTGCAGTAGAAGAAGTGAAACAAGAAGAAAATAAGGTTAAGGTCAGTCCAATCAATGGTTATGTGCCCAAAATCAAAGTTTCTTTTACCCTGGCTAGTACGAAGGAAATTCAGGTAACACTTTATTCTAATTAGTATTTTTGTTATTCAAAAATTTATTTTTAGGCAGTTTTCCGGCCGTTTCATCAGTTAGTATTAGAAGTGTTTAAAACAGTGCCTACAACAAGGTATATCAGGGAAAAATCTAGTTGGCGTGTGGAAATTGGGCGATATGATATGTTGATTGATAAGCTACGACAATTGAAAGAGCTGAAGATGGAATTTGACTTGATTCCACCGCATATTCGGCAGGTATGGTTAATATTGTGTTATTCATAACATCAAGGTAATATTTTTGGTTTTTCTGTTTGGAAATTGTGTTTTTATTCTAATTTTTAGGATTTTAATGTTAGGCATAGTGTTATTTTATTAATGAAAATGGTTTAGATATTTTATCATGATTTTCGAAACACAGTACCGACTAAAAGCCAACCAGACTTGTCGAAAATCGACTCGTCTTTAATGAGTGTGCTATTTCCATATCAAAAAACTGGTGTTGTGTAAGTTTTTTATTGTTGTTTTTTTTTTGTTTTAGGCACAAAAGTTTATGAAAATGAAGTTCTTGGACGTTTATAAGCTTTCTATGGCCGAATTCGTATCTTTTAATACATTTTATGGCGGTATTTATGATAATTTAAGTTAATAAAAACATGGTTTTACATCTAAAATTTTAGGTATGGTTTAGAAAAACAAGGACGATTACTGATAGCCGATGAAATGGGTTTGGGGAAGACGTTACAGGCTTTGGCAATAGCTAGGTATTATGCTAATGAATGGCCATTACTTATCGTATGCCCTTCATCTGTAAAGTATTCATGGAGGCAGGTGGGTGAAAGAAATGTTATTCCTATGATTTTGAGTATCTATTTGTCTATTGAATTTTTAGTTTTTGGCATTTTAAAATAAATTTTAAAAATGTTGCACAGTGCAAAGCGAAATGTTTATATCGACCTTTTGTGAAATTTTTTAAAATCACGTAAGTATAATAGGAAAAAGAAGGGTTATAAACTAATTATTTTTATTTTAGACGATTGAAAACTTTCTACCAGCAGTAAATGAGGTACATGTGATAGAGAAGGGCTCAGATCCCATACCCGTTACAAGGTCAACAAGAACAGCGATTATAATGTCATACGATCAAATGGCTATAAGATACAAGAAGCTAGTGGAGCACAAGCTTTATGTTGTTATATTCGATGAATCTCACATGTTAAAGGTACGTTTTTGGGTGTTTTTACTGATTTTTCTAAATTTTAGGTAACAAAATGAGGTAAAATTAGGGTTTTGAAGACAAAAGGGGGAAGGTATTGATAGTTTAGGTAATAAGATTTGAAGATATGAGATTTTGGGTAACAATTTTGAGCTAAGAAGGCTAAAAAATAGTAGTTTAAGTAACAAAAATGTTAATTTAGGTAACAAAAGGTATAAAAGTTACCTAAAATAACCTCTTTAAAACATTTAAATGCTATCACTGCCTAAACTATCATGATTTCAGGACCAAAAAGCCAAGAGAACTAAAGCGGCCCTAGAGCTGGCCAGAACTTGTCAACGCCGCATCCTACTGAGTGGAACACCAGCCCTAAGTCGACCAGTCGAATTGTACAGTCAAATGAGGATAATCGACTTCAAGCTGTTCCCCAAGTTTAAAGACTTTGCCGAACGATATTGTGATGGGAAGCAAGGTAAATACTGTTACGAAGCCAGAGGAGCCACGAATCTGGAAGAGCTGGGAGCGATTCTGGAGAAATCAGTCATGATTAGGTGGGTTATATCTTAGTCTCTGCCATAGCTTCTACTCTAGTTTAATTTGCTCAATGTGCTCTATCTTTTAAGTTTTTCTTTAGTCTGATCAGTTTTTAATAAAAATATTTATAGACGTCTAAAAAAGAATGTCCTAAAAGACCTCCCAGCCAAGTGTCGTCAATGCCTGTGGCTCACGGGATCAGCCATATCATCCAAGATGAATAACTTGAAAAAGGCACGAGAAGCTTGTGAGAAGGCCAATAAAACCCAGGACAAAACACTACAACAAAAGACATTAATGGAGTATTACGTAGAGACTGGCATAGTAAAGGCTCCAGTCATCTCCGACTACATTGCCGATACCTACTTCTACGATGATGCACCGCCAGTCAAGTTGTTGATCTTTGCTCATCATCAAATTGTCTTGGATACTGTGACTGCTACTTTGATGGGGAGGGTAAGGGTTTTTTTTGAGTTTAGGGGGGGATGTTCTTGGTATTAAGGTAGTTGCTGAAGGTATTAATTTTTTGATGCAAAAATAATGGCGTATCTTAGAATTTGATCCAAAAAACATAAGTATTTTGACGTTGTTGCGAAAAGAATGGCATATTTTATTCTTGATGCAAAAAGAATGGCGTATTTTATGTCTTGATTCAAAAATAATGGCATGTTCTGACTTTGATGCAAAATGAATGGCGTATTTTGAAAAAAGTCATTATAAATTGAATTTTTCAGAAAATAAAGTACATTCGAATCGACGGCCACACAAAATCCACCGAACGTGAAGTTTTATGCAAAAAGTTCCAAGAAGATCCAGAAACATCAGCTGCTATATTATCCATCACAGCAGCTGGAGTGGGAATCACACTAACAGCAGCGAACAAGGTTGTGTTTGCTGAGTTACATTGGAATCCTGGAGTAAGTTAAAATACGTTTTAATTGATAAGGATTTATTATATAAAGCAGTTATTAGACAGTTCAAATAATTTTGTGCCCCTTTTTAAAGTAAATGTTCTGGGTTAGGGGATCAGAATTATTTGAACTGTTTTAGGTATTAGGATGTTTAATTAATTCTGTGCCCTCTTTCAAAGTAAATTTGCGGGATGAGGGGGCACATAATTATATGAACAATCTAATATTTTTAAAAGCAATCTTGTTTTAGATAAAACTTCAACCTCATTTTAGGCCCTAATCCAAGCCGAAGACCGTGCCCATCGTGTAGGCCAACAAGACTCGGTCTTTGTCCAATACATCTTGGCCAGAGGCTCGGCCGACGAAACAATTTGGCCAATGATCGAAAGCAAACTCAACGTTCTACAAGGTGTGAATCTAAACCAAGAGAACTTTGGTGATATGAAGAGCTCGAAGATGTTTGTGGACAAGGAAAAGGCCAGAATCGACGAATATTTCGAAAAAGATGACAAAAAAGAGAAGAGTCACAATGAAAGTGATAGTTTGGATGCGTCGTTGATTGTATTGGATGATGATTAGATGTACTGGATGGTGATTATTATTACTGAAGGATGATTACTTTTACTGAATGATTAGGTTAGTTATTGATGGTGTTAAGTGGAAGGTTATATGGGAGAAAAATTGATGGTAAATTGTGTTTTTTTGAATGAATAGAAATTGTAAAAATGGTGTAAACAGAAACCGAATGGTCATATATACATACTTATTGTTCACATACTAAAATATTATACTTACTTGACTCTTGTATATTGCATAAATCGTGTATACATACAACTTTTTTTAGGTTTTATGAGCAAAAAACGTTAAAACTTGAAAATTTTATTAAAAAATTGATAATAGTGAATTTTTTAGCGGTAGGCACAAACCATTTTTAAACCATAATTTTAAGAAAAAAGTTTGGGCCGATTTTTAGGCTGCACCTGAACTAATCGGGGCTTTTAAAGTTGTTCGTTATAGTGGTGTTCCGCTATACAAGTGTTTTGAAACTACTGCCAATGATTTAAAATTCGTTTGTTGTACACAAATTTAGTTATACAGGAGCTCCACTGCAAATAAATAAAACCTTAACAATCAATTTTTGTAGCGTTATCTGCTGATAACTACAAACAAAAGATAATTTCATTAAACCAACTTTTGTATTAAAATGATGTTTAACTAGCTGCTTAAGAATACAAAATTTAAGTTTTAATCAAATAAGCCTTATGTTAAACCTGGTTAGTTATTGTTTGTTGTACAACTTGTCACCAGCGGGCTGCATAACTTTCGATTTAACTATTTATATAGCACTACAATGGTAAAAATTTGGTTCAAATAAGATAAAATGGCAAGAATTTCTTTTACAAAACTGAAAATGGCAAAAACTTTCTTTACAAACGAAAAATAGCAAGAACTTAATTTACTAAACTAAAAATGGCAAGAACTTTCTTTACAAGACAAAAAATAGCAAGAACTTTGTTTACAAAGCTGGAAAATGATATTTTAGGAAATTCTTATTCAAAATTAGACTAGGCCAGCCTACTCCATCTCTTAAATAGACTTGATGTCCAAGTCTGCTCTCTTTTCCTTCATTGACGATGAAGAATATGATGCCAAGAATGACGTTCTCTGTAGAATTGAAGCCCAAATTTTTAAAAAATTTTTAAAAACTTTATTTTCAATATTTTTACTTCCAAAACCCTTTGACCAGTCAATTTTCCGTCATTCTATCAACATACCGGGTCCGCACGCGGCGGTGCATTGAAATATGTCAGGTGGTGCGAAAATAGAAGCGACAGGTTCGGGGCGACGCAAACGTCAAGTTCAGCCGACGGCGGCGGTGTTGGAGTTCGTGAAGCGATTGGATTCGATCACATTAGCCGACCTGAAGCAGGAATACCACGAAGCCAAAACCTATATGCCGGAGAATCAAAAAAGTGTGGCATTCAGCGAAAATCCGCAGAAGAATCGATACAGTGACGTGCTTTGCTACGATGCTACAAGGGTAAGGGGGGGGAGGTTCGGTTTATATTGTTTTAGGGAACGGAATGTTCCTTGTTATGGGCAAGGTAGGGCGACACGTATGGGGGAAGGGGTTTTAAATAAAATGGCGTTTGGTATGAGCAGGGAAGGCTAACATAAGGCCGAGTTTAAATTTTTGGCTCGGGAAGGACAGGGCATGACGATACGATAAGTAGCCTATGAGGGTGGTACTTCGTTATAGGATACTATACTATATTATACTAGTGTATACTATACATACTATAATTTTCTTTTCAGGTAGTACTGAACCTAGAAGTCCCACCAGAAGGCGACTACATTCATGCCAATTGGGTGAAGCTACCTGACTGTGAGAACAACTTCATTGCCACCCAAGCCCCGATGGAGAAGACGGCTTCCGACTTTTGGCGAATGGTCTTTCAAGAGAACGTACAAACCATACTCATGTTCTGTAAATGTGAAGAGAATGGGAAACAAAAGTGTTACCCATACTGGCCGATGGAGGAGGGAAAGTACTTTAACTACGGCATTATGTTCGTGAACAACAAAAAGGTAGGTCATACTGTAAAGGTACTCTACATTATGTTTATTTTAGTTTTACTGTAGCTCTGGCTAGGCTAGTCTTTTTGTATTTTTAGTGTATTCATACTGTAGCCATTTTATATTGTAGTACTGCCCTTCCATACGATAGCTTTTTTCTGCTGTACTGTAGCCTTGACAGATCTTGCTATATCTTGCTTTATCAATTTCTAACATTAACTTTTCTCTACAATTACTGTAACATAAGTTTAGGTTATAAAAGACCCAAAGAACGAAACAGTGACATATTTACTAGAGGTCCTTCCAGACGGCTGTTCCAATTCGAATATTGTTAAGTTGGTTCAGATGTTGGACTGGCCAGATAATGGCGTACCAAAAAATGCTGCTAGCGTTGTCAAATTGCTCCATTCAATCAAAAGAGTAAGTTGTTTTAGATTTTTACAAAATTTTAAATTTAAAATTTTTTAAAATTTGATATTTGTTTTGCGGAAAATGGAAAAAGGTATTGCAAGGTAGTAAGATGTTAAATATAAAGGTTTATTGCTGAAAAATAATTTTTTTAGGTAAAAGACCCATGTGTTGTGCACTGTGCAGCTGGAATTGGTCGAACGGGTACGGTACTTATGGCTGCGTTTGCTATTGCCAGAATGCTCAAAAACAAAGAAGTAAATGTAAGCTCTACCTTACTCCACCCTACCCTACCCTTCCCTACCCTACCCTACCCTACTCTACCCTACCCTACCCTACCCTACCCTACCCTACCCTACCCTACCCTACCCTACCCTACCCTACTCTACCCTACCCTACTCTACCCTACCCTACTCTACTCTACTCTGCTCTACCCTACCCTACCCTACCCTACCCTACCTTACCCTATTCTATCATACTCTATCTACCGCCTATATTTTTTAAATTTCAATTTTTAGATGAGAAAGCTGATGGGTCAAATCCGCGACCGTCGTGCTCTGAGTGTCCAGACCGAGAATCAGTACATTTTTGCTCACGTCATCATCTGTGCCTATTTCACTTTTAAATTCAGGAGTCCCCAGTTCCAATGTCTCAGGTTCTACGACGAATTCCTCACTTCCATCTACGCTTCACTCGAGCACTGATCGGTCAAATACTATTGTCTAGAGCAACTTTTATTCAATTTATTGCTTTTTGGCAGAAACAGGAAATTGATGTTGATATATGGGTAGAAAGAAGTTAAAGCTTGATACTTGACATCCTAAAAGAGGTGGGTAGGGTAAATTTGATAGCAAGGTTGATTTTTGGCCATAGAAAGGCACTTTATGGTAAATTATGGTAGGGTATGGTTGCGTAGGGTAGTGCGAGTATAAAAGGGCACGGTAGAGAAGAGAAAGTTATGGTAAGTTGTGGTAAAGTATCGTAAGGTAATGCAAAGTAAAAAAAGCAGGGCAGAGTAAGATATAGTAAAGTATAGGATGTAGTAGTGTAGGATAGAGTATGGTTGAGTAGGGCAGAGTAGAGTAATAGAGGATGCGGCAGAACACGGTAGGTATGGTAAAGTAGAGCAGGGTAGAGTAAAAGAACATAAAGCAGAAGATGGTAGCGTAGAGCAGGGTAAGGTAGGTTAAGATAGGGTAGGGCAAGGCAAGGTAATCTTTTTACTGCTTGTTACCCTTTTAATCAAACAATATTTGTGCCTTTAAATATTTTGTTTCCTCTTAAACTACAACTTTTGCATCATCAATATGTAATTTCTAATATATTGTTATCTGTCATTTTGCTTTGTGCTCGAAGGCGTGGTAGTTGGTGATAACAGTGTTGTAACTTCTGGGTTTAAAAAAGATAAAAATTTGTTTAAAAAGCTGATTAATGACAAAAGAAACAAGACGTCTTTGATTACGTTAGACATTTTGTATACTTAAAAGTATATTGTACTACTCACAACATACTGTAACTGTTTTTTGTACTGTCAGTCTACTGTAACTTTTTTCGTATTGTACACCTACTGTATCTGCTTTGGTACTACACATATACTGTAACTCGTTTTGTACGCTTTACCTACTATAACTTTTCTTCGTAGCTTCTACGTACTATAACTTCTACTCGTACAGGTCACATACTGTAACTTCTTTTTGTACTCTCCATATTGTAAATTCCTTTCGTACTCTCCACATACTGTAACTTTTTTTCGTATTCTCAACGTACTATACAGTAAAGAAAAAAGATTATGGCATCATTTACTGCAGTATCTACTTCAATATTATACACAACTCTACTACTACAACTTACTTACGCTTCAGTAACCAACTACTATCTCCCAGCCAAGTTTTCTGGAGAACCCAACACTGAAAAGCTACTATTGCTAGACATAGATAGGATTTCAACATTTGTTTTACATCACCAAAGTTTTCCTGACTTACCAGCAAAGTCCACAGTCGATTTTGAAAAATCGACCAGTTTTAAAAACACGACAAAAAAATTCTTCGCCTTGGTATCAAGTGACACTAATGATGAGATTGCTTTTGGCGATGGTCATGTTTGTGAAGACACATTCGAGATTTTAGGTAATAAATTTTGAGCTTTTTGTTGAAATTGAGATTTTAGGTAACAAAATTTTGAAAAATTGATTTTCAATTGATATTTTTGTCGAAAAATACAGTTTTCAGTATAATTATCAAAATTTTAGGTAACAAAATCCACCATGCATTCGGAGTCGTCAACAAAGGCGATCCCGCCTTGACATTGGCTTCTGATGGCACCACAGCTGCTGGCAGAATTGGTTTTGCTAGAAATACTTCTTATTATGATGAAAAGGATGTCAGATTCGAATTGTTCAAAAATTTGAGGGAGAATGTATTATGTTTTGGCACTACTTATAGCGAGGTTACTCAGTAAGTCTAAAATAATTCATAATAATCCAAGCGGATTCGAACTTTTTTTGATTTTCGACATTTTCTTTCTAACATAACATTGTTGCCAATTAAAATATAAGCTCAAAATTTGCCACAGATATACAGTTGTATATGCTTTACAATATCTATTTTATAATTTTAACATTTTGCTCCAACTTATAAAGATACACCTTGTTTTAGACAACACATCTCCAAAGTCGCCCTGGGCCAAACAATCTACCCCGAAAAAGACTTTGTAGCATCCGCCCATGCCTATACATACGATGAACATGACGATCTTAAAGAAGACGGAATCTGGAGAATCCAAACTGATACCATTTCCATCGGTAACTATACCAAAAAACGTGAAACTGATACTGTATTCACCAGCACCAAAGACGGACTTGTTTTCCATTTTTATGATTTATACCCTATCATGAGGAGTTTGAAAGCTGTTCAAAACACTACCGACAAGGAGTGGTACACTGACTGCAGTAACGACATTCCTTTATCGATTGGAATTAATCGGAAATTGATCAAAATACGATTTGACGCGTTTACAGAGCAAGTTGGTGATGGTAAATGTAGAATAAAGATCAAGAGCCACGTTGATGACTATATTATTATTGGTCTACCATTCTTTGTTAATAATGGAGTCTGTTTGAACTATAAGATCAACAGATTCTATGTTTATGACATTACAAATCCGGGAATTGTGGCAGCTGGAGTTCAAGATAACAAGGATAACATAATTTATACAAGAGTTTATTGAAAATGTAAAATATAGCTTGAATATGGTTAATAAATTAATATTTTAGATTTACTCAATTTAGTTTGTCGTTTTGAAGTCTGTTTGTAAAAGAAATAAAGATTTAAGCGCGAACTCAATGGTGGCACTTCGCAACGTTTGGCTTTTCGTCTTTTTTTCTGAAAATAAATAATAAAAATCTTGTAAATATTTGTTGAAATAGTAAAAACAAGGTAGTAAATTATATTTTTATACTCATGTAAGTTTATTTGAGGCTTTCAACTTTAATAATTTAACTTTTTCACTTATATTATGTTATCCATCTTTTTCACTTATATTATGTTATCCATCTTCCTTTCAAAATAAAACATTTCAGCATGAAACGTTCATACCTGATGAGACGTCCTGATTCCGACGATGAAGAAGATTACTACTCAGCAGATCGTGAAGTTAAAAGCAAGCCTATTGATTCAAGATTTTCTTCAGCATTCGGCGGAGCTAAACCATCGACTTTTGTTAGAGCTAGTGAACAAAGTCAACAAGAATTTTATGGCAAACAGAACGTTACCTTCACGAGAAAGGAAGCAGAAGAAGAAAAAGTGGACAAGAATGCGGGTAGAAGGCTGTTGACCGCTGATGAGAAGAATAAATTGAATGCTAAGATTTTGAAAGCTGAAATGGCCGGGAAAAAGGTAAGGTTTTGAATGTTTTTGGTGTTTTGTGTTTAGTTATGGACGGAACATGGAATGATTGATGTTTATAAAGATTTATCAAAGACTTCGTGACATTCTAAAACTTATTTTTGTTGTTTTGAAAAGCAGTTAAGCTTGCAATATTGAAATTTATTATGTTATCAATGCTAACTTTAATGTCCTTTCTGATTAGATGTTGTTTTTTGAGATTACTGAAAGAACTTTGGATTATTATTGTAACAAAGGTTTCACTGATGTTTTTTTTTACAATTTTTAGTGTTGACCTGGTTGTTTTATGCTTTTCATATTTAAAAACGTTAATTCTTGGCATATCAAAAGTAACTTTAGTATATTTACTACATTTTTAAACGGTTTTTATCAATAAGAGTAGCGAAAGTCAGGAAATTAAGGTTTTTATGTTTTCAGTGATCTATTGTTCTCAATAACTTTGGTATGTCTTCTGTAATTAAATAAAACGAATACTTTTTTACAGGACAAAGCCAGAAAGTTAAAGAAGCAATTGGCAGATGGATATGCACAATCTGACGAAGAAGCATCAACTAGTAAAGCAGAGAACGCTGATGATAACGATGTCGTGTTAATGAAAGTGGACAAACGAACCGGTGTTATTCAACCAGCTAGTTCTCAAGCAAAGGCAAGTTTTCTTAATAATCAGGGGTTTCAAAAGCTAGATTTACATCTTTTTTGGGGTTTACTTTATTTTAGGTTGTGAAACAATGTTTTTTGACGTTTAAGAAATTTTTAACTGAAAGGTGTATTTTTTGGTAATGTTTAATATTAAAGTGTGATTTCAGATGTCCGGAGGTAAAGACAGAACTCATAAAGGTTTGGTGGACAGCGAATTCAATCGTGCAGCTACTTTGGAAGACTTGGTTAGAGATGAAAAGAAACTGACTTCAGAAGATCAATTAGAAATGTTTAATAGGGCAGCTAAAGTAAGTTTTTACTTTAAAAAGGTAAAATACGACCGGGGTAAATTTTTTACTTTAACTTTAGCAAAAGATTTTAGTTTAAATTGGGCTTTATTTTAGATGACCTCATCGAACAAGACAGATGACGATTGGATTCTGGATGACAATATTACAAGTTTCAAACACAAAAAACGTCATGAAGATAAGGATGCAAAGAAGGAACATTCCAAACGTGTTAAAGGTAGGTTTATATGCTTTTTAATATTAGGTTGTTCAAATAATTTTGTGCTCTTTAACTCCGAAAGTTTTCTTTGATAAAGGGTACAGAATTTGTTAAACAATCTAACAAGTTTTTTTGAGAAACCTTATTTTTAAAGTTCATAAGCTAACGTAATCATTAGGGTTAATCACTACGGTTTTTTTTTATATATTGTCAAAAATAAGGGTAAAATACGAGCGCTAAAAATACGGATTTAATAATAAATGACTCCTAGGGATGTCGTTAGGAGGCTAGGGAGAGTGAATGGGGTTGGATCCCCTCACTAGGTAATTGCACCAAATATCCTTCGGCTTTTTGAACGAGACCTATATAGGATGAAATAGCATAAAAAGTTACCGGGAAAACTGTTTTCAAAAATTTCTAAATGGACTTGGCTAGCCAGTTACAGTATGCTCTATATCCTTATATGTTTACAAGGTATAGCTTTAAAGTTTAAAAAATGACATTTTTTGATGAATATTATTTTCTAAAAGTGTCTAAAAACAAAAAATAAGACTTAAAAATAGTTTTTTTAATTAAAATATTGTTTGGCTAGCCAAAACTTCTTGTCAGCATGACTGGGCGCCAAAATGAAACTGGCGGGGTTCGAACTTCCCTTCTTCTGCACCCCAGACTAACTTCTTAACCACTCGACCACGCTGGATTGAAACCTCAGTCCATTCGTTTTGCTCAAGACGAATGAGAAGGATCGAACAGGAAACCCTATGTAAATCATTTAATCGATAATATCTCGCTAGTCGAATCTATTTAGCAGTTTTTGAAAACAGTTTTTCCGGTAACTTTTTATGCTCTTTCATCCTATATAGGTCTCGTTCAAAAAGCCGAGGGATATTTGGTGCAATTCCCTAGTCAGGGCCGATCCAATTCACATATATGAGATACCTGTACGTGGAAAGTTAAGATTTTTTTCCAAAAATGGTTGCACTGATGCTACCTGTAGATAAAAAAAACTGTTGAAGCGCTATTATGCTTTTTGTGTATTAAAAGTTTAAAAACGTTGAGGCTCCGTGGCGTGGTGTTTAAAATTAAAACACTGAAAAAAATTCAAAAAAGTCAAGACTTAACCATTTATAATGTCATAAAATACTACAAAGTAAAACAATTTTTTCAAAAATATTACTTTATTTATTTTTTCTAAAATACGTTCGAAACAAAAAGTGAAAATAAACCCGTTGAATGGACAGACCAACAAATAAAAGACAACATTATAACAAGATAAGTTGTTATAAAAGACGAGACAGAAACAAAAATACAACAATATTGCCTAAGTATCATAAGGAATACAACAAATAATGTTTTTCAAAATAGTTCACAATTAAAAGAGAACAATACTTTAAACTTTATAAAAAGACACAAAAACACTAAATAATGATTGTGGTACTAATACTGGACCAAAGAATATATTAGACTAAAGTAACAGTAAATAATGCTCGAATTGTACATAGTTTTTAAAATATTATGGTATGAATTGTAGTTGGAGTTTTGTGATTGGTTGAATACATTATTATTGATCAGCTAAAGGAAAAATTGACAGCAAAAGTAGATAGTTAGGTTGTTCAAAAGTAGATAGTTAGGTTGTGCCCCTAACCCCGAGCATTTGCTTTGAGAGGGAGCACAGAATTATTTGGACAACCAATTATAATATCGAACTTAAAGCCGAGCCCTAAAACGCATATTGAACTCATGAATTTTGTCCGACAACTTCTTGAACAGCTTTAAGTTGTCCTCAACAACTGGCTTCTTCTTCGCGTCAAAGTTGGCGGGAGCTCCGGGCTTTGTCTTCGGAGCCAATGTTGTAGTAGTAGTTGTGGGCTTAGATTCGACTGTAGCCGGTTGGAATTTGTGCTCGAGATCGAAGGAATCGAGTTGTTCGTCGTCACGGCAGCGAATTTTCTCGTAGTAGACGGCCTTGTGGAAGGGTCTCATCAAGCGTGGGTTATCCCATTGGGTCTCGCTCAACAGCTCGCAATAGCCATTTTTCTGTAATTGTTATTGATTAAAGATGCCTGTTGATTTTAAAAACTATTTTTGAAGTTTTTGAGGTATTGTCTGTTGGGTAGGGCCGAGTAGGCCGGGTTAGGTAAGGATAGGATACGGTAGGGTAGAATAGGTTAGGGTAGGATAAGGTAGGGTACTTTTTGCCTGGGCTTAAGCTATGGCATGGGTGAAAGAATAGTAAAGCTGGTAGGGTAGGATACTCTTATCTATACGTTTTCTGTGTGCGAGGCCTTAAAGTAGTACTTTGTGTGCCTTAAAATTACTTTTTTGAACCCTATGCTCTGAAAGATATTGCAAAACAGTAGTAAAACTTTTTTTGACCCAGTTCAAAAACAGACCAAAGTTTTAATTGCACTTTTAAGACTTGTTGATTCGAGTTATAAAACGCAAAATTAATTTGGCGTAATTAGAAAACCTACATTCTTTCCCATAGGCTCGAAATAGTTGATGGCTTTGCACTTGTCGTTCAAAACACAATGTTGTAAACAATCACTGTGTCCTTCCACCATCTTTGTACTAATCATAGCACCAAAGTACACGTATTCCGGGATTGCGTTGCTTTCTAGGCCTTGGGGACAGTCTGAAAATGGGTTTTAGTTTTGATGGTTTGGCAAGATTTAATTGATAAAGTTCGTCACATGAGAAAGCCAGGTTATTCACAGCTTCCTTATAGTCTAATATTTGCATATCATGCTATAAGAAAGCTGTGTAAGTTATACTACTGGACGGCTGTTTAGTAGTATAACTTATAATAAAATGTATGAAGAATTGTTAAGTTAAGTGAAATCTCTTGAAAGATTGAAAGACTTACCGTCATCATCGTATGTGATATCGTAGAAAGCTGGGTTGTTTGATGGGTTCATGTGTGCTCTTAAGTCTCCAAACCATTCTGTGGTACACTCAACGTGATACACAATTAGCAGTAGCGTTAACGTAAATAGTTTCGACATCTGAAATTAAGCTTATAATAGTTACAGTATAACTGATATTGTAAGTAATTTGTGTTAATTTACACGTAACACGATATGAGGTAGTGGTTCTTAAAATATGCTCGGAATATACGAATAATTTTGACTTGGTGTTGATCAGATACTTATGAGGTTGATCAAATAGAAGCCTAGTGAATTAGTCGGTTGAAAGCAATAAGATCTAGTAAAGCGAATTCAGTGATAGCTAGATCTATTGGTGGTAAGATAATGCGATTCGTGGCTACTAATGATTAGACGTTTGATCACGTAAGGGATTATAATCACTCGCGTTCGTTAATGTGAAGCAAAAAACCAAAAGTTGACTTAACAACATTTTAAAGTAGGTGATTCGGTTTAAATCAAAGAAGCAGTTACGAAAGATGTTACTTGAGAAAATGGAAACTTGTTAGGGGATTTTAAAGTTTGATTTGGGTGATTAAAGCTTGTAGGACGGTACGTTATACAGTCAATTTTCTTTAGTATGACACTTAGGAGACTAGACCAAAGTGTCATTATAAAGTAAGAGGGTGTCACATTATTGAAGGCCATACTAAAGAGATTTTTCTGTAGTTCATAGTTATGAGGGTAAGACTGTGCGTTTCAAGTAGGCTTTAACATAAAGTATATGATATTACTGTTGACATATTTATACTACTAAAAATCTATAATAATTCGACAGAAAAGTCAACAAGAAATTGCAGTAGCTATCACAAGTCAAAAAGTTTTGAAATACGTTTTCTTTCAAAACTACACAATTGTCTTACGAATTCACTGAACAGACACTTTAAACCTAAATAACTAATCATAAACTAAGCTCCAAACCCAAATAAATGAACAGACACTAAACCTACACCTATAAATATAAATTGATGACGCCAATCGTCAATGTATTTTTACCCCAACGGTTTACACGGTGTTCTAATCGTCAAAAACTTTTCAAAGACGTTAAAACACAATTATTGGTGTTTAGAACTTTAAAGAATTCGACCGAGTAAAAGTAGCAAAAAAGTGAGAGAAGGGAAAGAAAGTAACAGACGTTGGTTTCTGGTTGACCTTATCATTAAAATGTTTATTGTTTTGTAGAATTGACCGTGATATTTAGGCTTCAAAATTGTAAAAAATGTTGTGTGTTTGGGGAGGAGGGGTGTAAAGTTTAGACAAAAGGGTGAAAAAGTTATGGTCTTGTTTACATATGGGTGTATAAAAAGGCGAGTTAGGCTTAATTTATCGTATAGTAGTCTGAAAGGGAACGTTAGGTCGTATAAAAGGGCAATTTAGGCTTACTATACTACTACAAGAGATTAACTAGTAAAAGAGGCTTTGCTAAAAAAAAACATCACTATGGTCAACAAAAAGTGACCGTTACCTTATATTACCCATAAATTAAGTACAGTATAAAAATGAAAAAGCTTATGTAAGAGCTAACAATGTAAAACCAAACGTGAAAGCACATTTGATTTTACATTGTTACCTAAAGCAAAAGTGTAAAACAGCTGGTAGGAAACGTTCGAGAAGAATCCAAAATCTAAAAATTAGGAACAACTCTTTACTTGTCAACAGCAAACTCGAAAGGAATTTGAGGCCTTACACGGTTTTGCCTGTTGTAGATCTTATCTTACAGCGCTAAAAGGACGACCTGAACTGTCTGAATCATTTAAAAAAGTAAATAATCGCACAGACGATATTCAGAAAACGGCGCGATAACTTAAGACATCAGAAAGTGAAAACATTGTATCTAACTACAGTAGCATGCCGTACACTTGTGAGTTATGTGTTTGTTATTTGTGTTGTTTGTGTGCGTCTTTTAATAGAGTGAGCACGAAGAACGGTGGCAATTATTAGCTGTTGATTCAACTAAAAGTTGTTTAAAGCACCAAACGATCAACGAGATTTTTCGGTAAACAGTTGTGAAGAAAAGTTTATTTGATAGAACAGTTGTGAAGAAAAAAGCGTTACTTTTTTCTACCTGTTGGAATGTGGTTGTAAAGTGTAGGGTTCAAAATGTAAAAAGGCTTTTTGAGTCATCTGTTACATTACCTAATGTTCTGATCTAATTGTTGTTTACTAAACAGAATAGCTTGCTTTGGCAGTCACATACCGTTAAAAACGAAATGATATCTTGTCGAAAATTGACCTTTTCAACGAAAATCGCAAGAAACAATTGTTTTTTGACAAGTGTAACTAGAAAAAAGGATGTTTTTGATGAATTCGCGCTTGTAAAATAAAGTAAAGTTGATCTCGTCAACCTCTCGGTGAGTAACTTTACTGGAATTTTAATAGGACACAGTCAAAACACAAAGCCCAAAGGGAGTGGCAGTTTTTGCAGCAGTTTCTAAAGAGCAACGAGGAACTTTGCGCTACCTTTTATAGTACATCAATCTAATATATAGGGTAGGGTAGTTTCTGTTTATGTAAAAGCGATTTTCAAGTCAAAATAAAAACAAATTCCAAATATTTAAGAATTACAACAAGAACACTATTTACGATCGAAACGTTAAAAATTACACAAAACATAATTTACGACCGTTTTCCAAAAGTTTGTTATGTTTACAAAACACACACGATCACTTAACGTACAGAATCCCATAAAAATATGCGGTTTGTCCACTCCGAACACACAAAAACCAATGCAACAATGAGTCGTTGTGTTGCTCGTAGACCGTTGTGTTGCTCGTAGACCCATAAATCCTTTCGCTTTATCAAACGAAATTGATTGATACCGAAAGTGCGCGAACGGAATACCCAAAAAACGGTCGAACAATTTTGAGAAAACCCGCAAGAAGGTCAGTCTATCAAACAAGCCCCTTAAACCGAATTGATTTTTAGCTGTTGAAAAAAAAACCGACTGCCTTTTGCTGCCACAAAAAATTGTTTTTCAAACGCTTCAAGTTTTACCGTTAAAGTGCGGGTTGAAATTTAAAAAAGTTAAGGAAGAATTGAGGTAAAATGAGGCAAAATATACGGTTTTGGTTATAATTTTTACTAGATTTTCTAGCGTAAGACATGGTAGGGCTTAAAGCTCAATATACGGTAAGACATAAAGCAAGATAGGGTGAGAATTAAAGCTTAAAATACCATAGGAATCTAAACTTAAGATAGGATTGGACATAAAACTTAAGATACGGTAAGAATTAAGCTTAAGAAAGAAAATTATAAACAAAGCCAACGGCATAAAATCCACGTGAAACGTATCAAAATTGATGCACGCCTATAAAAAATTGATTAGTAATTAATTGCAACAAGGCTACAGACCTTCTTCGTTTACTAAAGGTTTAGGTAAACGTCGGTTTGACTGAATAGTATAAAAAGTAGGTAGAGAAAAGGTAAGGTAATCGCAAAGTTGTTTGTGATGATTGCCACTAATTTCAACTAAACGTTGTTTGTTGATGGCACAGTTTAGTATATTTAAAAGGGTTTAAAGATTTAAAAGGTAAAAGCCGGAAGATAATTCTAGATAAACCAGCACCAATATATTAACGAACAGATACTTTACCGGCAAGCAAAAATATTTTATTAGTGTTATACATACTACTACATATTCTATTACTACTAATAGTGGCAGGTATTACTTTTTGTAAGTTTACACATCGAAGTTTAAACAAAGCAAGATAATACCAAAGCCGTAGCTAAAAGAAATATAAATCTAATAACAAATACAAAGATATACAAGCTTAACAATAATTAAAATCAAAGCCCACCAAATCAGCCAGCCTAAAAGTTTTGAAGGTTTGAAACAGAATTCCCCACTAACAAACGTTCGATTCCCGTTATTGAAACCACACCCAATCGTTTCAGCGGTTTCATTCATCTTATTCTGTTATTTTGTGTGAACATTCGAGCTGTAAACGCTGAAGTTGCAGGCTACAATTTAATAGTAACATACAATTGGTTTTTATAACATACACTTGGGTTTATGACGTCAGTAAAGGCACAAGTTAATGTTTTTGATGGGGTAGTTAAGATTATGGATTTGGGAATTTGTAGATGAGAATGAAAAATCGAACCAGACCTGTAAAGGTGGGGCCAAATTTTTGGGCCAAGAAAGGGCCGGGCTTAGTGGGCAACTTTCTGGTCTAAATTGAACTAATAAAACATGTACAAGAACAGCTATGTCAAAACTATTAAATTACATAACGTCACAAGATCTATATGTCACGTTTGAAGTTTAAGACCAAGTACAAAAACAATGATTTACAACAATAACATTGAAATAAGTTTTTTCTTTCAAAAATCACCAGGTGACCACGATAGGTTGGAATTTTTCAGAAAACTAAAATGATGAATGGTTTTATTTTTACCACAAGGCGGTTCAAAAAAAACAAATGTAAAGTGTAAAATGAACACCAAATTGATGAACATATTTTTGTTGAAACGAAAACAAATTTAAAGGTTTCTAGGTAAAGGGGAGTCAGGTGTAACAAAATATGTGTCGAAAACTAACCTTGCGGTTAATGGTGTAAGAGAAATACCATGGTTTTGTTTGGGATGTATTTTTTTGATTTAATATGTTTTTAAAAAGTTGGCTTAGCGCTTTTTTGACTTTTGGACAAAGGATTAGGTGGTATATTCTCTACTTTGCTAGAGGGCAAAGTAGTGCTGAGTAAAGTGCATTTTTTAGAAAACTGTCATAAGTTAAGGCAAGTACGTCACTAAAGGTTAGCTCCTTCCCTAGCACGGTAAATGCATTTACTAGGCATAACTTTTTGTTTTGATCATAAAAGCCTTATAATGCCTTACGAATTTATTGGACAGAGCACGCGACAGAAAGGGCGTATAAGATACAGACTCAAATGTGAAGTCTACGTTTTTGTAGATGGAGATACCTACAAAATGATTTTTCGCGCACTCAAAGTTGAGATTATTTTATGCGAATTTTGAAAAATCAAAATTTCTATCTTGAATTTCACGAGATGAATTCATTCAAATTTTCATAGTGAAAAGCAAAAATACTGGTCTTACAGGTTAAAACATGGTTTAGAAAAACAACATTAAACATTAAATGTACTTCACAAATAAAATCAAAAACAAAATGTCAAAGAAAATCACTCTCTTGAAGCAAAAACCGTTGGCACTAAACATCAGATCTATAAATCCCGCTACGGTCGAATTCCAAACATGACGAATGACCGTCACCGAACGCCGTTCTCAGAACGAGACAATCTGGCGTCGCGCGCTTCTGAAGGCTGTGGGAGTTGTAAATAACTCTATATATATGCCGAACCTTGACGAACATAAAACTCTAAGCGAATCATGTGAAGTTGTTAACAGAGTAAACACATTTTTTTCGGATTTTGATAGTTAAACTATACAACTGTTTTTTGTGTTTAATGTTAATAGTTAACAAACAACAAGAGCGGAACGGGTTTGTTGACATGATATAACATAATATTGTGCGATCGTATGGTTAGCATGTTACAAAATTATATCATTACGATATAAATTAATATTACAGCATAAAGATCAGAAATGAAGGTGTACGACAGTGATAATATATTAAAACCTATGAAAATAGTAGTAAACATACAATAATTTCGAAAAATCAACACTTTAATACTTTAAACCAAAGCATACTAGTAGCTTAAACACCTTTTTATACACTTAAAAACAAAGTTGTACACTTAAAGACAACTATTAGCTTGTCTCAAAAAGAATAGCCAATTTTTTCGTACAAATCAAGGTTCAAATCGGCCATTCTTTTTGGAACAACCTAATACATCCGCTTTGAGGAAGTAGATGTCGCAACCCAACGATAAGTCTATTTATCTCCAAAAGAAAACGAACGGTAGCGGTTTGATCCGACTTCTTTAACGGTCAAATGACTGCGTCCGATTTACTTTGAAAACATAACTTGTTTTCTCACCTAACACAAGCATTTTTATAAGCATAGGAAAACAACCGCGACAATTTTTGAGTTCTGGTAATTCGAAGAAATAACAATTACTCATCGCATTACAACTAACTATAATTAATGGCCGAAAAGTTATGATGAACGGAGGGAAACTGTGTAAAATATGATGAGCTGTCCACATTTTTGGAATTCCAATGTAAGGCAAACGTAAAGAAGTTTTGTTAAGGTAGGCTTGAAAGTTAATCTCGCGAAAATCTAGATCAAACAATTAAGTTTTGAATTTCCCGCCAAATTGGCATTGTGTTTTAAGCGGATAACTTTGTCATTTTTTGACTGTCAGTCATTTTTCTTCGGTGTACCAGTAGAAAATCTTTAAATGAACCTACGTTTTTAAATTTGTAAACGTAGCTTGTCTCGAAAGTAGAAAAAGTAGCTTGAAACACAATGCCAAATGTTGGCGGAAAATCAAAAATTTCAATTTTAAAACCCAGGCGCGAGCTAAAATTTTTTATAGATATTATTGGTGGTGCAAAGAATTTATATAAAAACTTTGAGCTGATTGTGAGGGTGACTTTAATTTTAACGTTATATGCACTATATCAAGGTGCTTAAATTAGACTGACAATGAAGCGTACTATCTGAGTTAGAAAGGTCAAAAACTTAAATGCTTCTCCACAAAGCAAAATAATTTTATCAATATAATGAATATCAACATCAATTTGTTGCAAAAGCTACAACAATAAAGATAAAAATAGCTACCATAACGTAGACCTTGTTAAGAGTGCTTGCAACTTACTGGTACCGGTCAAGCAGATAACAACACTCATAAACCAATTCGGACGGGGTGGTCGCGGCAATAAAAACTGTTTTACAAGTGTTTCGAGCAGCGTTTTATGGCCGTTCTAACTTTGAAACATTCTTTGCACTTTTAAATTTTGAAATTTAGAAGGGTTAGTGTAATTTGCACTTTTAAAATTTGGGTTTAATTAATATAAGAAAATTGATATAAATTTTGAAAAAAAATTTATACCAAACCCAAAAACTTTGTTTCCAGACCACAAACGCCTTGAACAAACCCTCGATTCGTGCCAGTTATGCCTGGAGTCGCATTGCATCGACAAGCTAACGATTGTGGCCGTGGGCTTCAAGGTAAGATTCCAGAATTAATTGGTCATTAACTTCAACTCAAGGTTAACCAATTCTTTTACAAATTCGAAAGGAATTACAGTGTAATGCAAGAAATAATGAGTAGCAAAGGTTTGTAACTAATATGGCTGTTAGTTCCGGGTTTTTGAATTGGTTTTTGATAAGAGATTTATATAGAATGAAAGAGCATGAAAAGTTATCAAGAAAATCATTTTCACAAACTGCTAAATGACTTTGGCTAGCGATGAAAATACGTATATTACTAATAAGTATATCTTTGTAGACATGAGCAACGGGCCGGGCCTGAGCAAAATCGAAAACGGGCCGGGCTTGAAAATTGGGCCCGGGCCCGAAAAAAAATTTTTTTAATTTTTTAAAATTTTTTATTTCAATTCCCGTTTATGTTTTTCGATTTTATTGGATTCTATGATCTATAAATGACCTAAAAAAACAATTTAAAGCCAAATTTCCGTTTAGTTTTTGTTTTAAAATTTTTTAAAACGGGCCGGGCCTAGAATTTTTCTGATCGGGCCGGGCCGGGCCTGACCAAAATCAAAAACGGGCCGGGCCTGACCAAAATCAAAAACGGGCCGGGCCTGAAATCTAGGCCCGGCCCGTTGCTCATGTCTATATCTTTGAGATCGAAAAGTAAGTTTTTTAGTAAATTTTAAAAGTAACTAAAAGCATAAAATACGATTATAAATATTTCCTTTTGTTCGGCTAGCCAAAACGTCTTGTCAAAATGGCAAAACGCCAAAGTGAAATCGGCGGGATTTGAACTTCTTCTGCACGCCAAACTAACCTATTAACCTTTCGGCCACGTTGGATTGACGTCTTAATTCTAAGTTTTGTTTGTTCACATAATTCTGTGCTCATAATTCTTCAAATTTGCTGTGATATGTGACGCAGAATTATGTAAGAAACCTCTTAATTTTTTTTACTTCTGACGTTTCGCTAGCCAGGATTGTTTAGTAGTTTTTGAAAATGGTTTTCTGGGTAACTTTTCATGCTCTTTCTTCCCATATAGGTCTCTCTTTAGAAACCGGAGGAAAACTTTGTGCCTCCGTTGTGCATTTTTTAAAATTTAAGATAATTTTTATGTCAAAATTTTTAAAAAAATTTTTGTTGAAAAAAGTCTTTGCACCGTGCAGTTGAAACTTTGCACTATGCTGTTCTCATTAATCTTTTTGTAATGACAATTTTACGTTGTTATTGCAAACGTCATACAATGTTGTTATTGTTCTCGATAACAAACTTGCTCGTTATTACCGTGCGGCGCCGTTCCGTCTTCTTCGCTGCACATTCTTTTGCATTACAATTCGAACATAAAAACCGTGAAATCTGAAGGTTGTGGCGATACCGTCAATCAGCCTTTTTGTCAATCAAAAAAATATTCGGCGACTGATATGGCGACGAGTACTTTTTCGGTGTAAAAGCATTATTAATTTGGATTACAATATAATCTTTGAAGAGATAAAAGTGTAGATGTGTTATCGAAGGTCAGAAATGCAGTTTCAAGAGTATGTAATAGACAATTAGAATACTCTTAATTGAAAAAAGAAGATGAAAGTTGGAAAAGTCGAAGAAAATTTATTTTACAGTGGTCTCTATATATAGTGAACCATCTGTACAAGCAACTTTCTTTATAGTAAACAAGAAATTTGGCCCGGCAAAGTCAATTTGCACTACAAATTACTTTGTAATGACAACATCCTTTATAGTAAACCCAATAAGGTTCTTTTGGGTTGCTTATATAAAGAGATTACTGTAATACTAAAGACTAAAGAGCTTAATTTTAGCTTTCGTAAAGAAAGTTATTGCTATTTTTAAGCTTGTAAAGAAAGTTCTTGTCATTTTCTGTTTTGTAAAGAAAGTTCTTGTCATTTTCTGTTTTGTAAAGAAAGTTCTTGCCATTTTCTGTTTTGTAAAGAAAGTTTTTGCCATTTTCTGTTTTGTAAAGAAAGTTCTTGCTACTTTTATAAACCATTTTTTCGAAAATAATTTTTTAAATTTTTTTTGCAAAAGATGCGCTCCAAGTTGTAGACTTGACATAAAAATAGAAGTCACATGATGTTAAAGTGTAATCGGCGATATATTGCTGAACATTTCAAATTTGACAAAGATAGATATCGTTAACAGATTTGACGTCCTTTTGATCACTCTCTTTCAAACGTGTTAACAGATTTGATTTATAAACCTACTGTAAGTGTGGAATGTAGAATTGATTGACATCTAATAGGTCATAAGCTTGCTACTTGGTTTCTAATTTTTTGGGGTTTTAGGCTTTTAAACGCAAGAACTTTCTTTACAAAACAGAAAATGGCAAGAACTTTTTTTTACAGTATGAAGAATGGCAAGAACTTTCTCTACAAAATATAAAGTTGCAAGAACTTTCTTTCCAAAGCAAAAAATGGCAAGAACTTTCTTTACAAAACATAAAGTTGCAAGAACTTTCTTCACAAAGTTAGAAATGGCAAGAACTTTCTTTAAAAAAGGTAAAATAGCAAAAACTTTCTTTACAAGACGATAAATGGCAAGGAATTTCTTTAAAAAACAGAAAATGACAAGAACTTTCTTTACAAACTGTAAAATGACAAAAACTTTCTTTACAAAAAATTGGGGTCAGGGACAGTTAGGAGTGAAAAACGGGCCGGGTTAAATAGCAAAGTCCGGTCTTACTTTTCAAGCTGTGCTCCTATCAACTTTTGCTCAAGGCAGGATCGGCCTGATCGCAGTGCTAGTTCGGGCCTACACGGCACGTTTCATAGGCCCGGTGGGATCCCTTTCAGTCTACCTTTATACCTTTTCTATGCTCTTTCTTGAGCCTACATGTCATTTTTAAACTTATGCTACATATAATTTCAGACCTACCTAGCAGTAGTGCCATGGAAAGGCCTAGACCAATTCCATTGTCGTATCATACCATCGGAACACTACTCATCACAAGTTACTGTAGATGAAGATGTATTCGCTGAGCTGAGACTATGGAGGAAAGGATTGGTAGCCATGTTCAAGGATCAAGATGACGAAGATTGTGTATTCATTGAAACGGCCAAAAACGTCAAAAACACTATTCATATGGCTATTGAATGCGTACCATTACCAAGAGAGTCGGGCGATCTGGCACCAATTTACTTCAAGGTAAGGGGGTTTGAAATTGTGCGGCTTTGGTACTGTTTGAGGTGTTTTGGAACTGTTACAAGTTTTTTGGTACTTTTTCCCGAATTTTATGGTACCATAGAGGAATTTAGTACTATTTGGAATTTTTTAGTACTACTAAAATATTTTTGGTACTTGTTACGGTGCTTTTTTGAGCTGTACTACTAAAACTTCTTTGGTACTATATATTAAACGTTTCGGAACTTTTTGAAATTTTTTGGTACTGTTTTGAACTCTTGTAGTATTTTTTGATAATCTTGGTACGAATGAAGATTTTCGGTACTATTTTCAAATTTATTTACGGTGCTTTTTGAAAGTGTACTACTAGAACGTTTTTAGTACTATATGAACCCTTTTGGTACTGTTTTGGACTATTGTAGTACATTTTCAATCATTTTGTTACTATTGAAAATTTTTGGTACTATATGGAATCTTTTGGTACTGAATAAACCTTTTTTGTACTGTTTGAGCTTTTACAGTACTATTTGAACGTTTTTGGTACTGTCGAAATTTTATAATACTGTCTGAAGTTACGTGATACCTTTTAATGTTTTAGTACTTGTTTTGGAATAATTAGTACGACTTATAATTTGTACACCTTTTAAAAATTTTGATACTTCTTGAAAAGTTTAGAACGGTTATGATTTTTGTAAAATACGTTTTTTAAATGAATAATGGTTTTAAATATATCTTCAGCAATCCCTAGAACAAGCCGGCGAACGGTGGGGTACTCATCGCAAAATAATCGACCTGTCGACAACCAAAGAGAAATCCGTCAGAAAAGCAATTCCACCTGGATTTTCATATTTCTCAATCGACTTCGGCCTACAACCAGGATATGCACATGTTATAGAAAGTGAAGAGAGCTTCCCGGCTCATTTTGCACAGGTAATGATAGAATGGCAAGAACTTTTTTTACAAAACTGAAAATGGCTAGAACATTCTTTAAATAAATTAAAATGGTAATAACTTTCTTTACAAAACAAAATTGCAAGATCTTTCTTTACAAAACAAAAAATAGCAAGGACTTTCTTTACAGAACAAAAAAACGGAAAGAACTTTGTTTACAGGGATTAAAATAACAAGAACTTTCTTTACAAAACAAAGAACTAAAAAACATTTTTTCAGGAAATCATAGCCGGTATGTTGGACCTGGACCATAAGGTATGGCGTCGACCAGAAAAAGAAACCCAAGACTCGTTGAAACAGAAAAGAGATGCCTTCCGGGAACGATGGGCAGCCTTCGACTGGACTGAAATGGCCAGGAAACGGGTCAACGACGAAGGAACCAGTGCTGAATAGTATAATATATTCTTATAACTATTTTATTGTTTTGACATTTAAAAAATGAAAAATTGTTTAAAATATTTTTAAGATATGTCAGTTCGGGTAAAAAATCGAAAATCTGGCAAAATTTGAATAAAACTTGCTTCAAAATGGCCTTATTTCAACGAAAACAGACTAATATCAAACATATTTTAACAAAAAACGGCCTAAACCGACCATATTTTAATAACAAAACGCCCAACTCGACCAAAATCCAACAAAAAACGCCCAAAATCGACTATTCTAGCGATTTATTTTAGCGAAGAAAATACCAATGTTACAAGTATACGACGAATTAAAATAAAAAATGTTTAGAGGTCACAATCAATGTATTGAAATAGCCTTAAGTGTGAAAGAGACTCTAGGAAGGAAGTAAGAAAAGACCTGTTAGCTGTTCTGGCCAAACTATCGCATTCTCGCTATGTTAAGGCACAAAAAAGGGGTTGGGGACGGTGGATTAGAATGGTCAGAAAGTGCGTAGAATTTAAAATTTATTCATTTTAGGTATGATTTTAAGTTTTTAGAAAACCAAGATTTTTTTTATTTTAAAAAAGTTGAGTTTTCCTTTCAAACTACAGCCCAAAAATCCTTAAAATGAAGTTTTGTTTTAAAATTTGCCACTTTTTTGACATTTCTATGTATTTTTTGACTATGTTAATGCGCTTCACTCTAAATAAGCTTGTTTTCATGACTAAAACATTTGAAAACTCATAGAGATTCTAAAGAAAGATTTATATAAACTAAGACTTGGTTTTGAGAAATTTTATGTCATTTATAGGCATGTTATGTTTACTTATAAGCATATTTACGTCTTTACGGGTCTTATAATACCTGTAAGAAGCCTAGAAGCTCTTACAGTACCTGTAAAAATCCTAAAACATCTTATAAAGCCTATAAACCAACAATATTCTCAAAAAAAACCATCAATACCTATATAAACCTTCTGAAAACCCTATGAATTTTACAAAACAATTTTCTGAAAAATTTGAAACAAAATAAGTCAAATATGAATATTCCAAGGATTGTTAGAAAACGATAAAAGTTGATCTGAGACACTGCTCTTTCCCTTCCGTTGATGTTGGTTTTGGTCACGCCCGCGTGTCTCAAACCATTATAGTAATATTGGAGTAAAAAATATGAAAAATAAGTGGTTTTGGACCGTTAATAAACCAAAAAGATGACATTTGGATGTTATTCATCGTGGTTAAGGTGTTATCCATCTTGATTTGAGTGTGGTAAAGCTTAAATTAGATCTTCTCCATCTCAATATCATGCCTTCTTGGACTGCTTCCGGCCCTTTTGTTGCTTCTTCTTCAGTTTTGTAATCAGTTTTGGTCCAGCCAATTTATCTTCCGCCTTCTTCTGTGCCCGTTCCTCCTTCAATTGTCGATAATTGATACCTTTCGACTTGCGCGGCTTCGCACCCATCTCAACCAGTCGTCTTTCGTCCAGACTTAAGCCGTCTGAGTTCACGAATCGCTCAATCTAAAAAGAAAAGGTTATTTTATATTATTGTAGCTTAAAATTTGTTGTAAAGAAGTTATTCTTACTATAAAAAGTTGTCAATTCTTAAAAATTTAGCGAAAAGTTAAAAATGCAAAGTAGGTCACATAAAACCCACTGTAAATTTGAAATACATAACTCAAATCTTCAAAAATCTTTTAAATGCTTTAGTTAACCAATATCAATGTTCAGACGAAATTTCAAGTCGTTAACTCAAGTTTAAAGAAAGATATAATAAATACTAGACCTATCAACATGGTTAATACACCAAGATCCTTTAAATTTCCATAAATTCATCCAAAATGAAGACCAAAGCGTAATTTTTTTGTTTTAGACGTAAAAGATATTTTAGTTTCATTACCTTGAAAACAAGAAACAATTATTTGACCTAGACGTTGTAACTTTAGAATTTAAAAAAGACCTCCTATTTTGCCAAAGAGAATATCAACAAAAAAAGCACAAATTAAGTCTCCTTTTTGATTTTAAAACCTCAATGGTTAGAATAAAAATAACCAAGCTCATTTCCATACTAATTCAACCATTATTCCTCCAATTTGTTACCTAAACATCAAAAACAACGTAAAAAACATAAACTTACATCAAAAGTGACCCGTTTCTGGAGTGCCAGCTGGTTCTCCTTCTTTAGCCCGTTTTTCTTCAATATCTTTGGTGCTCGTTTCGTTGGCTGCGGTGGTGTGTAGTTACCGGGTAACAATTTGTTCTCGGGATTCGGCTGACTCCACCAGTTCATCGGACTTGAAGACACAAACTCGAAGGCGTCGTTGTGTTTCATTGGTACTCCTTGTCCGTATGCGGCTTCGTTTATCAAATCCTTGAGGGGCTTCATTTGACCAGCACGATCAAACAAGTCTTCCGATGTTACGGCGCCCCAATCTTCGGCCATTACCTAAAATAGATATTGTTAACTCGTCCATTCAAAAAAAATAACATAATACAAAAATAGTTTTAAAATACGACAAGTCCTCGTACGAAAACTAAAAAAACGAAGAAACAGCAAAAAATCGTAAAAATTCCTAAAATAATGTTATAGACAAACAAAAATTCAAAAATGTACCTAAAATACCAACATTTTCAAAAAATGTTTCATAATATTAAACTACCGTCTTTTAGGTATATTTTAATATATATCACACCTGTGTCCTACAAGGTCTTCAGTGCGTAACATTAAAAAATGTTTAGGTACACCAACATTTTACGTTATAACAAACTGAAATCCTTCAAGAATACCTAAAACTAACAAATTTTAAAAAATCTGTTTTTACAATATTAAAGTACAATCCTTTAGGTATCTTTTTATATACAACAAAAGTTGTTATAGAAGAGCTTTATACCTAAAATTGCAAAAGTAAAGTATAAGTACAAGCTATTTTCTATTTCGAAATAAAATTAAAAAAACTAAAGTACAGTAACCTCTTAGGCTTACCTAAAAATACTGTAAGTTTCAAAATTACCTTAAAAAGCCAAAAAAATCAATAACCTTTAAAATATCTTAAGACATATATTATACTACCTTCCAAAACTCGAATAACAGGAAACGAAGCCGCGTCAAACTCAACATGAAGAAACCTCAAGTAAAACTGGTTGAAAACGTGATTCGAATCGATTTCCGACCCTCAGGCAGCCGATCAACGTGAAGAGAAACGTTCGTCTGAAGCAAAAAACAAATAAATAAAAACAACAATATTCCCCCAGGTTGTGTGTAACAAGCAATTGCTATAACATGGACGTTGTTCGAAATTTGAAGGCCCGTTCGATTTTTTTGGGAAATAAAATTTTAGGAAAAATAAAAAAGATTTTATGGGAACTGCGTCCTTCAGCGAGAGATTTTGCCGCCAATTCAAAAGCAAGAGAAGAGAGAGACTTGGCGCAGCGTTTATTTTGCGTCAAGTGTTGTATTAGATGCCGACAAAAAGAACCCGCCATACTTTTCCTGTAATTTGTGGCAAATTTTGGAGTTTTTTGGAACATTTTTTTTATTTACGATGGATGGGTTGAAAGCTACAATACATCATTTATATTATACATATTATTATAGGTTATAGCTGAATTCAATATCAACCGCCATGAACCCCTCTGCGCTTAGCCGACGCGACGTTCGAGCGTTGTTACTTTACGAATTCCTACAGCAGCGTACAGCCTCAAAAGCCGTGGAGAACATAAACACAATATTTGGTCCTTCAGTGGTCTCTTACGACACAGCAAAAGTCTGGTTCAGATCCTTCAAGAACGGTGACTTTAGCTTGGATGACAAACCCATTCCAGGTCGGACGGCTACGATGAATGTTGACGAGCTACGGAAGTTGATTGACGAAGACCCGCGACGAAGTACTCGGCATTTGGCAGAAGACCTTCAGTGCTCCGAACGTACTGTAGAGCGCCATCTTCTGAGACTTGGAAAAGTGTGGAAGGGTGGTCAGTGGGTAACCCATGACCTTACCCAATCTGAGCTGAAGCAATGAGCGGACATTCGTAAGCATAAATTTCATAATTGGTTGTTATTATTGAAAGAAAACAAATAAATTTTAAAAATTGAAAAAACGGCGGGTTCTTTATGTCGGCGCCTGATGTTTTAGCTAAAAACAATATTTTTTTATAAGCTACTACATAAAAGGAACATGAATAAGATATTTTTTATTTAAAAAAGGTTTTTTACAAACTTTTAAGTTGTTTTACGCATTTTACATCCACAAAACCAATAAAACTTAAGAAAAAGGTAAACTTGACACAATCTGATGTATTGGGTCAAGAGTTACTCTCTCCGTATTATTATTGCCATTTTTAGTTTTTTCACTTTTTCAGTAATTGTTATGAACAATATAAGTGTATAACCACCAAATTACAGCTAAAAGTTTATTTTTTTGTGAAGATAATTTAACAAAATACCCATATATTGTAGTAGAGTTGACCTGTAAGTCTTGAGATCGATAGAATAAGGTTATAAAGGGCTGGACAAAGGAGACAAACACTTTATGTGACTTGCAATTGACCTATCATACATTAATCTAATAAAAACTACATTAAAAACATGAATTTACAGTTAAAAACGGCTTAAAATAACTAAAATCTACTATAATATAGCTCTATTCCTGTTGTTGTTGTTGAATCGCGGCCAATGCGGCCTGTAGAAGCATATCTGTTGGGTTTGAGGTTGATTCCGGTTCTTGAGATTCCTCTTCATTCGGGACTGGGTTTTGTTCGCCTTGGGAAATGAAGGATTTGTCTAGATTGGGAACGGCGGCTGGAGGTGGGAGGATGCCTTTGGTGCGGAGACGGCGTCTGATACCGTGAATACTGTCTTCTAGAAGGCCGAGGAGTTGCTTCTTGTCACAGACGAGCTCTCGCTGAAATTAGAGTTCATTTAAGTTAGGTTTTTAATTGAGAAGTTCGAAAATCTTGTTGTTTTAGGTATCAAATTTAAAAATCGCAATAACTTTCTTTACAGATATCAAAAATTTATAAATTTTTGTCACAAAACACAAAATGGCAATGAATTTCTTTACAAATCCAAAGTCAGCTACTTTTTCGCTAATGGAAGTCAAATGGAAGATTTTTAGTGCAATTTTCACTGAAAATCTTCCACGAATTTTCCACTTTTTAAAACTTAAGTAAAACCTCCCGATAACTTTAATTTCTGATTAAGATACTACAACTTACCACATAAGCCTTCATTTTAGGGTAGGGTTCGAATAGATGTAGCAGGAATGCTCTCATTTCGTGTCTCCTTGGGTATAGTTCACGTTCGCAGAACCTCATGATCGGATCTCTGATATATTTGCAAAATTCGTTTAACTCCTGCTTCTGAAGCACGATGGCTTCATCTTCGATTTGATGTAGTAGAATTCGACCGGATATTGTTGATCCCAGTAGGTTTTGAATTGTCATTTCCTTGAGGTTTTCATGAAGTTGATAGCCTTCTAGGGGGACTTTGCTTGATACCTAAAAATTTAAAACATAAAAGAGCGCGAACTTTCTTTACAAAACTTCAAATAGCAAGAACTTTCTTTACAAAACGTAAAATAGCAAGAACTTTCTTTACAAAACAAAAATGCAAGAACTTTCTTTCCAAAACAAAAACGTACCTCATCATTACTGTCCTGCCCAATTACTGTACTTTCAACCGGTTCAATCTGACCTATTTGTCCATTCTCCGCAATAGTACTATCAATACCATCTATAGTACCATTTGTAGCTTCTATTGTACCATTGATGCTTGCCATGATCCTATTGATACCTGCCATATCGTCGTCTGCCATTGAACCATTGATGCCTGCCATGATACCATCAATACTAGCCATTGTACCATCACTACCAACCATGGATCCATTGATATTCGCCATTATACCATCAATACTCGCCATAGTACCATCATTAAACGTCATATTATTAGTACTATTTGAGTAATCGATAGTACCATCTGTATATGCCATGGTACCCTCCATACCGGTGATAGTGCCATTGGTACCATCTGTTTCTAGCGTCGAGTCGTGTCCTGGAGACTTGGTACCATCGTATGGTAGACTTTGGGTGTTGTAGACGATACTGACAGTGTTATCAATTGGTCCCTTCTTTCGTTTCACATAATTGCCTCGGGGCTTGCGGCCCGGCTTCATCGGGTTCTTTAGGTAATCCGAGAATGACATCGATGCTATCTGGAATTGTATTTTATAAACAGGTCTTTAGAGACTTTAGAGACTATTTTGTTACTGTAATAGTACTATTTTGGCCATTTGTAGCCTTAATAATTGAAAAAAATTTACATTAGAACTGAAACTTTTGAAATTTTTAGAATTTCGAAAATTTTTAAAGATACAAAAATTTAAAAAATTTCAAAAGTTTTCTTTACAAACCTTAAAAACGACTTTTTTGTCAAAGAAAGTCAAGTGGAAGATTTCTAATGCAATTTGCACTGATAATCTTCCACTAAATTTCCATTTTTCAAAACTTGCCAAAACAAAACCCAATATAAAATCACATTTTACACCCACACCTTAACATATTAACCCAATAAACCTCATTTTCAGTTCAAAAGCCATTTCCCTACCGTTTCATCCGTGGCCGCGGCTTCTTCATGTTGTTGTTTCAACGCGTTGATTCTGGCATTCTTCTGGTTGATGACGCGTTTAGCGTTTCGAATACTTCTTTCTAAATACCCGTGATCTTGTTTTTTGTTGCTGACAAAGTCAGTTAGGACCAGGTTGGGAAAGTCTTGGAACAAATGTTTGAAATAGGCACGGAGTTCGACTCGACTTGGTCGGTTTTCGCTGAAAAATTGAAATTTTGCAAAATTTATGACATTTTTGGATAACATAATATTTTGTAAATAAACTAGAGTCTTTTTCAAGCCTAATGTATGTCATTTTATTCATTTTCATATTGTGATTCAAAACCCATAATTTGCACAGTGCAAGCTTATTTTTAACGCTTGCACGGTGCAGTCATTTTTTATGCTTCTTGCGCCGTGCAAATACCAAAGGAACTACCTAACCATCCCTACTCAGAATCAGCTCAAAATTTTTATATAGGTTCTTTGTACCACTAATAGTACCCATAAAAAATTTTAGCTCATGATTTTCAATTTCAAAATTTAAATTTTTGAATTTCCCGCCTAATTGGCATTGTGTTTCAAGCACTTTTTTCGACTTTTCAGACAAACAAAGCTTACAAATTTAAAAATGTAAGTTGGTTTTCTACTAGTATGTCAAAGAAAATTGATTAAAAGTCAAGAAATGACAAAGTTACAAGCTTAAAACACAATGCCAATTTGGCGGGAAATTCAAAATGTAAATTTTTAATCTTGGTGTTCTCAATATTTCCTGGAAAGCGTCAAAACATCAATATATACATATATAAACCATGACAACCCCACTTACATCTCACAAAGCCTCATGATGGGTTCCCTGATCTGCAGTGCCAGCTTGGCAAACTCTGACTTTGGCAATGGTTCTTGGGTGTCCAGCATGGCCAATAGTACTTGTCCTTTGTGATTTGAACCCAGCATTTCTCTGACATTCAAGCTTAGCAGTTCTGGATTTAAAATATCAACTGATACTGGGTCTTGAGGTCGTCGACTTCTGTGTGGTGTGACTGGAGGTGCTTCGCCTGGGGGTAGGTTTGCTTCCATCATTTCTTTGATGATGTTCTTCAGCAACTACAATAAATAATGTCATTTTCTATCTTGATTTAAAAAGTGATGTTGTAGGCTTAAAAAGTGTTGTTATAGGCTAAATTTATCTACATACCTTCTTCCTGCCCCTCTTTTTAGGTACATGTGGTTCTCCATTGTTTTCCTTAGGCGGCTTCTCTTTCTTAGGCTTCTTTTTATTCAATTCCCTCAGCTTTTTAGCCCTTCTGCCATTTCGAATACTGTTCTCAAGACAGCCCAACGTTTGTTTTTTGTTTCCAACGAATGTGACAAGATCAACATTGGCATGGTCTTTGAATAAATGGTCAAGGAAAGCACGTTGTTCGAACCTGCTTGGGTAGCTTGGCCTAAAATTGAAATTTTAGGTAACAAAAAATGTAGGGTAGGGCAGGGTAAGTTAGAGTAGGATATGGTACGGTAGAGTATGGCAAATGTAGGTTATGGCGAGGGTAGGGCAAGATATGACAAGGATAGGGAAAAACAGGGTATAAAGGCAAGGTACAATAAAAATATTTTTTTCTAAAACAGCACCAATTACCAAAAAACAGTAAAATTTTTCAAAAAAAGCACCATTTTCCGTAAAAGCCCGAATTTCAAAAAATTTTTTCAAAAAAATACCCATTTGTAAAAAAATAGTACCAATTTTCGAAAAGAGTACCACTATTCAGTAAAAAGTACCATTTTAAAAAATAGCACCATTTTTCATAAAATAGCACCATTTTTCAAAAAGAGCACAATTTTGTTAAAAAATAGTACCACCCTTTCAAAAAAGTACCATATTAACCATAAGAGTCAGTACTGTATTGTACTGTTTTAAAGTATGATGGCTCATCCTTACCGCTCGCACAACTTCATGATCGGATCCCTGATCATATTGGCCATATAAAGGTAGTCTTTCCTGTTCAGCTCCTCGCCCTTCCTCAACCTCTCTTCCAGATTCAATTTGGCCTCATTCTTGTCCAACAGATCGTAGATATTCAAGCTCAACAGCTCAGGCCTCAAGGATACATTAGTTCGTTCATTCGATTCGTTGAGTTCATCATCTTCCTCATTCGACGAGCATGGATACAGGCTGCTGAGTAGGTTGGCTGGGTTCATTTCGTCTACATCTAATGTAGAGTTGACTTCTGAACTTGAGCCTTCATTTGCCGTGCTCGAGGCTGGTTGAATTTCAAAATTTTTCGAATTTTCGGCCAAAATTTGTGATAAATTTTCTGGATTTTGAGCTAAAAGCTTGGCCAAAATTGGCTGATTTTGAGCCATAAAATCGGTAGTACCAGCTTCATTACTGGACATAAAATTCGCTGTGCCAGCTGCACCATTTGGCATCAAATTCGATGTTCCAGTTGCACCATTTGCCATATAATTCGAAGTTGAAGCCAGATTTTGGCCCATAACACCTCCAATACCTGCCTGATTTTGACCCGCATAGCCTGCAGTACCAGCTTGATTCTGTCCCATATAACCAGCAGTACCAATCGGGTCCTGCGCCATTAGAACAGGCATGTCATTAGTCATATTGTCCCCAGTTTTCATCAAATTTCCCTGATTTTGAGCTACGGAATTGGCCAAACCATTCCAAATCCCCATGTTTCCTGATGACATTGCTGGTGAAGCTTGTTGTAGATTCATATTACTGGCCATAGTAGTAATGAAGTTCGATAGCCGGCCATACAGGTCTTTATCGGGGCTTTGTTGACCATATTCTTCTTGGTTTTGGGTCGGAAAACCTTGATTTCCGGCCGAAAACCCTTGTTCTTGGGCATAAACTTCATTCTTCTGATCCGCTAGTTGATTTTGCAGGATAGCCAAATCTTTTTCCAGTCCAGTCAAACTCTTTTCTTGTCCGGAAAGTCTGTCTTGAATGTTGTTCAAGCCTTTTTCCAAGCCAAACGGCTCATTTTGTGCATGAAACATCGGATTTTGGCCCATGTTAACATTGGAAACGGGTATAGACGGCTGTACGGCTTGGATTTGAGCAGGTAATTGAGCGGATTGGTCATAATAGGATTGTCCTTGAGCCTGGCCAAGCATCTGTTGCAATGTGGACGTTGAGTTTGAGCCATATGATGAAGAGATTGGTCCGGAAAACGTTGTGTTTGGTCCAAAAGTTGATGAATTTGATGGATAAACTGATGAAGCTTGCCCGTAACTTGTTGGATTCGGTCCGTAATTAACATAAGATGGTGAGTTTAGATCACAAGATGTTGGATTTAGTCCAAGAGTTGATAGATTCTGGCCTGAAAACAATAAAATTAAGGATTTTAACCTAAAATTTGAGCAAAATCTACTACAACTTGATATTGTTTTAGCTCTTAAATAAAAAATTAGTCAAAACCTGACATTTCCAAAGCTATATCATGATAAAACAGATATTGTAGTACCTTTCTGAGCTAACATTTGATTACTTTTCTCTTCGGCTAGTCGTTGTTCAGCCAGTTCCAGTAGATGTACTAGTCCAGTCGGTAGTTCTTCTATTTTCTTTTCGTTTTTAAATGCCATTTGAGATGTGCCATCAAGTGTAGAATTTGAAAATCTTTCAGCACCATTAGTACCATCAGTTCTACAAACTTTTGGACCTGAAGTGGAAGCGTCTTGTGAGTCAGAGTCCTCTTCGCTCTCTGTGAACGCACTGAACTCTCGTTTCCTGCTCTCTCTTGACCCATTCGATTCCATGTCATCACCATTAGTACCAAATTCGGTACCACTGGTACCGGCTTCATTTCCGGAATTTGCGAATTCAGCACCATCGGCTCCGCGTAGTTGGTGCTTCGAATCTCTTCGTCGAGCATTACGAATACTGTTCTCGAGGAAACCGGACTGTTGTTTCTTGTTGCTGACAAACATCTGAATGGTCAAGAATGGGTATGGGTCAAAGAGGTGTTTTAGGTATACTCGCTGCTCGTTTCGACTTGGAAAGCCTGGCCTAAAGATAATGGGTTATAAATGGCAAGAAATTTCTTTAAAAAACAAAAAATGGCAAGAACTTTCTTTACAAAACATAAAATGGCAAGAACTTTCTTTACAAAACATAAAATGGTAAAAACTTTCTTTCCAAAACACAAAACCCTCACCTTTCACAATACTTCATGATAGGACCTCTGAGATGGTTGGCCATGGACAGTAGCACCTTTCTGTCACCCAAATCAGCTCCGGTCTCCACTTTCTGTAGCAATATCTTGCCTTTGGCCGTTGTATTTAACACATCTGGCAATGTAATTTGTGCTAACTCTGGATGTAAAAGTGTCATATCAATGTAGTCATCGCCTCGAGGCGTGGTGATTAAATTTGTTTCGTTGTGGAACAGATCTTTCAGCAGTAGATCATGATCCATTTGGAGGATGCTGAAAAAACCGAACGAATTAATGGATTTGAAAGTATAATTTATCACTAAAACGCGCTTGGTCAAAAAGTTAATAGAAAGTTAAAAACTTATGTTATCGGTCGAAAAAGTTGGTCGAAAATTAAAAAATTGAATTATCGATCAAAAAGTTCCTAGAAAATCACAAAAAATGCGAAAGAACTACTGGACATGTAAAATAATAGTTTTTCGGTCAAAAAGTTCGTAGAAAATAAGAACAAATACGAAAATATTAAAGGATTTAAAGAAAAATTAGTGTCTCGGTCAGAAAGTTCATAGAAAATTAAAAATTTGGAAAAGCGGTCAAAAAGTTCGTAGAAAACATAAAATTCGAGGTATCGATCAAAAAGTTTATAGAAAACGAGAAAAAATAAGAAAGAATTAAGGGATTTACCGAAAAATTAGTTTTTTGGTCAAAAAGATCATAAAACCTTTAAAAATTAAGTACCCGGTCAAAAAGTTCATAGAAAAACCAAATTAAAACAAATTTTGTAAAGATTTGAATTAATGGATCCCTAAAAAAATCGTTTTTCGGTCAAAAAATAGATAGAAAAATGATGTAAATGTTGTTTTCTATGAACCATTCCACCTACTTAAAAAAATAAAAAATTTGTTACCTAAAATAATATTTTTTTCAAGACCAACCAAACCCTACCCTTAAAAACAAAATTAAAATGTCAAAACAGATCCTCCTTCCCAAAGAAACTTTTCCCACTTGCCAACCCCCTTCACGCTCAACAAGACTACCCCTCCCCCCTAACACACAAACCACCCTTACCTCACCATCTCCGCCCAACAAAGAGCCCACTTCCTCTCCCTCCCCTCACTCAACAAAGAAATCACCCCTACCCTACCCCCGCCCTCCTCATATATGCTCTCTCTTAAGCGGCAGGGTGAAAAGCCTGGATATTTAAGGTGGAAAGCGCCTTAGGCAGGGGCATGAGAGAATTTTGGGGTTGTTTTGCGTTCCTCTCGCTTGGGAAATGGCAGTCCCTTCCCTTGCCTCCCCACCTCCCCCGAAACGGGGTGGGGTGACAAAAAAGACGTGAGAAGTAGGATGGGGTGGAGGCTTTGCGAGAGAGTTAAATTGTTTCCTGCACAAAATTTTTTGGGAAAAAGCACACTTTTTGTGTTAGAAACAATTGTTGGGGGTAGGGGGTAGCGTAATAATATATATAAGTTCCGGGCAGCGTAATTTTGTATATAAGCTTTGGGCAGGGTAAAATTATTTATAACTTTTGGGTAGGGCAATACTATGAAAAATACTTAGGGAAGGTCAAATTTCATTTGCTAGTAGTAGAAAAGCAAGAACTTTCGTTACAAATGAAAAAATAGCAATAACTTTCTTTACAAGCCCTAAAATAGCAAGAACTTTCTTTACAAAACAAAAAATAGCAAGAACTTTCTTTACAAGACATAAATTGGCAAAAACTTTCTTTAAAAACCCCAAAACGGCAACAACTTTCTTTACAAACCAAAATTCAACCCAAAATAATCAATGTGAACCACCCCCGAGCCGTTTTCCAAACCTCTACCCAACTCCACCATCAATCCTTTGTGTTTTTTGTGACACTCCTTCTCTCTCTTCTCTGCCCCGGTTTTTTTACTCGCGATTAACCCTGCTCTCCCCCACCCTCCCTCACTAGAAAAGCCCCGCCGCCACCACTTTTGCCTTCTTATTAACCTCCTCCTTTCTTCCCCCCCCTCCAACAGTTTGTCTCAAAAAAACTTGTAAATGTGTTGAAAATGGATGGGGTTTGATATAAAATGGCATTTTAAGTCAAATTTTTTAAAAAATTTTAAATTTTAAAAATCAGATAACAAAAAAATGGTTAAAAAGTAAATTAAAACTCAACACAAAATTAAAATATGATATAGAAATCAATTCTACAAACTTTTTGACCTATACATTCCCTTAATAATCCATAAAAAGCCTTTGCATAGCGCAAAGATTAAAAAAATAGACTGCACAGTGCAAAATGTCAAAAAATTGAAACAATTTTTCAAAAATTAAATTTTACTTTGAAAATGTATTTTTATTTTTCATTTTCACAGTAAAATATTAACAACAACATCCCCATTCAAAGTGGCAAAAATGACTGCACAGTGCAGATTTTTCAAATTTTGATCGTCTGCACAGTGCAACCAAACAAAAATTTTTGAAATTTAAAAAAATAAATTTTTAAACTTTAAATCCCATGTCTAAACACTATTTTCAAATTCCAATACTCCCCCCCCAAAATTAAAAAAAAGTTTTAAAACTGGCTGCACGGCGCAATATAAATAGACTGCACCAAAATGAATATAAATTTACAAAAAAGCAAATATAAGCTAAAAATGTGTAGAAAATAACATACAAGCCTTTGTTAGCTGCACAAAACTATAAAAAAATGATAAAGCGTCAAATTGTCGCTTCTACCTTAAATTTCTTTCGCTCCCTTTCTTCCCCCCCCCCCCCCCCCCCTGTTTTTGTGGTATTAATAATGCGTTTGCCTCTTAGAAAAGAAAGGAAAAGAACTGGATTATACTAGACTTGTCATACTAGGCTTGACTTACTAGGATTGTTTAAAAAATCTAAAGAAAATATGTTCAATTTTAAAAAACAATTAAAAAATCGAAAAAATGGAAACCCCATGCCCTTATAAAAAAAACAAAAAATCGATACCTCTACATTATCTCCCCTATCATTAATAATAACCAAACCATAGCTCTCTGGGCTACTGTTTTTTACCACTGCCATATAACGTATTCGACCGACTTGTCAATTTACCATACCTTAAAGTTCGTTCACCTACTAGCCACCTCACCCTCTTTCCTCTTATCAACCTATGTTAAATTTCCCAGCTTCTATTCCCCACTCCCTCTTACCTCTACTACACTATTATCCCCCCCCTCCTCCTTAAAACACTATTAATCCATACCCTTTCCTTGTCTATACCACTCTTTATAGTGCCATAAAAAAGAGAAGATAAAAGGCTAGCTTTTCAAATGTTGTGCTCCAACATCAGCCTAACAGTCCATCTTTTACCACCCCAACATGTCTACGATAAACCTTTTACCATCCTAGTACCCCCCCCCCAAATACCTTTAATAGGCTATTTTTTTACCACGCCCTTCACCTAATATCTAACCTTTTATCACCTTAGTATCCCCTAATGACCCACCCTTCAACCACGCTCGAATCGTCCTAATATTTCAACTTTTACCATGCCAGCATGCCCCTAATACTCTACTCTTTACTACCATAGCATTCCCCTATTGTCTAGTTTTAGCGCCCTTATCCCCCTAACACCTCACCTAGCATCCCCTGACGCTCCACCCTTTACCGCGATGGTAGCCCCGTTATGCTCTATCCTTAAACACTAGCATAATGCTAATACCCAGCGTTTTACCACTCCCAACTTCCCTTTAATACACCAGCATCTACCTTTTACCACCCCAGCATCCCCCTTATCCCCATCCTTTTGCCCCACCCGCATCCCCTAATACCTAGTCTTTCATCCCACCTAGCACTATGCCCACCCCAACCCACAAACATTGTTCCCACACCTTAATATGCCCATTTTATGCCTCCGCCCTCACTCAAAGTTTTTCGCTTTTCCATCTCTGTTGCACACCGCCATCACCTCTTCATTCAGTTTTTGCCCAAGCCCCCGCTTTTCACAATTTCAGCCCCCTTGTTTCGCCCTTGCCTTCGTTCCGTCGCCCAACCAAGCCCTGCTCCGACTCACCCCCACCTCGTTTAAGCCCCCTACCCTTTCTTCGCTTCGAGCAAGGGGCTTTTTTTGTTTTTTAAGCAAGCCCCCTATCGTCTTTTTGGGTTAAACAAGCCGCTTTCTTTTTGATTTCGGAAAGTCTTTGCCCTTGCTTTTTTTGACAAGCCCATAAGTTTTTAACAGGTTAAAGGCTTGTCAGATTCAAAAAAGCCCTGCCTGTTCGCTTCTGAAAAATGCCCTGCCCTTTCTTAAAATAAAAAGCTCCTACCCTTAGTATTAAAAAATCCTACCCAGCTTTTAGCTTTATACCCTAAAATTGCCTGACCCTGAAAATGTTCACTTCTGAAAAATACCCTGCCCTTACTAGAAAGAAAAGTCCCTGCCCTTACTTGAAGGAAAAGTCTATGCGTTTAGTATCAAAAAGCCCTGCCCAACCCCCACCTAGATTTTTTAAAACCCAATTGATCGCCTGACCCTGCCAATGTTCGCTTCTTAAGAATACCCTGCCATCATGGGCGTAGCTACCCCTAGATCACAAAAAAAATCTTAGCCTTTACCCTCCCCCCCCAAAAAACCTTTAGCAATGTTCCTGCCTGTCCTTATCATCCTTTTAAACATCAGTGCCTTCTTTTCTTAACAAAGACCCCAGCCTGTTAATTAAAAACCCCTGCCTTTTTAAAAAAATTGGAAAAAAAAACTTTCCCCCTCCCTAACTCCAAAATCCCAGCCCTTTCCTTTAGCAAAAGCCCCTGCCCTAGTGTTATCTTTCTCTTCGTTCACCACTGCCCTCTGCCCTCATTCTCACAGCTTCCCCTGCCTATTGCTTTTCTCTTCACCCTGCCCTGATTTACACACCACAGCCCCTCGTCCTTCACACCAAACCAAATCCCAGCCCTTTCCTTCCCAAAACTCCCTGCCCTTTTCTTCCCTTCATTCACCACAGCCCCCAGCCCATTGCTTCCCTTCTCACAGCTTCCCCTGCCCATTGCCTCCCTCTTCAACCCCTGCCTTTTACTCTCTTCCCTTCACTCACCACAGCCCCTCCCTCCCCTTCAACCCAGCCTTTTGCTTTTTCCTTTCCGCAGCCCCCCCCTTTCGCCTTCACAGTCCCCTGCCTTCCCTTTTCGTTCGCCCTAGCCTTTTAGTAATTCCTTTCCACAGCCCTCGCCCCCCCCTTCTCCCTGCCTTCACAGCCCACTCCCTGCCTGTCTCCCATCACCCCAGCCGCCAGCCCGGCGGTCCCTTTTCCTTTTTTTTTATTATCGGTCTCGCTCTCCGAATCCGCAAAAAATGAAGGGGGTGTCGGTGCCTCGCCCTCCCTTTCTCCCCCCCCTCCCCCTCCCTTCAAAATAAACTAAAATTTACGGAAAGTGCAAGGAATTGAGGAAAATACACTTTTCCCCCCTACTTTTATGAAGAAGTCGGCGTTTTTAGGTAATATGTTTGGGTAAAAAGGTAAAAAAGGTGGTTTTTAAGTAATTTTAATCATTTTTCCTTAGGTTATAATAGGTTGGACCAAAAGTAGCGGGACGTCTTTAGTTGAAAAATACATGAAAAGTGTCCCGCTAAGGTTCAACCTGATACATATTATCTAATCTTCAAAAATTTAGGCTTAAAAAAGACAAAGTAGTATAGTAAGCAAGTAAAAAAAAGTAAGTACCAAGTCTTTCAATTAAAAAATTGATATAACGGACCTTTTAACGCCTATACCTTTCACTATCTGACCCAAAAACTGTTGCCAACGACCAAAAACGAAAAAAAATGTTACCTAAAATATACACCTTCTCAAAACCTACAAAAAACAAGCAGATATTAAACCAACAAACCCTATGAAAGCTACATCTTCCTCCATCTGGTCCAAAACATGATGCAAAAAATTAAAAACTTTGAAAAAAGATACCTAAAATAATATGTCAAGTTGTTCAAAAAATTCTGTTCCAAAATATTGATGTTATACCTTATTATAGCTACGTATAGTTAAATAGAAACTAGTTCTTTACCTATAATTGACTAATAAATAAAGAACTATACGCCGTTCAAAAAATACTGCGCCACCTAACCACGAAATTTGTTATAAAAGATGGCGCAGAATTTTTTAAACAACCTGATAAAACAGCTAAACCTTGCAAAATCAATAAAATAACCAAATTTATATAAAATATACAACTTAATGACTTAGCACATGAGCATGCTATACAAGAAAATGTTTTAAAAAATATTTGAAACTTCGAATAGTATACCTTGAATTCAGCTATAATTTTCAAAATTAACCAAATTAAAAAAAAAATCAACCATCTTTACATTATTAAGACCTTTCCTCACAATTTCCACCTAAATCCAGTTCTTTCGACCTAGAACAACATGAGAAAACAAGCTTTAAACAATATAACACATAAAAACCACTGAAAAAACAATTTTTTTTCAATATATTTTCTCATAAAAATCCCCCAAAATCACAAAAATATAACTCAAAACAACACACCCCCACCAAAAAAAACACGTGAAACACCCCCAAAAACAAGCTGAAGACGCGTAGATGCTCAAAAACATCAACGTCGCTAAATAAATTGGGCGCAAACCGCCAATCTCTTCTCGTTTCCGCAGTTCGCAGACGTTCGACGCAGCTCGCCATCGTTATATTGTTCTTATTTCGCGAAAAAAGAGCCAGACGGCTGAAGCGGAGAAACGCCCGCAGGCTCTGGAATGCTTCGAAGTAGCTGGTTTTCTCGGATCTGCCTTCTGGAGCGCGGTTTCGCCGTTGTAACACTGAATTTTGTCGTTTCGATGTTGTTATAGAGAGGTTTCTTATTGTTTTTGATGTTTTTTGAAGATTTTGGAGAAAATATTTGATTTTCTGATTCTTATCAACAATCATGAGTCTCTTCATGACGTGTGATTATGCTTTTTTAGTAGTATAAAGGATTGGAAATGGGGTATATGAATATTGTTAACCATAATATAGGGTATATTGTTATCGCTGAAGTTGCTATGGGAAACTGGCAGCTTAATGTAGCTTATTTGCTTAATTGTATTCTGACTTTTAAGAATACATAGTGATGCATCTAAATTTACATTTTGTTTTTTCTTTTCGGGTTTTAACGTGTTTGATCAATGTTAATATAGGCATACTTTTCAGGTACTCTCTAACTGGGCAATCTTGATTTTTCGAACAAAGTTATAGTTAAAAGTTACAATTTAGAGATGCCACCGAAGAAGGTTGATTTGAAAAAGCAAGAAGCCGACCGATTGGCAGGTAATCTTGATTTGTTTACGTTATTTTTGTTTTAGGTACATGGATAATATAATTTTGGCTAGAAAATTATAGAGCTACGAGGTATCTTGAGGCAGCTTTATAGAAAGGTAGTAATAGAACTTTTCTAACTTTCTTATTAAACAGAGTTGTTTATGATGGTTTTAAAGGTCTAAAAATGAACAGAGGATATAATTGGCATGGTTAATATACTTTTGATCGCAAAAATCATATAGCTTTTTGATAACTAAATGAATATTTGTAAATAGCAAGAACATTGTGTTGTTTTACGATCTATTAAATGTTTATGTTACTTCATCTTTCTAAACATTTTAAAACTTAAAAACAAGACATCAACATCAATTAACAACCGAATTCAATATAACGTCTAATTCTTTGTGTTACAGAGCTGTTGAAGGCGATGTTGAACGAAGAAGAGAATAAGTATTGTGCTGATTGTGATGCCAAACAACCTCGATGGGCCAGTTGGAATTTGGGCGTGTTTTTGTGCATCAGATGTGCTGGACTGCACCGAAATCTGGGTGTTCACATTTCCAAGGTAAAATTTTTTGTATTTATTATTTGTGTTTAGGTACGGAATTGGTTACAAGAGGTTGAAAAGGATCTAAAAATGTATTTTAAAGTTGTTTTTGGGTATCTGGAGCGTTAAAAACAGATATTTTAAGTTTTTTTTAGGTATTAAATACTAATTTTAACGATAATATGCTGCCTATTTTAAATTTTTGGTAAAATACGACGGATAAATGGTTGAATTGAAATTTTGTATTGTTTTAGGTTAAATCCATTTCATTAGACACTTGGTTACCAGCTCAAGTCCAATCAATGAGAGTTATGGGTAATGCCAAGGCGAAAGCCGTCTACGAAGCGACTTTACCTGATAGTTATCGTCGGCCTCAAAACGACCAGGCTTTAGAACACTTTATTAGGGCAAAATATGAAGCCAAAAAGTATATCATGAAAGGATGGGTACCACCAACAGTCGATGTTAATGATCTGCCGCCTTTAACTGAACCTGGTGGGTTTTGAAATGAAATTTTAGAATAATGATAAAGTGTAAACATGACAAATGATGTTTTTCTATGATTAGGAGGTTCTGATGAATCGAGAAATGCTGTAAAAAGTTTGACTTTTGAATTTCAGCGAAAACGGCAAAGAAATTCGTGGCGATCGGTAACGTTTCACAGCCGGCTCAGGCAGCTTCAGCTCAAAAACAGGCTGACAGTTTGGTGGATTTGTTTGATACGGTAAGAGAAGATGGGCTAGAAAGACATTTTGAGCCATTATTTTTGATTTTTCAAATTTGAAATTTTTAAAAAATTGAAAATACGTCTATATTGAGGTAGATTTTGGTCTATTTTATCTAATATCTAGCATTATTTTAGCCCAAGTTTAATATATTTAAGTCACAAGAAAGATATTTTTAATTTCTTTCAATATTTAACCACTATATTTTATCTATGCTTCTATTTTCATCAATAAAACTAATATTATGTTACCCTACAGGCTTCACCAGCAGCTCCAGCCCAATCTCAGTCCAATGACTTGTTTTCCCTGAATTCTCCGGAAAAACAACAACCAGCAGCTACAAAACAACCCTCAGCTTCTTCAGGCGGAGACTTGGATGACTTATTTGGTCCCATCGTATCAGCACCAGCTCAGAGCACCAGGCCAAGTCAAGCCGATGGTTTGGCTGATGGGTTGGCTGGACTAAATTTTTCCGCTCCTTCTAGTGGTACTAAAAGTAAGATTTTAAGGGTTTAAAAGTTTACGGGTTTGCGCGTCTACCCTTATATTTTTTAGTGTTGGGGGTGGTAATTTTAAGGTGCGATGATTTGTTAAAGCGGCTTTTTTTGTTTTTTTTTAATGCCAGGGACAGTTCATAATAGATATTTTTCAGAAACTACGGATGATATCATGTCATTGTTTAATAACCCACCAGCTAATAACGTGAATAGTAAGTTTATTATCTTTTTTTGAGATTTTAGGTAACAAAATGCCGTTTTGAGAGGATTTTACGTAATAAAATGGCATTTTTTTGTGAATTTTAGGTAACAAAATGCCACTTTTTGAAAGTTTAGGTAACAAAATACCGGTTTTGGATGATTTTATGTAACAAAAATGTTTTTTTTTTCTAATTTTAGGTAACAAGACGGCATTTTAACATTAGTTTTACAAAGAAAAAAAGTTTTTTAGGTTATTTAAGTAACAAAAACCTATTTTTTATTCAAAAAATGCTATTTGTGTGTATTTTTACGTAACAATTTATCAATTTCAGACTTGTACAACCCACCAGCTCAACAAAACCAAGCTCAATTCCCAGCGGCTTTCGGCCAAGCTCCAGCCCAATCTCAAAACTGGGCTAACAACTGGTCGACCCCCGCTCAAACTCCAACTAGTCCAGTTCAACAGTTCTTGGCCCAACCGATCGGTCAAGCTTTCCAGGCCCAGAACTTTGCTTCAGGACAGAACGTTGCGTCAGGACAGAACTTTGTCTCAGGGCAGAACTTTGCATCCAGCGCTCCAGCTTATCAAGCACAAAGTCGACCGGTCGAAACGAACGCTTTTGACGACTTGTTCTCACAAGCTCAAACTCACTTCCAGTCCAACAACTTTGCGGCCCCAAAACCCGCCCAACCGGCCGCCACCACCGCTCCTACGGCTCAAAACGATCTGGAGTCGTTGTTTATGTAAATTTAGTAAAAGATGTGGCAAAGATGTTACTTTATATGCTAGAGTGATTATTTTGTTACTTTTTATTGTAGAGTGATGAGTTTGTCACTTTTTTCGATGTTAAGGTAGCATTGTTTATTTTTTTTTCAATGTTATAATGGCTCTAAATTTGTTTTGGATTGATTGCACGGTGCAAAAAGTTTTAAAACTGCACCGTGCAGTCTTTTACTTCTTTTGACTGCACCGTGCAGTCTTTATATTTTATTGATTGCACGGTGCAAGAAGTTTAAAAATTGCACTGTGCAGAATAAAACAAATTTTTCGAAACGTTTTAAAATTGAAAAATAACAAAACAGTACTAATATTAGCATGAATTAGATATGAATTTTAATTTAAAAATTTTTTTTGAAAATTTAACTTTATATCAGTTTGAACTGATATTACCCATCTTCTGGTCCTTACGAATTGTAATTTATTGAAAAGTCTTGTTATTAAACTTATTTTGTGAAGTTTTTGTGTTGTTTTGCGTCTACAGAGCTGTGACAAAATTTGGGGACGTTTTTGGGTTTCGAAGAGATTGGAGATTTTCGTGGTGGGACCCATGTTAATGCTGGATGAATTGATCAATAGGCGAAACTGATTTAGCTTAACATTATGGCTTTATTAGTACAATAAAAGGAGAGTTTTATCGAAAAAGTATTTTTGATATTTCAAGTTTTCGCGGTGGGACTCATTTTCAAAATTTTTTAAAACTTTTTTTTTCAATGATAATTCACGATTCATGTTTGAACAATTATGAAAACACACTTCAGCTACTATGTCTTGACGGTCTTTTGTGACAAAAAGTGATATTATATTGTAGTAGATATACATTGACGATCACTTTATTCTTTTCATATCATTTAATGTTAAGATTACTGTAATTCTCGGTGGACACTAACAAAAATATTTGATTTTTTTGTTTTTTTTTTATTTTTTTTTGTTTTTGTATTGGAACTTATTGATTTTTTTTTTATTTTTGGCTTGCACGGTGCAATATGATCAAAATTAGTGATTGCACCGTGCAGATGGTTTTAAATTTTTTAAAGTGCATATGGCTATGTGAATTATTTATACAAGTTGTATTATAGTCTAGCTAATATTTCTTTTTACTTGTTTTCTTTTTTTCTAAAATTTTGGGTTTTTTTAAAATTTTTGCCATTAATTTTGCGATATTTCATTAATAAATCAATAACATTTAGACCTTGAAGCATTTTACAAGTTGGTGTTGATCCAAATAAAATTTTTACATTTTATTTCGAATTTTTGTTACGTTTTTCTTTATTTTTTGTTTTGCACGGTGCAATTTTAAAACATGCACGGTGCAGTCAACTTGAGGCCCTTAGGAAAAGTATTTAAAATTGAGGTTTTGGATTGGAAGTGAAACGTCAAATATCTTTTTAAGGATAATTTTGATTTATATATTATTCAAAAGCTCCCAGGTTATTTTGCACTGTGCAATATAAAAAAGTGAAATTTTTGCACTGTGCAGTCAATTTGAGGCCCTTAGGAACAGTACTTAAAACTAAGGTAATGAATTGAAAGTAAGCACTAAAATAGCTGTGGAAGTATAATTTATATTTTTTCAAATGTCTTCAGGCTATTTGCACTGTGCAATTTAAAAAATTGAAATGTTGCACCGTGCAAAATTTAAAATTTGAACTTTTTTAAAAAAACTTTATTTTTGGCTTAAATTTGGATCGATAATACAATTTTGTCTAATCTTTTCAAAACTAGACTTTAAAATAGTAATTTTCGTCCCAAAGTTATATTACTTTAGGTATTAAAAGCCTAATCTTTTGAGATTTCTAAACTTAATCTTGGCCAAATCTGCAAAAGCTCTTTCTAAATACGACCACTTAAAATATTTACATTCGTTATAAAAGAAGCCGTAATTTCAGCCGATTTCCTCCACGTAAATCGACTGTTACCATGGTGAGGATGATACAGCTTTCGTATCATTAATATAAAAGGGTTTGGAAGCTAGATGGCAATACGACTTTGGAGGGGGTTGAAGGATTTTTTTTTGTTTTTTAGGTAAGGAAGGAGACATTTTTAGGAAAGGGAGGTTGTTTTTGAGTGGGGAGAGGGTGTATGGTGAGGGTGGTCGGGTAGGTTAATTGAAAGTAGGATGCTGTAGTTTAGGGTAGGGCAGGGTTTATTTAAAGTAGGGCAAAATAGGGTATTATAGGATAAGTTAGTGTAGGATAGAGCATGATAGCTATTAGAACATGGTTGAGATAAGGCATGGCAGGAATAAGGTAGGGTAGGGTAAAGTTAATGTCAAGTAGGGTACTGCATTTTAAGGTAAGGTAGAGTAAATCATTGCAGTTGTAATTGTATTAAAAGCTTTAATTGTAGAAAAACACTATTTGGATTTTGAGAGAGAGTGGGGTGGTAAGGGGGGGGGGTGAAGTAGAGTTCATGTAAAGATGGTTAGGATAGGGTAGAGCAGAAGGGCAGTGCTGAACAGAAAGGCAAAAAAGAGTAGGGCAAAGTAGGGTGGGGTGGGATGAGGCAGGGTAGGGTATTTAGCACAAAGTAGCGTACTGTATCCTATGGTACGGTAGTGTAAATTACAGAAGAAGTAGGGGTTGGAATAGGGTTAAAGTTAGAATTGAGGGTGGATGTTTTTAGATTTTGGTGAGAAATTTTTCTATTCAAATTTAAAGGGCGAGTAAAAACTGTTTTCGAAGTTTTATTTGCTTTCATTTTGCGTTTTGATGACAATTTCAAATAATTTGAATAGGCAAGTGCGTGAAAGGCTCTCCGTCATACATTATATGCAAATATATGAAGTAAAGTAGCGTAAAATACGTGGCGATGGATGACGTGAAAAAAGTTTTTGTCATTTTACATTTTGTAAACAAAGTTTTTGCTATACCAACAAAAGATATTTAATTTGAGTTCTTGCAGCCTGCGGGTGACAAGTTATACGATACATCATATTTCATGTTTAGTAAACAAAGTTCTTGCCATCTTTCATAAAACTCTTGTCAAAAAACATACAGTAAGCTTAATTAAGCCTGTAAAACCCTATTAACAACTACAGTATTGTAAACGTCTGATATACCAAAACACTTTACTGTCGTTCGGCATGCCTCAATCTGTGTAAACAAGACAATTTGTCTACATAACATGTTCGTATGCACGTTGTGGTCGAACACGATGTCGTATGTGTTATTTTTCTTTATGGCACGCACCTGTCTCAAAAATCTGTTTCCTAATATAGCGGTAGGAAGGAAGGAGGCGAGAGAGTGTGCGAAGGGAAGAGGTGGTTAGAGAAAAAAGGAAATAGTAGTGAAAAGAGAGAGAGAGAGAAAAGAAATAAATTGAAGGATAGGGTAGACGAGATTGGGGGTAGGGCAGGGAAAGATAAAAGAAGAGCAGGGTACGATAAAGGAAGTTGATAGTAGGGCAGGATAAGATTAGGCATGTGAGGGTAGTACAGGGTAAGATAAGGGAAAATCGGGGTAGGGCAGGATAAATTAAAGGAAGATTCAGGTAGGGCAGGGCGAGATAAAGCAAGATCAGGGCAGGGAAGGGTATGGATAAATGAAGAGCAGGGAAGGGCAAAACAAGGTAAAGTAAGATTCGGGTAGGGTAGGGTAGGGTAGGGTAGGGTAGGGTAGTACTAGAGATAGTGCTAAAAAGTGAGAGAAAGCAGAGAAAAAGAGAGAGCAAGAAAGTTATGACCAATGTCTTGGTCACGTGGAAACAGATTGAAAAGAGCCAAATGTATACATGTATAATACATGAAGTGGAAGTAAATAATATATTATTATAGTGAATGCGTGAACGTAGGTAATTAGCTCAGTAAGAGGGGTTAAATATAGGTATAGGTAAACTTTGGGTTTAGATGTACGTATGGTAAACTCAAAGGTTATCTGTGCCTATATATATAGAGGAAACGGCATTATATGAGGATTTAGATTACATTTTGAAATGGAAACACTTATTAGGTATTAAGATGATAAAGGAAACAATTTTTCTTTTGTTTTTAGGTAATATGGACCTTAATCTTTTCTTTTTTTAAATATATTATACTAGGGAAAAGATTATGTTGTACCGTGAAGGATAAAAAGTAACATGTACCTATGTGTTCACTATGTCATGTGCCTTAAAATGGCAAGGCACTTCCTTACAAAACAGAAAATGGCAAAAACTTCCTTTACAAAGCTGAAAATGGCAAGAAATTTCTTTACAGTAGAAAAAAGTTACATATCTTTAAAGGATTGTCATCACGTGAACATATTGTCAATACAACTGTAAACTACCACTACATTGCACACTTTATAGACGGTAGCCGCATATACATCAGCCTTATTGTCATAGAAGGCCATACATTACCTATAACAACACATAAAACCATATACATCAGCCACATTAACATAGACTGTCACACACTATCCACACCAGCATAGACAACCACATTAACATAGACGCGAGACGAGCAGATGGCGTTCGACGAGCTGCTGGAGGAAATGGGCGGAGCCGAAACGGCCGCAGGGCAAACCGCCGAGGCCGAGGAGGAGGTTGTGACCGAGCCGTGGTGGCTAATCGCTCGCCGCTTCGGCCTGAATACCTATCATCCGAGCGTGGCGGACCTGTTCAACGACCCCACCGTCCGCACCGCATTAGCCATCTGCATCCTCAGCGCCATCGCCGCGCCCCTGTTCACCATGTTCGCCTATCGATTTTGGCGTAAGAAGCAGAATGAGAAAGGTAAGGTTTGGAAAAATAGTTTTTTTTGGAAATTTGAGGTGAATTTTGAAAAATTTTCTGAAAAATTTAAAAAAATTTTGGAAAGTAAAAAAAAATAAAAAAAATTTAGTAAAATTTTTAAAAAAATAATTAAAATTTAAAAAATATTAAATAAATTTCGAAAAATTTAAAAAATTTAAAAATCTTAATAATTTTAAAAAATTTTTTGAAAACTTTGAGCTATAGTACTTTGATTTAAGAAAATAGGCTACAGCGTAACTTCTGTATAACGAATCGCTTAGGGGCCTCTGGCACTATAGTTTGCCTTGACCGAGTCAGAGATTTCCAATTTTTGTTCACTATGAAAGTGTTTCGTTATACTGGAGTTTTAAATCCACTCTGTAGTGTTGACTGTAGAATCAAAATTTGTCCTTTATACTGGGTTTTCGTTATACACAGGGTGCTATACAGGATTTTCGTTACAGAGGAGTTTCACTGAACTGAACCTTGTTTTAAGAGAATATGCTATTTATTTTTGAAAAGTCAGGCTAAAAGGCTTTTGAAGTGCAGTTTGTAAATTTTTTTGAACTTTAAGCCTCAAAAAAGTTTTTATTTTACACATCTAAGGTTAGGAAAAATAATTTTTTATGATTCTTAGGCTAAAAATGATATTTTAGGTATAAAAAAGAAAGTTTAAACTCGCAAAAAAACGTTAAAAAATGAATTTTTTGAATTTTGATCTTATGAAAAATCGAAATTTTATAAATTTTATGTTTTCTCTTTAAAAATTACATTTTCTAATAATAGTGTTCAGTAGCTCGTCATATTTTACAATTTTCTAAAAGTTTAGAACTGATTTTTATTAATTGGGCAGTACAATTTAAGTACCTCTTCCTGTACCGTGCAAGCCTTTTTCAAGTTTTAACTTACAGTGGAACTCCTGTATAATGAATCGCTCGGGGACACGAAATCTTTTTGGTTGTATAGAAGTTTTGTTATACAGGAGTTTTAAATGCACTGTGTAGTGGTAGCCGGGAATTGAAAAGTTGTTCGTTATACAGGAGTTTCACTGTATTTATATTTTTTAAGCTTCAAGTCCATTGTGATGTATAATAGTATAAGTAAAACGACTGTTGTTCTTTTTCACATAAAACAACAGATATTGTGAAAAAGAGGCAAGACAGATACAATTACAAAACAGAGACAAACAATTATAGTCTCACTCTTGTTTGTTTTTGTTTTTCGGTTCAGATCGTAATCTAACGTGACAAAAATCAAAGTACAATGGAACTCCTGTATAACAAATCTCCCATATAACGAACAACTTTTGAATCCCCGTCTACAACTACACAGTGCATTTAAAATTCTTGTATAACGAAGCGCCTTTAACGAACAAATTTCAAGTTCCCGAGCGATTCGTTATACATGAGTTCCACTATATTTACAATCATTTTTAAGAACCGGCAATTTTTAAAAATTTCATTTTTTGTAAAGTAGGTTAGGGTAGGGTAGGGTAGGGTACGGTAGGGTAGGGTAGGGTAGTACAGCAGATTAAATTTCAAAAAACATGTCGAGAAACTTTGTATTTTAAAACATTGCAAAAACTTTGTTTACAAGAATAACAAGTATTCACGCACTACAAGTTCTTTATTCTGTTTTTTCTCCTTTACGGTTTCTCTAACTTCCTTTTCAAGGTAGTTAAGCGTGAAAATTAGAAAAAAAGAGTAATATCTGAAGCAAAATTGCATGAACTTCCTTTACAAAACAAAAAATGGCAAGAACTTCCTTTAAAAAACCGAAATGACTAAAAATTTTTAAAAAATCGATAAAATTGAAATTTAAACCTAAATTTTCATTTTGCGAAAGAAATTTTTTAAATTTTGTATTCTTTCAGCCGGCTACGCCTCGGTCGATTCCTCTCAACCGGGCCATTTCAACGCAGATTTATTGGCCTCCATAACCGAACCCAAACAGCCCAAAGTGGTTGGACCGAAAAAGAACAAGAAACGAACAAAGGTCAGTCATTATGAACCGATTATGCCTCGAGGGCATTCGAATTTAAATTTTTGTTTTAAAAAGGCAAGAGTTCAAGAATTCGAAGAAAATTTATAAATAGGTTTAAATTATAAGGGGAGGAATAGGGTTCTCGCTAGGGCTCTGCAATAAGGACCTGATTGTGAGCTAAAACTGAAACTAGGGCGGGGGTTAGAGCCAAGGCTAAGGCCTACGACTTGGGCTAAGGCTGGAGCTAGAACTGGGGCTAACTTGTAAGGATAAGGCTAGAATTTGAGATGGGCTAGGGATAACGACTGAAGCTAAGGTTAAGGCTAGGGTCCTGAAAACTCTGGGCTAGGGCTCTGGGCTAGGGCGCTGGGCTAGGGCTCTGGGCTAGGGCTCTGGGCTAGGGCTCTGGGCTAGGGCTCTGGGCTAGGTCTCTGGGCTAGGGTTCTGGGCTAGGGTTCTGGGCTAGGGCTCTGGGCTAGGGCTCTGGGCTAGGGCTCTAGGCTAGGGCTCTAAGCTAGTTTTTTTTGAGATTTTAAGTCTAGCAATGTCATTTCCAAAGGTCTTGTGGCGTTTTTCAAAAATTTAAAAAGTGGAAGATTGGTGGAAGATTTTCAGTGCAAACTACCTTACAAATCTTCCACTTGGCTTTCACTGGCCAAAAATGGCTAAACTAAGCTCTGTTTGTCCATTTTGTATACAACACAACAACTTTCACTTTCATATATTGTCATTTTTAGCCCATTTGTCAACCAAATATGGCATAAAACACCAAAAATCCGTTGTTTTTGCCATTTTTTCCCAAATTTTAGTCATAAAAGCGGCTTTTGTGACCGCTGTGACATTTCCTAGCGACCGACAGCAAGGAATGGCATTAACAAATAAACAAACTTTGTTTATGGCCATTATTTCGAGCCAAATTGGGCCGATTTTTCTCGCGCAATTTAGAATTTTGGGCTTAAAAGTTAATCCCCGGCTTCTATTGCCTTAGGGCTTTAATTTTTTGGGATACAAATAATTACATTTATGATTTCAAAGGGGTTTGGAATATAGTGGTGTATAAGAAAATGCAAAAACTTTGTTTACAAGGCTTAGATTAGCCATTTTGGAGGAGAAACTAAGAACAATTTTGGAAAAAAGTATCAAAAACCATGTTTTATTGACGTTTTATGCCAAAACTTATTGACCTATAGACAAGAAATAACAATTCATTAAAGTAAAAGTCATAGTGTTTTATAAAAAATACAAAAACTTTGTTTACAATACCAAATTTGGCCACATTTGGCGAATAGAAGTCAAGTGGAAGATTTCTAATGCATTTTGCACTGAAAATCTTCCACAAATCTTCCACTTTTTAAATTTCGCCAAATCCATCACAATGACGTATTTTACCATTAACTAATACTTAAACCTTAAAAAACTGTCATAACTCCTCATTTTTGCCATTTCCAGCGAACCGGCCATCAACAGATCCCTTCAGACGAAGCCGAATGCTCCGACGACTCTTCGGCGCCTTCATCGTGCATCTCGTCTCCAGAAGTTCAACGTCAACCCAAATTGACAAAAAAAGAGGAAAAGTACGCGGTTGATGAGTTCACCGACTTTACGACCGGTAAATCGACCAAAATTAGGTTTGCTGACGAAAACGAGCAAAACTCAAAATCGACCGGTAAAAAGTCGACGGAAAAACGAGAAGAGCTACTGGATCAAGATGGCAAGGTAATTGATTCACAAAAACTAGTCGAAAACTTTAAAAAAATCGGTCGAAAATCAAAAATTGACCAAAAATGGAAAATCGACCGGAAATCAAAAATCAACAGACGAATCGACTGAAAATGAAGAAAAAATCACGTTTGATGGCACAAGGATAAATGGAAAAGTAGATTTTGGAGATTTGAAGGAGGAAGATGTCAAGAAACTGGTCGATATGCAATGGCATGGTAAATTAGCGACGGCTAAGCTCAGGGCCAAGGCTAATAAACTACAGGAGAGTATGACTGAACAGGAGAAAAAAGAGGTAATCTACAACAATTTAATAGCAAAAAAATAAAAATTTTGTTTTTTGAATACTTAAAATGGTTGAAAAAACGATTTTAAGGCTCTGCACGGTGCAAAGAATAAGATCTTTGGTTGTTCAATAAATTCTGAGCTACCTCTCAACACAAATTCTCGGGGATAGGTAGGGCAGAATAATTTGAACAACCTAGTAATCAAAAAACCGCACTGTGCGAAGGGTAATAATGAAAAGGCTGCAAGGTGCAAAGAATAATAATCAAAAAACTGCACAGTGCAACAACTTTCATTGGTGTGAATGCACCGTTCTGTTTGTCTGAGAGCATTTGAAACGCCAAAAAAATTAAAATGTTTTTAAAAATGAATTCGAGTTCTAAGTTTCAATGCAAAAAAATAATTTCAAACTGGTTTTTCACATTTTTTAATTTTTTGCACAGTGCAGTGAAAGAAATTGGGAAAATTGCACAGTGCACAATATTTAGGGTTATGAAGTTAAAGTATCTTTAAACATTTTTGAATTTTAAAAAATAGTTTTAAAGTTTTATTTTCAAAAGTACAATTTCAAATTAAAATTTTTGTTTTTAAAATTTTGCACAGTGCAATGAAAATGTTTGGATTTTTTAAAATTTCAAACCAAGTGCTAAACGTACCAAATTAAGAATTCCGTTGTCAGTGTCTCAAAAACCAGCCTTTTACATACGTGAATTATTGATTATTTATTTACATTTCACAATCTTACAAATAGGCTTTATTTAATATTGGCAATAACAAGGGTTTTTGAAAGTGATGACAAAAAATGACAAATTTGATTTTGTAATTTGAAATAATGAACCAAGACAATTAATGGCGTATTTTACAAAATTAAAACTTTGACTTATCTTATACTTAGCCCAGAGCCCTAGCCCAGAGCCATAGCACAAAGCCTTAGCCCTAATTCAGAGGCTTAGCCCAGAGCCCTAGCCCAGAGCTTTAGCCCAGAGCCCTAGCCTAGATCCCTAGCCCAGAGCCCTAGCACAGAGCCGTAGCCCAGAGTCCTAGCCCAGAGCCCTAGCCCAGAGCCCTATCCCAGAGTCCTAGCCCAGAGCCGTAGCCCAGAGCCCTAGCCCAGAGTCCTAGATCAGAACTCTAGTTCTAGCCCTGGTTTTAGCCCTGGTTTTAGCCTTCCCGTGCTTTGTGGTGGCCCTGGTCTGCCTTTCATTGACGTTCCTGCGTTATCGTGCTTTGATTTGTCTTTCAGTGCCTTGCTTAGCCCTGTCCTGCCTTTTCCTGCTTTGCCCTGCCTTACCCTACAGCAACTCTTCCCTAAACATTTGATTCTTTCTGCTAGACATAAGAAACGGCTCAGCGAGTCTTGAGCAAAATTTAGATCTGCCCGGTGCTTGCCATCGGGCCGGGCCGGCCCGGAGCATAATTTCGATCGGGCCTAACATTTAGGCCCGGCTCGTTTCTCATGTCTACCTGCTTTAAAATATACCCAGCATTAAAATTTGAACTGCCCTAAACCCTATATCTCTCTCTACCAGCCCACCTGAAATATTAACCCGCCCAAAAAGTTTGCCTTTTTAAAACATAAACTGTTAAAATTTTGAAAAAATTTGAAAATAATGATTAAATTTTTAAATTTTCAACTTCAGGAGCAAAGACTGAAGAATGAGCAGTTAGAAAAGATCTTTGCTCTGATGCAGCAAGAACAAGACAAGTTTGGCGTAGCTGATAAGAGCGATCTCATGGAGCAGATGAAGATGTACTCAATTTAGAAATGACTTTTTACCTTTGTAAAAAGTTATTAAACATGTAGTATATTACCCAATGTTCTCACAACTTGAATACAAGTCGCTTTTCTTGAGGTTGTTCTGGTCATAATCTGGTCAATATGTGTTGTACATATACATTTATGTGTTTCTATACCTGTATATCTTATTGTAATTCTAAACATAAATTTTGAGCTATTCATCAGTTTTTGTACTATATTGTATATTCTTATATTTTATTTTGATTTTAATTATTTTCATTGGTGCAAGTGTAAAAACAGTAATAAACAAGCTTACATACGTACTTACATGCATTATTTTTTGAATAGTAGAGGTAGTTGGTAAGGTCGGCCCAGTTCTAGGGCTATGGTTAAAGCCAGAACCAAGGCTAGGATTAAGAGTAAGACTAAAGCTAGAGTTAGTCCTAGGACTACGGTTTGGGCTAAAGCTATAGCTAGGGCTAAAACTAAGGCTCGAGCTAGGGCTACTGCTAGAGATGGAGCTGAGTCTAGGACTCTGGGCTAGAACACTTGGCTATGAGCTGGAGCCTAGATCTGAAGCTGGAGTTTTGACTTATAGGCTAAGGCTAGGAATCAGGCTAGAGTCAAGGCTCTAGGCTGGGGCACCCGGCTATGGACTGGACGCTAGGGCTAGGTCTGAAGCTAGGGTTAAGGCTATAACTCTGGGCTCTGAACTAGAGCTCTGAAATAGAGCTCTAAGGTACGTCTCTGAGCTAGGGCTCTGGGCTAGGGCTCTGGGCTAGGGCTCTAGGCTACAGCACTCGGCTATGGACTTTAGGCTAGGCCTAAAACTAGAGCTTTGGCTGAAGGTTAAGGCTAGGAACCGGGCTAGAACTTTGAACTAGGGCTCTGAACAAGGGCTCTAAGCTAGGACTCTAGGCTAGAGCTCTAAGCTAAGGCACTGGGAGGCACTGGGCTAATGCTATGGCTAGGACTATTGTAAATATAATCATTTGTAACTAGTCACAACCCCTAATACCTATCGATTTCAACATGTACAAAACACCAAAACTCAAAACACTGGTAGCTATGGACGACCTACATTCACCATGGTGATTGTTCATGGTATATAAACGTGAAAAACAACGTGATGTACAGCACATCCATTCTTTAAGACGCTGGCTTGTTTCTGTATTCTAGGTTTTTTTTAATTTTAATTTTAAAATGCACTGTGCAGATTTTAACATTTTATAAGTTAAATAATACTTTAATTGCACCGTGCTAAGATGTAGGGTGAGGTAATCATTTTACTATTTAAAACCTATTATTATAGCTGTTTGTTTCAAAATGAGTGAGCAAGAGTACGTAGCAGATGTTAGAAACGCTGATGAAGACAGCGTTCCTCCTGAAGAAGTCGTAAGTTACCTACTATTGCGTATACTTTATTAAGGCTTTATAAGTATAAAACTTACTTTCTTATCTACTGTAGTAAAAACTTATTTTCTACTTTACAGTAATCTTTCAGAACCGCGACATGAAAAACTACGACAACATTCCGGTAGGAGCTGCCCAAGGCTATGTTCCTGAAGATGAGCTGAACAAAAGCAAACCGGTACAGTATGAAGAGAGTAATGAAGACAGTGAATGACACTTTCAATTACTGAATATCATTTCGTAATCTATTATTTTAATTAAACAATTTTTTACGTATCGAGCAGATTCTTACTGTAATATCCTACCGTACCATACCATACGGTACCTTGCCCTACGTTACCTTAACTTATCTTACCTTACTTGACCTTACCCTACCCTAACCTACCATACGCCACCCTACCCTAACCTACCGTGCTCTGCTTTGCCCTGCAATACGATAACTTTTACAGTAGTAACGTGACTTTTCAAATATTTCAAAAATTGCAAAAGTCTCAAACTCCAACTAAAACTCTATTTTTAACTTGCAAGATACCTTTTAAAATTGTGCTTTCAACGTCAACACTGCTAACAAAAGTTATTTCACTTTTCCTCGGTTCAAGCGGAGGTCAATCCTAATCCAATGACTAATAACAATGTAACAGGAACTGTGTATTTGCATAAAAACCGTTGATTTCACTCACGTCAACATATTTACCAAACTGGTATTTAATCAAGCTGAAATAACTGTGGTGAAGCTTATATTCAAATTGCTATATCAGTGATAAGATTTTAAATCCAGCTGAAATCACAGTATATTAAATAACAGTGGGTAGTAAATTTGAATTTATTGAAAATAACCTCAGTAAATATTCAAAACAACCAAAGTGAAGTATTTAATCACTGTGTTATTTCTACTACTTCCTTCGTATCATATGTTTGGTGTTTGGAAACCCAGGAACAACAAGATATATAAACTTGAAGGCATCAGTTGCTGATCTACTAGTTTAGCATAACAACAACAATATATTAACGAGATTTGGTTGATAATATCGACGAGGTATTAGAAAAACAGAGATTTTGAGCTATTGGTATAACTATTGAGAGCTTTATTTACTATAACCTTACCTTAACATACTCTACCTTTCTCTACAGTTTCACACTACCCAAGTAGAAGGTCAAAGTATTTTACAAAAATTATATTGTTTTTAATTACTATATTCTACAATCCCAGAACAAAATCATAATGATCAGAATTGTTCTACTGTTCATGTTAATAGGTAAGGTTTTTACTATTAAAAAAGCTTTTTTTCCCTTTTTCAACGCAACATATACAATTTAAGACTTGAAAATTTCCATACGTCTTAAATTGTATAATTTGAGATTTCGGTCAAGACTGCCAGAGCAAACACGTGTTATCACCTACATCCCCCGACTGTGATACAACCGTTTCCACTATTAGACGAAAGCCCTTATTTATGACATTTTTAACCTTATTTTATAATACAAAAGCTTAAATTAGCTTTATTACAAAGTTTTTTTAAGACATACCCTTAACCTTTATTAGTAAAATATTATTAAAAGCGTTTTAAAATTTAATAGCTTTTTAAATTTACTGTTAATTTTAGTATCAACAAAATCGCTACCAGCTCCTCCTCTCCCAGGCCCGGTTACAGTCGCCGGAGACGATCCAAACTACATTCAAAACTACATGAAATATGTAAACGACAAACTATTTTACAAAAGTAACCCTCAAAAGTTCTTAAAGAACTTATTTCGATGAAATAAACTGTTTAGAACGATATAATTTTTTTTTACTTTTATTCAATAATTTTTAAAAATCTTTTTGGCCTAGAATTATTAGACAAGCAAAAAAACAAACCGTATTTTACCATAAAATCTATAACAGAACTTATTTTAACATTACATACTAAACACGATGTTTTCACTAAAAAAAGTAAATAAACAATCAATTGTTTATTTCACTTCCTTAACACAGAAAATAACAAATTACAAAAACACAGTCACTCATTCCAGACTAAACAATGTCTAAAAAGGTTATATTCAGCTTATTCTTAATATGTATATCTGGTTTTTTATGTAAAACAACTAAAAAACCTGACTTTGGATCTCCAGATGGACCACAAGACAAGAGATGCCCTAGGAATCAATATTATCATGAATGTACTAGTGAATGTCCACCCAAGTCTTGTGAGAACATTATGGAAGTAGGCTTATAATTATTGCCATTTATTAGGTAGCAAATGACTTTGATATGTAATAGATACCTAGCTATAACTAAAATAAAGCTTTCCGAAGTCTTCATAGCTTATCGAAGGAAACTAAAAACAAAACTATGATTTAGGTATCACCCTGCGTGTCTATTCACTGTGGTTTACCAAAATGCGAATGTAAACACGGGTATGTCCTCCAAACATCCAAGGATCCCAAAAAAGGTTGCGTTCGCCGAGAAACGTGTCTAGCGTTAGAACGAAAAATCGCCGAAGAAGTTCAGAAACAACAAGAAAAAATTTTAAACTCCTGATCTTATTGTTCATATTCTGAAGCAGACCTTGTAAAGTATTCATCTTGTGTTAATAAAACAAAGTAAATTGACTTTATAAGCCTTGAATTTAGCCCTGTTAGTGCCGCAGATCCTCGACACATATAATGCGCACGATTAATGTAAAGAAGAGATCTGAATACTTGTGTTCTACTATATCAAAACAAAAAAATGCAAAAATTTAACCTAAAGCGCTTTTTTGAAAGTTTTAAAATATTTTGTCAAAAGAAATAATGATAGGTTATAACTGAATTCCGGAAGAAAGTAATCCACAATAGTGATATGTTCAGAAACAAAAAACGAAAATACCATTCCTTCGCCAAAACAGGAGTTCTCAATGCATTTTTAGCGCTATTTTTCCTTGAAGCATTATTCTCGCTTGATCGTTGCGGGACCTAGAGAAGTTCGAGATGTAGTTTGTTAAAAACGTTTTATTTATCTATAACTAATGCACTAATTTATACCTAGGGTTTGATTTATTTTTACAATTTTGAATTAGTGTTTTAATTTTTAAAATTTTTTTGATTTTTGAAACTTAATATTTTACAAATTTTCTATCTTTATGACACAGTTCAATTGATATACATATTTTACCAAAGTCAAAGTTTATTTTCAACCACATGATACTATTCTCTGTCCTTTATTTTTCTTCGTCCTTCTCTTTCTTGCTCTCATGTTCCGACTTCTGAAGCTCATCGTCGAGGTTGGAGCTTTCTTTATTCGGCTTGCATGGAGCTCCTTCCACCTCCTCGAAGCCATCGTTATTGGCAGCCGGTGATTTTGCTGGTGATGATGTACCTGAGGTGACAGACGGTGAAACCGGCGATACTGTCGACTGTTTGCCTTTTGAACGTGGAGGCGAGGCGGATGTTCCTTCTGAAATAGGGTTTATATTACGGAATGGCAAAGCACATTACCCAGCTTATCTTACTCAAATTAACTACCTTACCGTACTCTACTGTACCCTAACTTGCTTGCCCAAAAATTTACCACGTCCAAGAAATTATCGTAAAAGTAAGGGAGGGTAAAGTAGGGTAAGGAAAGGTAAAGTAAGGTATGCTATATGTAGATACCCACCTCTAGCCGATGCTGCTGCTTCTCTGGCGGATCCTGGACTTTTGTTCAATGACAAACTTCTCGATTTACCGGTTGATAATTCTAAAATAATATTTTCACATTTTTTTCAATTCCTTGTGTCTATTAATGTGAAGCTCAAAATTTACAAAAAATTAAAAAATATTTAGGTTTACCTCTAGTAGACCCTGTTTGACCTAGTTTTGCGGCACTTTTTCTTCTCATTGATCCACCCTGGCTCTGAAAAAAACATTTTTAAATGTTTTTTTTTGGATTTTTTAAATTTTTATTTCTTCTATCATATCCTAACCTGCCATACCTTATGCAATCCTACGCTATCCTACTTCACCTTTCTCTACCCTACCATACCCTATCTACTTTACCTTACCTTGCACTACCCTACACCCAACCCTACCTCACTTTATTCTACCCTGCCCTACCTTACCTTACCCAAATCTATTCCGTTGTACTTTACTTGACTGCATCTTATCTTATTCTACCCTTCCATACCCAATATTACAACCATTCGCATGCCCTCCTTAACCCTACCTTACCTCACCCAGCTCTATTCCGCCCTATCTTACCCAATCCTACTTTACCTTATTTGACCTTACCCTGCCTTATTCGACCCTTTCCTACCGTAATCTTTCCTGGTCTAACCTACTCTACCTTATTCTACCGTCCCCCACTCAAGTTTATACCCACATTTTACCCATGTCTTACTTATTCAGTATTCCTACACTTTCCCCCTACCCCGCCTTTTTTAAATTTTTTGAAAGCTTCAAAATTTCCCTCACCAAACCACCACTATTGTTCTCCTCCCGCTCCGAGTTCCCACTCGGCGATGTTCCTTGAACACTTTTGGTGACGCTACTCGATGTTGGGGATGGTTCACTTGCTTTCATTCCTGGCGAAGCAGCCGGCTTTATACCTGGTGAAGCGGCTGATAGTGGGGGTGGGGTGGTTCTTTCTCGTGCTGGGCATATTGTAGCCACGGTCTGTTCGTTGGTTTGTTGATGTTTGTCGACAATGGCTTGTAGTATGGTGAAAGAGCAGGTCAAGTCTTCTGAAATCTGCATCACCGCTCCCGAGTTATTGAATTGACCACAGTAAAGCGGGGCTGAGAATACGGTAACCAGCTTGCGGTTGGCGAAAAATTCAAATCTGAAAGTATTGGGTAGGGTAGGGTAGGATAGGGTAGGGTAGGGTATCGTAGAATTAGAGTTAAGGCTGGGTGCACTTACCCATCATTGACCACCTGATGAGCTCTAACAACCATGTCCAAGTTGAGTTTTTGTAGTTTGTCATTCAAGGCATCTTCACCAAAGCAGTAACTGGCACCTCTGGTACTGGGTGTGTAGCCCTGAACACCAGCTTGAGGATCTGACCATAGGACGTCAAGTTCGAGTGTCATATTGGTTGTTGGTTCTAATGGTCGTTTTATGTCACGGAGCTGGAAAAATATTATTTTATATAGTATTTATCAGTAATATATATATTATATTAGGTAATATTTTATCAATAAATCATGTTTTAGTCCAGATTTATATTATTTTTCAAGGGAAATACCTTGTTTTACACCAGTTTTCACTTATTGGCACCAACTACAATATCAGAAAAATATTATTTGATCATTTGAAACCAACCAATACCTATTACAATATTAGAAAAAACTTTTCTGTATCATTTTACACCTAGCAATACCTACTACAACATCATAAACAGCCTTTACCTGATCCAAATGGTACAACGAAGGTGAGATACCGCCGTGCATGCACAGTATCTTCTCCCCAATCAGCCCGGTCAATGGCATGAACTCAAAAGCGGTCGAGTAAGCACGGTACAAGTCCAAACTGTAGCGTAACTGACATTCTTCATAGAATCCATAAACTCGATTCACATCTCTAGTTTCGTGGTTACCACGCAGTAAAAACATGTTATGAGGATATCTGGCCTTGTAACAGAACAGTAGGCTTATGGTCTCTAGGCTTAACGGACCTCGGTCTACGTAATCACCTAAAGTAATGTAAATTGGTGGTTGGAACTTGACATAACTGATATCATGCGACATGTTATCAGTAGTAAACGCCCTAATAGCCTTCACTATATAAAGCTTTGTCTACTCAGCTTTAACTTACCAAGAAAGAGATAGTTAGATTCAGGTGGAAAGCCACATTTATCAAAGAGTCGTAACAAGTCGCCGAACTGGCCATGTAGGTCACCACAGACGTTCACCGGACCATTGATTTCGATCATCATCTCTTGAGAATTGAATACCTAAAACTATGTTTTTAGACTTTTTTTTCACATTCGGGTTAGGTAGTCCAGAGTAGGATAGGTCAAGGTAGGATAGAATAGTGTAGACCAGAATAGGGTACGGTAGGGTAAGGTAGGGTAGAGTAGGGCCGGGTGAAAGTCCCAAAACTTTTTGAGAAAATTGAACTTGGTCCCCATTTAAGCCCGGCAAAAAAATTTAAAAATATTTTTTTACCCTCCCCCTCCAAAAAAAATTACCGTACCCAAAGCTAAACATTCTTAAACAAGCTATAACAATACCATATGTGACCTATTACAAAATAAAAACCTCTTCAAAACTCTAATTTCAAGCCATTGTGTCATTTTTAAAAACCAAAATTTTTTTTTAATTTTAAAAATTTTAAAAAAACCACCTCACACGCCGTAACGCACAATCGAGTCAACATCTTCTCATCCACAGTCAATTTGATGTTTTTCTGACCGGTCAGGAGGATATTGCATGTAAGTTCGTCCAATTCCGCTGGTTTCAAAGCTTTCACATCCATTTCGAAGCGGGAAACAATCGACCGGTCGAGAAATAAAGTTGTACGCAAAATGGGCTGGTTTTCATTATTTTTTCAAAAATTGTCATTTTTTGGGTTTTAGGGGATGAAAATAGAATTTTGCACTGTGCAAAAAATTTTTTTTTTGCATTTTGAAAACTTTTTAAGTTCCAAAAAATTTAAGCCTAAAAACTATTTGAATACCACGTGTTATCACCTAGTTTCAAAATTCGACGTCAAAAAGCTAGTTATTATTCAATAACCTTAATTGCCTATCAATATTGATCTATTATAATATTTAATGTGCTGGAAAGCAATATTTCAGCCATATTACTATAGCTAGCTTTGTATTTTTGCTTGTATTCAATATAAAATAAAAAAACGAACTAATAATAGCCTATAATGAGGCTAAAACTGTCATTTTTGGTATTACTCTGCACTATTTTTTATATTGTAGTAGCTAAAGATATGCCCAAAAGTTCTACAATTGGTACTGAAATTATGGACAAATTTACAAAAAGATTGAACAAGTACAGTAAAAGTAAATACTATCAGAAGGTCGACAGTGTTAGAAGTAGAAAGGTTATTGATCTTCCTAGAAAGCAAAAGTTATATGTGATTGATCTGGTTGTTGGTGTTACTGATTGTAAGAAAACGGTAAGTTCAAAAATTTATAGCAGAAATTATTCCCGTACTAAGAAAAAATTTTTGAAAAATTGTATGTGTATACCTATATACCAGAAGGGGGGCCGGGTAGGGCAACAGCACAGTTAAACAGGGTCGCGCCGGAGCATGTCAGGCCGTGAGTCGAGCTTCAGCCAACACCCCTGGCAGACCACAAAATTTTTGTTTGACCTCCCCTCCGGCAAAAAAATTGCCCATGTGACATTATCCGTGGCTGTATTTTGTTGTAAAATACGCTGTTGATAGTTACAACAAATTTTTAGAAAGAATGCGCTAGCGCCCGTACAAATCCAAGTTACAATCGAAATTACACAGTCGAAGCCATGGTCAGAAACGAGAAGATCAAGTCTCTTTTGTATTACTAATCGTCTGCCTAATAAACCAATTCTATCTTTAATTAACAATAAAAACAAAAATAAATCAAATTTATTACTACACTTTTGAAAAAAGCAAGTTGATATGTAATGTAAGAAATTATATGTATCATAACATGTATATAATTCGAATATGCGTTGGCTAAAACAATTATAATTTAAGATTAAGTAACAAAATAGCGAGATACAATAGTGAAAAATATAGGCGATGATATGTGATATGTGGTTTATAATGACACGATGAAGATAACGATTGAAATATTATATATATGTTTGTATAATTTGATATAGAAAACTTTGTGTAAGCTACAAGAAATAACAGGGTCGTAAATAACAAGTAGCAGTATTGAAGACAATTTTTGTTTTTATCTTGACCAGCTTTTAGTTGGCGAAAATATAAAAAGGTTTTTTTTAACACGAGTACCCCATTTTGGTCCTGGAACGAAATTGATTTTTAGAGAAAATACGGATGCTAGCTTTTCGCGAAAACCGTTTCTGACATTTTATTTGTTATTGGGAGCAAGGAAAACTGAGGTTTTGAACCTTTTAACCTCGTATGGATTTAAATCTTGACTAAAATAACGTGATAGAATTTCAAAATATGTTTCTTCGCAATTTTTATGGGAAATATGCAAGCTTTAGAAAAAAGTAAGTGTACTCAATTTTGTTTTTCTGTTTCAGGTTTTTAAGAGCTCACAAAAATATGACGATATTTGCAATATGCTCTCTTTACCCTGTTCTACGCGAAACATAATCAGCTTAAAAGTATGAATTCAAATCGCGCCGATTTTAGCATCAAGCTGAAACAATGTCAAGAAAAAAAAGAAAACGGATCTACATTCTATTCAAGCCTTCAGAAGACAAACTTTTCTAATCCTCCATCCAAAACTTCTACACCACATTCTCCGGCTTTTGAATAGCATCAACTGGTTGGACACTGGACCTTTTGACTGATCTTCTCGAGTGCTTGCTAGCACGATGTGTCCACCCATCCATAGTCCATGGAGCAGCCTTTGCTTTGCACATGATACAGAAGAACAGGTTCGTTGACAACAAAATGATACCATGAATCCAAAGGACGATCGACCAATCTTCTGGAGCATTTTCTGGCGCAACTACTTCATTCAAAAGAGGGACGAGTAACATGCAAACACAGTTTTCAAAAGCGATGTTAGCTAGTGTGAAGTGAGAATGTTGTCGGGAGACCATTTGGGAGGATTTGAAGAAACCACCCGAATTGAAACCGAGGATACAGGTTGAGGCGATTAGGGTTACCTACAAAAATATTATGAGGACTATCAAGATTGTGTTATTTTGGCACTTTTTACTTAAATAATATTGTATAGAATGCCTTTACTATCATGGTGTTGGTTTTGCAGTCGTGTGCTCTGAATTTTGCATATTACTAAGCCGCGCTTTAAAATTTCTTACCAAGCACAAGCTCTCATTCTGTCTAGGATCCAATAAGGCGAGTGTGATGAAGAGCACACCCATCATTCCACAGGAAAGACTGTTGTAAATGCGCAACTTCCACTCATCCGATATGAACATGATTTTGTCAGACGACTGACCAGCTATCAGTTTGATAAAGAACATGATAACTGGTGATATAGCTGACACTACACCTGTTTGTTCTATGGGTAGAAATAGGACCTGGAAAAACAAAATTTTTAGGCTTTTTAAAGTTTTCGTAATTAAAAATTGAAATTTTGGCTCAAAAGTTGCTAGTGTTGGGCAACTTGTGCTGTTAATATAATTTTTTCATCGTGGAAAATTCTATCTTTTCGCTCATGTCTTATGGTTAATATTACCCTTGTAAAACCTCTCACCTTATTCAAATAAGTTGGAATAAACTGTAGCGACAACTGCGTTCCAAAAAAGTTGCCAAAAGCCGCGACTAATATAGCCCAAATGGCACTATCCGAATAGATGGCCTTATATGGCACTTTTCTCGACTTTTTCTTAGTATTCTCCCTACCAGGCCCAGAATATATTGACCCTTTGCCAAAGTAGACCTTGACCAACTCTCTTCGATTCATCATTGGATGCTTATGAGGACTATTCCTATGGTACAGTATGAAGATGATAAACAATACCAGACATACAGTACCATGTAGATAGTATACAGATTCCCAGCCCAATGATGATGTACAGAGTTCGCCAGAAATGGGCATGGTGAAGATAGGAGCGATTTGGAGGAAACTCGACAAAATTGCGATGAAAATGCCATTTTGTTTTAAAGTCGACCAATGGGAGGTAATGGAACCCATTACTGGTAGACAAGCCGAGAAACCCACGCCTTGAATACCACGCATTATTAACATTGCCCAGAAGGAGGTGTTGGCTGAGATTGGGATTAGGTAAGTCGCTATGGCTGAGATTAGGCCTAACATTCCAAATGTCATTCTAAAATGGCATAAATTGGGATTATAAGTGTTGCTTCCAAATTCTTGAGCCACCGATACATCGTATTTTACATTTTTAATTTAAAACACATACCTTGATCCATATTTGTTCAAAGCTACAGTCATTGGAAACACCGCTACTAAAGACCCAACGGCTACTGACATGAATAAAGCACTTCGTTGACCTGATGTATAGTCAAGATGCTCTTTGTAGCCACTATGGTCTTTTTGAATTTCTAAAAAATCATTTTTAAATTTCGGTTTTAGTCTAATACTACCGTACCCTACCCTACTTTACCCTACCCTACCCTATTTTACCCTACCCTACCCTACATTACCCTTCATACACTACCTTAAACGTAATGTTGTACTTACGGGTCATGTTCTCATAACCCTTCGGCCGTTCCCCTGCCATACAAATAAAGGTAAAATTGAATGTCAAGATGTTTGACAGAATTGATGACAAACATAACGTAGATATTATCATGATGGTAAATCGGATTCTGTTTCCAAAAAGCCAATTTCCAGTACTCTCTTCTTCATCTGAATCCCCATTTCGACTCTTGTTGGATACTGTGTCTAGGACTCGGCGGGATAGCTGGAAATTTTGATTTAAAAAATTTTTTTTGCAATTTTAAAAATAATTTTGAAGTTTCAAAAAATTTAAAATTTTTTAAATTTCAAAAAACAAATTCAAAAAATTTCGAAATTTCAAAAAAATTGAAAAATCATAATTTTTTCTTAAATTAAACTTCTTACCGATCTACTCCTTCTCAGCTGATTCTTCTCCTTATTCCTCCTCCCCATCCTTGTCTTCGGAGCCTTCTCTTCTACTTCTTGTTCTTCCTTTTCTCTCTTCGGCAGTTTATCCCAATCCTTTGGCCGAATATAATCACCAGTAACTGGATCCATACCCTCCAAAACTCCACTCAATTTTCCATTACTAATCGTATTTTGAACTGTTTGATCTTCTTCTGTATCATCGTCTACTGACTTGTCATAGCCAGTATCATCGTCGTAGTCGGTTGATTTGCCTGTACTTTGATTATCTGTGGTCTTGTAGTTGTTCTCGTCGTCTGATGAGTTAGAGTCGTGATTTTGGAGCTTGGGTTTGTTAGTTTTGTCATGGTCTTCTTGCTCATTGTTATCATTTTTAGCTTTTTCGTCCTGTTTCCCTTGACTTTCTTCTAATTTTCTTTCATTTTTGGTGGGTTCATCTTGTTCTGACGTGCCTTTTTGATGTTTAGCGTGAACTTTATGAACATTGCCGTCTGTTTTATCATTGTCAGAATCCTGGAGCTTCTGTTTGTCTACTTCACCACCATTTTTCTTTAGCTCATCGCCAGTTGTATCACTTTTTCCGTCATTTTTTCTCAAGTTTCGACGATTTTTCCCTTTTTTATCGTGATTATTTGCTTCACCGTCACGGTTTTCTGAATCCTTCTTTTTGCTTTCTACTGCATCCATAGCATCTTCAAGATATACCATTTCCAAATCTTTATCATCGTCACTACTTTTCTTATCATCGTCGCCATCTGTAGCCGTTTTCTTGGACCCCATTGCACCACTTTTTGATCCAGCTACCTTGCTCTGTTGTCTTCCATTTATAGTTTCAGAATCCGAATTTTTGCCATTGTGGGAAGATTTTTTATCATGTGTAGAAGCTGTATTATATTGTTGATCGTTATCAATATCAACTGGCGTACCGTAGGCTTCTACTGGCGCGTAGCCCTCTTCCAAACCGGCCGGATCGAGTATAGCTGGACTTGACTTGGAATTTTTGCTCATTTAAAATCGAACCGCAAGGTATTTTAACTGAAAGTATGGTTTATAGTAAGCACAGCAACTAACATTTACTATAATATAAGGAAAGTCAACAAAAGTCTATTTAAAAATGGCTGTTTAGTTTAAAGTTTGAAAAAAGCTATGAATTGGGCAAAGAAGTCCCAATTTGTTTTAAAACCCAAAATTCCATGCATTTTTTGACCAATCCAGAAAAATTTTTAAAAAAAATTAAAAAATGGCATTTCACTTACGTTTTCAATTGAATAACACAAAAATTACGTTGGTATTTAACAAAAAACTGTATCAACGTAATATGTAGGTATGTTATGGTAAAGTGTGATTTGCCTTAAAAACAAAAAAATTTTGAAAATTAAAAAAAATATATATTTTTAAATACTCGAAATCAAAAGCCACGCCCATTAAACACGTAAAAAACAACCACCTTTGTACATTTGAACCGGTATATTTGAGTTAAAAAGGTAAAAGTTAGGAAATGTACCTTATTGTCATAATATTGTCATGAGAAAGATATTAAACAAACAAGAAGAAACATTGATTTTAAAATGACAATTTCATCATTATGATGCAGTAAAACGGCTCGGCTAAGGCTAAGGCTAAGCCTAAGGCTAACCCTAAGGCTAACCCTAAGGATAAGGCTGAGGCTAAGGCTGAGGCTGAGGCTAAGGCTAAAGCTAAGGCTAAAAGTAATTGAACTTAAGAATTTTAAGATGTTCACACTTTGTTGTGAGCCAACCAACCAACTCATAGATCACATCCTTGAGGATCAAACATAAAAAACCTTGTTTAGAACGATGAATGGGACATGGAAAGACAGTTGTGTCTGTCCTTGGCCTTGTAATGAAACCCTGACATTTAAAAAAAAAGTATTTTTGGTAGTCAACAAGAAAGAAAAAGTTCAAAAACGTGTAATTTAAGAAAATTTTTAAAGTGGTACTAATGGTACTGTATGGTACTGGAAATTTGAAAAGCTAAGTTTGTATCTAATTTTAAGCGTATTAACTATAACTATAATATATATATCTTCAAAATTACTAAAAAAATGTTTGGTACTTATGGTACTGTATAGTACCAAAATTTTTTAACCGTCTTTTCAATTCAATTTTAAACTCATTGAGCCTAAGTAAGAATAAATATCAATAAAAAATTTTTTTTTACTTCGAAAAAATCTTTTAAAAATTTCAAAAAATTAAAAAAAAATTCAAAAATTCAACCTTTTTCAGCCAACCCCAGCCAAACTATCAAAAATGAAAAAACAGCCCAAAGTAGTGGGTCACAAAGGCCGGACTGTACTCTTTAGTCGCTCTTAACACTATCAACAACCCGTTATGGAAAAACTCAAATTCTAACTACCCGCTTGCCCTCGAGGGATTTATATCCCAACAACTGGAATATGACCTTGACAATCAGTTCGAGGACTTAAAAATGAATAATTTAAAACAGTTTTTGAACTTGTCAATGTGATATTTTAGATATAGAGAGAAGAATAGATATAGAAGAGATGTTAGAGTAAGTAAAACTTGGATAGACAGAGAGGTAGGTTAGAAAGTGGCATGTAAAAAAAAATTTAAAAATCAAAATGATGAGAAAGTTTAAAAAATTTCAAGATTTGAAATTCTTCCCCCAAAGCAATACCTACCTTAACCTACCCTAACCCTCATCCCCTCCCCCCTATTCCCTTCCTCTCCACCCCTCCCCCTTACTTTCTCTTTCGACCATTCTCCTAACCTCAAAAACTTATACTGCCCCAAACCGTTTCACAATTTCAAACTACAAACTAACAACCAAACATCTATACAAAAACTACCCCTCCCGCCATTTTTCAATTAGTTATGGCCATAATATTCTAATGGCGAACACTTGAGCGTGCCGCGAATTTCTAAAACAATAATAAATAATAAGAACGCTGGACAATGTTTAGGGAACTAATTTGGCTTTCAGCGGCTTCTTTAACAAGGCCAATCGGAGGACAACGCGGGTTCACGTTGGTGCCGTGATTTTTTGTTTTTTGCATTTTTTTTTGAAAAGTGTTTTAACAATTGAAAAAATAGTTAAAAATATTTTAAGTTAACGTAGAGACATTTTATTGTAAACATATTACATTACTATGGCTTTATTATTAAAATTTTAAGGTGAGCATTTACCATTAAAGTCAATGAATACAAGGTTGTCCAACCTTACACATTATGTAAAAATTTTAAAAAGATATTGCCCAATGTCATAATGTCTAAACAAGTCTAAAAAATAATGAAATATTTTAATAAAATGACATTATGGTACTGAAAGGAATGAAAATTTGAGAAGACTACTGAAGCATCACAAATTCAAAAAGTAAAAACAAGTAAACACGTGCTAGACAGTAAGAAAATTTCTTTTTTTACTTATTTTTACTTTGTCTTATTATAAATTTCTCATCAACTAAAGAAAGCTGTAGAACATCATATTAATATATTGTTTTTAAATCCGTATTGTACCCCCAATTAGGGTCGAGGCCCAAAACAAAGTCCTGTCCAGGCTCTTAACAAGTCTACCTTAATAGGTTACTGTAGTTCTCCAAAACCCCCAGCCCAACCAAACACCTATTACCTTGCCCCTCGTCAACTACTCCATTCCCACCTTGGACGTCATGTTTATATAGTGAGATCAGGTGGTACAAGTGTCCAAGCTACCGAATTTAACATTGCAAAACAAAAAGCGATGGAAAGGAAATGTCCATGAAAGTTGAGGATTTGCATTGTAACAAGGTGTTAGCTGGTTGACAATCACCATGTGACCTTTGACAACGTCAACATTCACGTAGCCCGCAAGGGTTTCCTACTTTATGGTAATGTTGTTTTACATAACGTGATAGATGGTTAAGTACAGTCGAAATAGTTTTTTAAAACTTTTATTTACTGCGCTGCAAGATACAACAACAAAACTTTACTGTGTTACTTATTTTGCAATCTAGGCACCTGTAAGGTACAGTATAATACAAAACAACATGTTTTTTAGGTTCAGTTTGCTTAATTTTACGGTCAACAAAATTCTAATTACAAAAATGACAGTAAATATTTCAACCTAATCAAAGCCTTTGACTGTATAAATTTAGATATATTTATTTACAATAACAGAACAAGGAAACGCCGAAAAAGAATTAAGTAAGAACATCTAATAAAAATTCCAAAAATGCCTTTGCAAATGACGGTAAGAAGAACATGAAAGTAACTTTATGCATTAATATTTACTACCAAGACGCATTTTTATGCAATAACGACAATAAATATTCGTCAACTTTTGTCTTGGCTACACTATTACCTTTAACTACCACTGAAAAACCCTAGCCTAACCTTACTCAATCCATACTTATTTATACAAGCTTTTCGTAAGGCAAAAACTACTGATAACCTCTTATAAAAGCTTCTGTTCGCCCAGCACAGCTACATTAACAGCACACAAAGCTAAAACTCCTAAACCTCTTGTTAACCCTAACAAAACTACAATATCTTCGCCACTCTTAAACCAAGAAAAAGTTGAAACTTTAAAATCGAAAAAACGTCTTGCTCTTGATCCACTTGAGCCTAAGTCAATTGTAATCTTTCAACTTGTGAAATGAGTTCAAACCAACACTATGGTATAGTAAGGCTGCTATGACGTCGACTAAACCCACTGTTACAAAGATCACTGCTGACAACGTGGTTATGTTTGCCAACGTGCATAATAAGGCACTTGCAAGAGTTTAAAGAGTCACAAAAAGTAGGAAGTTGGAGTTTTGCGATTGACAAACTTTGAGGAATAAAAGTTATTAATTTTATTGTTAACTGTGTTTGTTGCACGAAATTTTTGACGCAAACGTATCTGTAAAGATATTTAAAAAAACAAAAATAAATTTTAATGTTTAATGTTCATGTTGACCGAAGTAAAATTAGGTAGAGAAACACTTTTCATGGCGGTACCTGCTACAATTTGTCAATGAATACAAGCTTTTCCTATCGTAATTTTTTAGTCAAGATTGTACTAGTATTCTCTCCAGAGTTATAAATTTTCAAATGAAATTATGTAAGTTCCAAACTAAAAACAAACACAGTATGTCGAATTTTTATAAATGATCGTTTTAAAAAAAAATTAATTTTGGCACCGTTTTCTTAAATTTCCGGTCATTGATCATTCACCAACCAAATAATTATATACCAACCTTGAATATGAAGTGAGCATAACCATTGAGCATAGCAAAAATATCTCACAATCCTCAAACAATAATAAGAAAAGCTTCCAGAGTATGTATTGATGTAAAATCCTTTCATCTTCCTTCTGTCTTTGTTCGTTTTTATTTCCGTGTTTTCGTCCGGCATTGCCTTCGGCATATTGATCGTGGTGGGACTCAATATTGGCGGTAATTCAAACAAAAAGAAACGAACAAAAGTGATGCTTGTCTCAAGTGTTATGACTAATTGTAAGTTTATGAAATATAAAAAAATTTTAGCCCAAATACAAGACATACTACGATATACTACTGTATATCATGTTTGTTTGCTGATCTTTCAAAAACCAAGTTCACCGTAAGGCCAGGTCCAAATAATCAACCGTTGAACTTGCCATAACTACCATAATATTTCTTCCATTGTTATTTAAACACTTTGTGGAGGCCGACAAGGGGATTCCTGTAAACAGAACGCCCATTCAAATCACCAACTTTCTTTACGTCAAATCCACGTTTTTCGCAAATTTCAAGTGGCGTTTTTCGACTGCTTGATAAACAAAACTATATGACTATAGAGCGGGTTTAAATTGTCAAAAAGTCTAAAAAATAATAGCAGTCAAATTGTTTTCTTATGGTTGAAGTAATAAGGTAAGAAATGTAAAAAAATGTAAAATACGTTGAAGTTCATTGATGGACGAATTTTTAAAGATAATTTTTTATGTTGTTCAGTTAATTCCGTGCTTCATTTCAAAATAAGTTTTTGGTATAGGGGCACAGAATTATTTGAACAACTTAATACATATACCCTAACCTAATATAAGTTTTGGCACAAACCATTTATACTAGTCTACTTTATGCTGTCATACTTCTACCTCAATATCATATTTTTCAATTTTTTCATAAAAAAGTTTTCTCAAATTGCAAAAATTTAAGTAAAAATCCCCAAAATTTACAAAATAATTTATTACGACTTGGTACATACATAACAATTCTTACAATTTACAATGAAATTACAATTTACACAAGGTTAAAAAATAAGATGATAAAAGCCTACACGTACTATAATTGGAATAAGTGAAATAGAAAAAGAAATAAGTGAAAACTGTGGCAAAAATGATAGGCTTAATGGCTTGAATAGTACTGAAAAACTAGTTCAAGGCCCATAACACAAAACAATAATAACAAGATGAGTCGGTAGTACTAACAAAAACAACTTTATAGTACTATTCTAGTACTAAGGTAGTAGCTTAGTACCAAAAATAACACTACGTAAAAGGTATCAATAATAGTACTATAATTGTGTTTCAGTACCAGACACAATACCATAGTACTATCCTGATGCTAAAACCTGTAATACAGTACTAGCTTCCTATTAATAAGACTTCTATAAAATAATACTGAATAGTACTATAGTACTACTATACAAAACAGTACTAAACCAGTATCCCAACTCAAAAAATAGTACTAAAATCCCTCTCAACATACCCTAGGACACAGTACTGAAACAAATACTAAAATCCTCGCAGCACAACCGTACTACCTCAATACCGAACCCCCAATCTCATACTCTACCAGTACTTCTTCAGTGCCTCCATGATCGAATCGTATATCATGAAAGTAATGGCCACATCCAAGCAAACCCGGCTCAATCTTGGCACGGTACCCTTGTAGAAGGCGAAGAAGCCTTCGTTCTTCCATATCTTCATGGCACAATCGACAGTGTTCTTGTACTTGTGTCTGTCCAGGCCTTGCATCCTGGTTTTGACCACATCGATTGGAGTGTTACCGTATACAGATGCGGCACCGGCCAGAAGACCCATACAGCCAATGATGGGTTTGGAGATAGTCTTGCTGTTGTCGCCGCCACGATACCAGTCCTTCATGGTTTCCATGCAGAAAAAGCGGATGGCTTGGTTACTGCCCTGCTTGGCCATTGTGGCGGTTAGGCCTTGGTAGAGGCCCTGAAAGATGAGATATTAAGATTGGTCAAGTTGACAATGGCATTTTTGATGTTTGTAGCCAAAGGGGTTAGTTAATAAGGTACAAAGAAAGGTATGAGTATCAGTATAGGCACTCATAGAAGCGGAGTAATGATTTTTTAACTTTTTTTACCTACCTCCTCCTCAGCCTTCAAACAAACTTCAAAAACCTACCCCAAAGCCTTCATTCTTAACAATAGTCCTCAAGCCATGCACGAATCCCTTATACTGAGGGTTGGCCAAAGTTTGATCGTGAATGAACTTGACTTTAACGGTTTCCATTGGAGTTACCACAAAGAACGCTTCTGACAATCCGGCTCCCAATCCACATAACAATCTCATCACTGGCGTTAGGTTGCCTTTCTCATCGGCCGCGTTTCCTTTCAGGTACTCGAAGGTACCGAATCTGAAGGATGATTTGGGGATGGAACCATAAAGTAGTACTGATAGTCCTCGGTAAAGGCCGAAGACGCCATGGCCGCGTACTGTTTGCTTTACTACGTCTATTGGGCCCTGAAAATATTTTAAAAACTTAAAATTTTTAAAATTTCAAAAAAAAATTTGTTCAAATTTTAAAAAATTTATCAGTAATATCAATAATTAAACTCTAATGTACTCAAATGTTAAAAAATACATTTTTAGCTAAATCGGTCAAAAACACCCCCAAACCCTACCTTATATTTAGGTTGAGCACTTCTCTCGTCCAGCTGCAATTGAGTTTTGACGTACTCTGTTGGGAAGGTGATACAGATCTCAATGGCACCAGTAAGACCACCAATGACGATTCCTTTCACCGTCTTCTCGGATGGCCCAACTTGTTGCCATAGGGTTGGCTTTTGGGTTAAAGCTGAGGTAGTCTGCCCGTAACTCATCGTTACCACAAGTTTTCTGAAGGAAAAGAAACGTTATTCAGTATAAAATGTCATCAAATTTTAAAAAGTTAAAGTTTAAAGCCCGAACGATCAAAAAATTAAAATAAGGTCAAAAAAGTTGAAAATTTTAAAGAAAAACGCAAATAAATACCTAAAAAGTAGATGAAAATAATAAAATTAGGTATTAAAAGTTAAGTATAAACATTTTTAATAGAAGAACTAGCTTATTTACTGCTCAAAACGTTTAAAAAACCAATTACAAACCATAAAAGTGAGAAAACACGCCCATGATAATATCATTGATATTATCAAAAAGTACATTTAGACAAATATCAGTAGTTTGTTTCAATATTACTAATAACTCGTGTTCAACCGTTTCAAAATTGATTAGAAAGACATACGGTTAAAGTTCAAATTTATAATTAACGTTACAATTATAATCTGCACAGTGCCATTTACTTCTCAAAAAGCTGCACCGTGCAAACAAATTAAGAATTGCACCGTGCAAAGAATTAAAAAGAGATTTTTAAAACGGTATTTAAAAATATGCCATGGGCACTAACATAACCTCTTACAAAAGTACAAACCATCAAAAATCAAATTCCAACACTAAAGTATTCCATTTAACTTTAGTCCAGACTATTACTAATTTCTCCCCCAAATTAATTAACACAAAACCTCCCCATCTCCTCCTACTCCATATACAAATTGTAACTAACCGCAGGCAACTCTGTAATAAGTCAACCGAAATTGATAAGAGTAATTGATTGAACCCATGTTTATCAACTACGTCAGCTCGCTTTACAATTTACAACAAAAAAATGAACCAAGTGTGCTTTCCATGTTTCATATGTCAATTTCAATGAAAACAAATACTGTAAAAAGTAATAGGCTTTGATAAAGAAGATTTTAAAATACGAGGTCGGTAATCAGATTTCAAACAAAAATTTTTTAATTCACGATTACTGTAGTAGCTTTAAAATACTGTAAAACTCCTTTATAACAAATCGCCCGGAAACATTACTTGTTCGTTATAAAGTTGTTTACTGGAGTTAAAAATGGAAACTACTTTATAACGAACAAATTAAAAATGTCCGACCGTTTCGTTATACAAGTGTTTTACTGTATATCTTTTCCAACGGGGAGTTTTACTTTTACCTTATGCAATTTTTCCCTATCAAAAATATAAGTCACAAAACACACGCATAGCGTATTTTACAAAAAACCAACTATAAATTCACAAAAAGTAATAAAAACAACAAGTTTTATCCATCTTTAGGCGATAAAATTTATAAAAACACGATTTTTTCGCCGAACCCAATGTAGTTAGCATCTTTTCCCTTCGAAAGTACGCTAATTCAGTCGCATAACCCAATTTTGAAGGCGAACTTTGTCCACGAGACCGAGAGAAACGTTATGAACGCATTGATTTCAGATTGAAAATGAAACAAAACAGCAAGCCGTAATGACTTTATTTAACATTTTTTTTGTATTTGTGACTACAGTTGATTTTTAATAGATTTTTATACTGACTTTTCGATACTGGACGGCAAAACAGTATCAAACGATAGTATTATAAATGATTGTATTCTATTAAAAATCAATTTTAATTACAAATATAACTATCACAGACTACACTAAGCACCTAAAATTTTAATTTACTTAATTTAAAATTCAAAATCCATACAAAATCAATGAGTTCTTTACATTCTTATCAGTCCCGTAAATAGAAAAAGTGAAACTTCTAAGTTGGCCTACGCGACTAAATTAGCATACTTACAAAGAAACAAGTGTCTCAAATGCAGTAAGTTCCGCCAAAAAATTGTGCTTTTTTAGTAGTTGTTGCCAAAAAAGATATAAAACTCGGCTTTTTGTTATTAAAATAAAAGTTGGTTTTTGTAAAACACAAGGCAAAAATTATAAGTTATATTATTGTAGCCAAAACTTGAAAAAGACAAATTTTTTCCCAGTACTTACTACATTTAAATACAGTTTGCATGACAATCGACCTCAAACTCATACTAAGCCCTCAGCCATCTGAATGAATGAATAAGCACAGCTCTAAAGTAAAGTATCAGACCCTAAAAAGTCAGAATACTAGCCATACCCGCAGAACCACCAACTCAAACTACTATAATATAAAACAGACCAAAAACTAAAGTGAAAAGAAACAAATTTTGCACATTTTATACAAAACCCTTTTCAAGATCGCCCCTTTCTCCTCCACGAAAACCTTTCTTGTCGATAAGAGCGAACGGAACTACTGACCTTGACATTCCGCTAATGCACAAGTTGTGAGATCAATAAAAACACGTGATACTGCCCCTGGTTATGATGGGGCATTTCCCAATTCTTACGTCATATTCATAAGACAGGACATTATCATAGTGAATATGGTCAAGATTTAATAAGTTTTGGCAGTTTTTAGCTACAGTAGAGGCAGCATATAAGTAAGGCAGGTCAAAATATATTATGGTACTAATTTTGTACTTATTAAAACCATGAAAACTATACAAAACTGACCCAAACATAAGCAAAACAATCATAATATCACAAATCAATACATTAATTCAAGATATTTCGATCGCTTTATCAATCTTCAATCTTTGAACTGCCCTAATAACGTCAAAAAACCGATAATATCTTCAAGATTCAATTCCAACCAAGTTTATTAAATATTTCAATCGGAAAAGTCACGTCCCGACCTCACGGACAACAACTTCGCAATGCTGCTCATCAAAATTCATTCGATTTGGTGAGAAAATAAACACATGAACAGTATGCGACCTTTAAAAAGCTAAACAAACCAAAGATAATGTTTTCGAAACACATCCGAATGAACAATATGTTACCTAAAATAACAGTTGGAAAAACAAGAGATCTTACCCATGAAAAATGACCAAAGCTTGGGGAATTGCAAAGAATTCAGGAAAAAAAGCGATGTAAATATGCAGTATATCTTCATAATGAAGCTGAAGGTCTTTTGAAGTACATTAATATGGTCAGGAATCTCCATGTAAACAATGTTACCTAAAACAATAAACAAAAAAAAGCCAAGATCTTACATTTGAAAAACTTTCTTGAATCTGAAGATACCTCAAACAAATTGTTGAAAAGCAGTCGTAAAGTAGTAAAAACATCAGTAAATCTTACCTAAAATACCTAAAACACAAAAATAAACCAGATCTTACCCATAAAATAGCCAAAGCTTGCCAACAACCTCAAAAGCTTGATTAACCAACCTAAATCCTTGAAAACAAATTAAACATCATCTGGAACTCGTCGTCGAAGTTATCAAAGGCTTCTAAATGCCCTTTAAGTTACCGAAAACAACAAAAAACAATATAAAACATACCTTATCCATGAAAAATGACCAAAACAAGTCAAAACCTCAATATTTTAGCTGAAAACTAAGTCAAAAACAATAAAAACATCTTGAAAATCACTTCCAGTTCAATATTAAACTCAGCAAACACTTGCAAATGCAATAAATCACGGCTACACGCTGCAAAACTGTAAACTAAAACAGGAAATACAGCTCAAAAACTGGAAACACCTCTTTGGTCAAAAATCAACTAGAGCAATATCAAGTTGGACTGAAAAGAAGGTGAAAAGAACGTGAATGAAACCGAAAAGAACGTGAATGAAACAAAAACGAGTTCACAAGTTCAACGATAAACATGAATTTCTGTTTATAAACATCAGATTTCATGAAATTCACGATTTCGTCGATCCAAAACAACAACAGTTGACTTTGACTTGCGCCCCAGAGTTTGCAAGCTGCGCGGGGTCAAATGTGAAATTTTTAGGGATTTGAAGGAATTTTTAGGTATATATTGGTAAAATACGGTCTGAACAGTCTTTTTATTTAAAAAAATTTTGAAAACTAAAATGTAGTTTTAAAGTTACCAACCTACAACAATATCAGTGTTTCTCCAAAGCTCTGGCGATTTTTATAAAACTGTTATCATGGTCTGATTGTAAGTTGATTCCCACTGATAGGGTCATATCAATGTCTATTTTAAAGCGTTTTACGTGGTTTTTAAAAAATTGTGAAAAATCTTTGTTTTTAGGTAACAAAAGTTCAAAAAATGCCATTTTAAACCAAAAAATATGCCCAATATACTTAAAATGCCATTTCGGATACAGTATTATAAAGAAACGTGGACATATGAATGGTTAAAACCTATTTTTCAACAATTTGTTACTTTGTTTGTGTTTTCGTGGGGAAGAACATTGATTTTTTGGAATTTTAAAAATGCCGGAGGGGTTGGTCCTGGGGGACACGTTGTCTTCGACGTTCTGGCCAAGTTCAACTTTCTATTTGTGTCAGGACTTTTGAAGAACGACGTGTAACGTGACTTTTACGTCATTTTTCAAATTTTTTGGTCTTTAGGTAGCAAATTTTGAAATTTTTTGAAGTTTAGGTAACAAAATTCAATTTTAAAAAATTTTATGTAGTAATAATATAAGTTTAAAAGTATTAGGCTATAAGTTCTTAAAATTTTAATTTTAGTACTATATGGTACCAATTGTCAGATGTGGTACCATATTTCAAATTCAGTACCATTAAACGCTCCAACTTTAATTCTAGTACTAGTTTCTGTACAATTAACATTACGTAGCAAAAACTTCACCTTTAGTACTATATAGTACCAATTGTAGTATGTAGTACCGTATTACAATTTTAGTACCATTTATAGGTCTAACTTCAATTCTAGTACTATTTGCATTACAAGTTACATGAGTTAGTACCATTTATATTTTTAGTACTATATAGTACCACTTTTAACTTTAGTACCATTTTAGTACCACTTTCAATTTTAGTACCATTTATAGTATTAACTTTAATTTTAGTACTATTCATAGTACTATTTTCACCTCCACTACTACCATAACATAGCCCACAGCACATACAATAATAAAGTTTATTGTTTTCACGATTACAGTAACAAGGTTGTGTGGAGTTGACACGTTCATTTGGAATGAAAAGCTAGAGA